CTTAAAACACATTCCCCACCTGCAACGAATTCTGAGCTGTAGTTTACCCCTCACAGAGTTACAATCCCAGCAGCCTTTAACAAACTACAATGCCCAGAATTCTTTGAGACAGAGCAGATCGCAAGGCACACACCAGCTGATTCCCCCGACACCTTCCTGCCACTACTTCCTACCTCACATCACCTGCAGCCTCACTCTGTCCTAGTTATTGCAGAAGAGGAAAACGTAGTTTCCCCAACTGGTACCTTTTACAGTGAAATCTGATTCCTCCCAACAAGGAGCTAGAAACCTGATTTCCCAAACCAGCCCACTTATTACAGTACAGTGGTACCTCGGGTTAAGTACTTAATTCGTTCTGGAGGTCCGTTCTTAACCTGAAACTGTTCTTAACCTGAAGCACCGCTTTAGCTAATGGGGCCTCCTGCTGTTGCCGCACCACCGGAGCACGATTTCTGCTCTCATCCTGAAGCAAAGTTCTTAAATCGAGGTACTATTTCTGGGTTAGCGGAGTCTGTAATCTGAAGCGTATGTAACCTAAAGCGTATGTAACCCGAGGTACCACTGTAGTTTAGGTTGAAGTGTAGTCACATGTCATGATCATCTGCTGACCAGTTTTTGCGTTATTATTACAGATAATGAAGAATTCACACGCAGTCTGCACCATAACGTTCTGCATTGTTATTTTAAAAAGGAATCGTACACGTCTGTATTTATGCAGAAGTTATCTATGTTTGTGATTAAAATAAAGCAAAGGAGTGACAAGATTGAAGATGGTCCTGAAAATTTTTATTCCAAAACATCACAGATAAAATCCGCCTTTCCACAAACTTATTCAGTTGCTTGTTATCACTCATTCTTCTGTACTATATTAATTTAGGCAATATTACTATGTTCCATATTCTACTAAGCCCACTCCCCCAGTTTCATGCTATCCAGATCCTGGCACCAGTAAGAAGATTAAGAACCATTTCCAAGTCAACTCAGTTGTTTTGCTCAACTGCTTTCTTTTGCAGAGAAATCTCATTTCCCCAATGCCGAATTAGACAACTGATTTCCTAAATGAGTCCACTTATTGCAATAGTTTATGCAGTTTGAACTATAGTCACATGTCAGGATCACCTATTTATTCATTTTTGTTTTATCACAGATAAGGAGCAACACATACACACACAATCATGCATGCACACACACATGCACACACAGACTCTATGTTATAACTTTCTGCATTGATTGTTTTAATGAAAAGAACTGACCTTTTTAAAGGAGCTAAACATTACTTGTTGTATTATTCCTATGGATACACTCATCTGAACAGCAGCAGCAACAAAAGTCAGTGGATCATACTCTTTTCCTTAGCAATACTAACAAGACAGGGAAAATATGTAAACCCATTGCATCATCATCATCATTATTATTACCATCATTATCTGCCTGCCCTTCATCCTTAGGTCCCATGGCAGATTACAACTATTAAAACACAGTGTTAAAAACATTTAAAACAACTTACGGTACATGTGCAACGTGGCAAGGCTATTCCCACTGTCCCATTGCTCTGGGGTTATGACTGCTGGACCCAGGACAGTTCAATTTTAACACTAAAGAAAGAAAAACCTGTATAAGCCTGAGGGTTTCTGCTGCTATAGACCAGGGGTAGGCAACCTAAGGCCCATGGGCCACAAGCGGCCCACAGGGGTCATTTAACTGGCCCATGAGCCGCCCCTGAACTGAGCCACTCGCTCGGCGAGTTCCCATGCGCTGCGCTAAAACGGGGCAGCATGGCATGGGGACTCGCTTCCGCAGCGCCAAAAATCGCATCTGTGCATGTGCAGACACTGTAAATTGTGTCTGCACAGACGCCGGAGGGATCTCCACTGGAGTGAACCGGCCCAGGTGAGGTAAACCTTGCCAACCCCTGCTATAGACTCTTCAGCTCATACAATGTGTTTATGTGTCTGTTTGTAACATGGTATCTTGGTCTCCTAAGGCAGCCCGCAAGTTTCTCATGAATGGCGACTCAATGAACACTGAGGCGTATCTAGCCCGGCCCAAATGCTTAGCTGGTTCTTCATGCTAATTGGAAGGATATCAGTTCTGGAAAAATCACTCTCAAGTCTCCTGAAATTCATTGACAGCATTCCAATTTGGACATTTCTTAACACATCATTGGGGAAGGGACAGTCAATGACATGGGAAATCCCTTCCTGAGAGATGACACCAAGTGGCCTTTCTCTTGCCTGGATCTGGATGGAGATCACAAACGGCAGAATTATTCAGGGTAACCACCAAACATTTCGGGCCACTGCAGTCTTCTAGAAAATGTTAGAAATGTACAATATGATGAGTTAAGTGAGATGAGCTCTTTCGTAAGGCACAGCCTTTTAAAGGCTTTGGGATAAGCAGCAGTTGCACATGCCCAAGCCTGTCTAGGCCCCCTGAGATGATCTCTCCTTGCATTTTGGAGGATCTTGCTTTCTCTGGAGTTACAGACCAAGAAGCTGCTTCTTAAACCGAGCTGTGTTGGGAGAAGAAGCCCATGCTTTGATTCATTACTGTGGCTCTTTCTTCAGCTCATTCAGCAGTTGTAAAAAAATAAATAAAACTGATTTCATTCCTATACAAAGGACGGTGTATCTGTTGAGTACTGAGGATAATCACAGGACAGTCCAAACCCAAGATGTGTCGGGATGACAGTTTGGATTTGGTCGGTCTTGTTTCCCACCCCCTCACCCCCACCCCACCCCTCTGAGCCAGGGCTCAGCTGGGGCTATGCTGGTAGAAGTCTCTCACCCCCACCAAGTTGTAGATACAGCAGGGTAAATCCCCCTCACTCTGGCTCAGTCAATGCTCAGCCAGCAGAAATTAAGATGGCTCCTAATAGCTTTATTTGCTTTGTGTTGGCTCCTGGTAATTAAAAAATCAGATCAAATTTACATACTAATAATCCTTATCCATTTTGTTCCTAAACTAATGTTACTGGTCATGCAAATTATTTAGTAAATTCCTATACCACCCTTCAACCAAGGATCACAGGGCAGTTTACAATATAAAAACACAAAAATACATAACATAGTAACAAACAAAAACAGTACCCCACACCACAGTTTAAAAGGTCATATATGGTTTAATTAGCCAAAGGCCTGGGAGAAGAGGAATGTTTCTGCCTGGCATCCAAAGATTTGTAAGGAAGGTATCAGGCGAGACTCCCTGAGGAGAGCATTTCACAAGCTGGGAGCCACTACAGAAATGGCTTATGAGGTTTACGGGTTGGAAAATGGGGTTAATATTCTTCCTTCAACATTTGGCTCAGCTTTATGCCACTTTTAATTCTTCCTTCTTGTAGTTCTGGCTCACCTACTTTGGCCATTAGTGAAAAAGCAGAGGAACAGCAAGGCCAGGAAAGGCAAACCAGGGTGTCTCCAAGCATATCAGTTCCTTGATGGATAAGGAAATATCACTTTCTGCAGAGCAGGCAACGGGGTAGCAAATTCCTCAGTACCAGAATCCATTGGCACTGCTGTGCTATCTTTTAAAATCCACATGGCACAACTGCATCTTCTACTGAGTTATCTTTGCTGTGGCCCCCAATGCATCTTCCATGCTGAGCTTGGAGAGAACATAAGCCCAGATTCAAAAAAGTTCAAGACTTTGATTGGCAGAGTGCAAGGTGTGGACTAAGACAGGCAAACTCAAGGCCTGAGTGAAAACAAGTATAAATATAGAATCCCCTTTTAGCCTTTCAGCCCTAACCTATCTCACAGGGCAGTTGTGGTGATTAAATGGGGAGGGGGAAGAATAACGAAGGCCGCCTTGAGTTCCTTGGAGGAAAAGGTGAAATATAAATGCAATAAATAAAAAATAAGCATACATCCAATATCCTTTCCAGAAGAGGATAAACCTGCATCCCACCCACCCTCAAACCACATCCCAGAGAAAATGGAAAAGAAAAGAAAGGAGAAAGAAAGCCAAGTTGGAGTGAGGGGGGCGGAGATAGACTTTGTTTAAGGAAGAGAGTCTCCCAGCAGTAGATATGTTTCATCAACCCTCTCAGTTCCTCATTTGACTGATTCTTTGCTCACCTTGGACTGCGCAAACTGGAAAATGCAATAAGAAGCTTGTAGGGGAAAATGCATGTCAGATTGAATCCGATTTATTTGTGGTGGCTGGGAATGTCCTTATTTTTAAGGGTTTATTTTTAGAAATTTTTGAATAGGGCTTAGAGCAGGGAGCTTTTAAGGGTGGTTGCAATAACATTAGTGACGGTGGGCAGAGCTGATGTGTAAAAGCTGTCCTCAAAATCCAATTACAGGAGTGCGAAAAGGTCACGTTGTCGTTGAGTCAAAGCAGGGTAGGAAATGCCTGCACCAGGGAGCCGCTGCTGGCTGATTTTATATGGAATATTTCATGCCAGTTGTATATGCAAGCTCCATGCAGCCTCCCAGTTACAGACTGTTAAAAGCCCGTTAAGACTATTCCTCTTCTGAAAGAGGGTTGCTCGTAAATCACATCTGAGCAGCTTGTTAGATCACAGCTCTCCAGTGTCTGAGGCTCAGTTCCCATAAAGCACACTACAATACGCGAGGACCCAGCTGCCTGCTGCTCACTCAGCATTCACCGGCCTTGACCAAGTGCTTGAAGTTAGGAGGCCTATGAGAAATGGTTGATGTGAGTTGAGTGACAGCAGCCAACGTAAGGACTCTGTGCTTTCAGCAGCTGCATAGCAGGCAACCGAGTCAGCTTTCCCCATTGCTGCATCTCTCTTGCCTGGCAAGGCAGCATTCGCAGAATTTATGCCGTTCATTCAGTTTTACAGGAACTCAGCGGTGGTGGGTGGGCTAATAGGTACACGGCAGCAGCCTTAGGGGGAGCAAGGGGAACCCTGCAATTTGCATGGAAGGGGTAAACTGAACTAGGCTGATTTTGGCACCAGTTTGTTGAAACCACTGGAAGAACAGTGTCTGCATGTGTCAGAGTGGGGGGGAAAGGATGGGAATTTCAACCAATAAAAATGTAAATGACCTGGTGAGTGTTTTATTGTTCAATAAAATGCACAGCTTAGTTTGCTGTGTGTACAGTAGTTGGTGGGTTCTCTGCCAGGGGCTGCTTCAAAGACTCTGCCTTTCTCTTCTCTTGAAGAAGTTGGAGACGGCTGGAGAGTATTTTCTGCCTCCATGGTCCTTCTGCCCATCATTCTTTCTCACGAGGCAACTATAGTCCTGATTCCTCTAGCTGGTGCTTCCAGACGTCCTGTCTATTGAGCATCCATCTTGATTTGTTTGCAGGAAGGGTAGATGATGTTGGCTATTTAAAGAGGATTCACTCTGATTTGTTTGTAAGGCGTTAAAATGATGTTGCTTCAAAGCGTTTTCCAGTGCATTTTCCCATCACTTTCCTTATTACAAGACATCCTATCTTTCGGTGAAGCATGTTTCTTGTGCAAGACCCCCAGTTGGCTTTAATTGTGCAACCTGGATTTGATGGTATGTGGTTGAATCCCAGCTGAAAATAGCACAGGTAAGTGTGAAGGGAAGGGCCGTTGAAGCAGCAGCAACATAATACACAGTCTATGGTTGGCTCCAGATGCTTAAGAGGGGCATATGAAAAGTCTACGGACAAATCAGGCTTGTAAGTGGCTGTTTTGGCCCATTATTTATTTATCTAAACAGGCTCATACCATCACATACACATACACAAAACCAGATGTAAAAACAATGAGACAATGAAACACAATAAAAATCATCATAAAAATAAAATCAACAGCAGGAAGAAGGAAAGAAAGAATGCTAAGCAATAAATAATGCAGCTGACAAAAAGAAAAATTTCCTGAACAACAACAAAAATGTTTTGACATAATGCTGGAAGGCCAGACCTGCGTAAGTTAAAAGGCCAGAGGCAATGGCTTGAAAAGTCCCTGTCCTGTGTACCCACTTGCCTAAATTGTCAGGGTGCAGGAGATACAGAGAAGGACCTCAGGTGACTACCAAGAGTGTTGCCACATTCAGAATAGTGAAAGAAGGTGGTCCCTATGATTGGGAAAGGGCTGTAGCTCAGTGGCATATTTATTTATTTCCAGGGGGATATCTGGGCTAGCTTCTTGCAGCAAAAACAACAAGGAGGCCACCTCTCAATCATCACTATTTTCTGAAAGGGAAATTTAAGTTTATACAACTGAAGGGCTCTGTTGCTCTACAGCGGCCTTCACCAACCTGGTGTCCTCCAGATGGCATTGGACTACAACTCCCATCAGCCCCAGCAAGCACGAGAAAGGTCAACCTGTCCAGCCATCCTCACTAGGGAGCATGATGGGGAAGGCTTCACCTGAAGAATGTCATGCAGCTGTAAAATGCACAGGAGCCCTAACAGAAACAAGAAGGCAACCCTTCCATTCTGTGTACATCCACCCGCTCAAGTCATGTACGAGCATGACCTGGAGTAACGGCTGTATTTTGAACACTGAGAAAACAGTGCAGAGAGAAGCTACTATTAATATCTTTTTTTAAGAGTGGGAGATCCTAGTCATGGTTTGGCTCTCAGGCTGTGAAGCTTGAAAGCCCGAGGAATTGTTTGTCATGCAGAAGAGAAGGTAGCTAAATTTAATTTGCAGTATAAACAGACCAACATTACGTGCCACTTCCTGGGAATCGTTTCGGATACATTGTGGATGTGAAGGATCCCTGCAGACAATATAAAGGACAAAGGTAAGAGGAAATACGCGTTTCTGAGAAACTTGCAGTTCACAGTTCTCTGTTTTCATCACCTTCTGAAAAACTGCATATAATATTTATGCTTTCCTGCCATACAAAGTAGTTTTCAGTGGTGAAGAAGACATCAGTAGCTTTCCATGTTACTTTAAATGTGTTGGTTACAAGAGCAAACTCCCATATAGTAGACATTTTGATCGGTGGCCCTTAGACAGATGTAGTCAACATGGTACCCTCCAGCTGCTGTGAACTAGAACTCCTGTTACCCTGCCCATTGGCCATGCTGGATGGGGCTGACGAGAGCTGTATTCTAGGAACATCTGTGGGACCCCACATTGGTTATCGCTGCCCTAGAATATCAGCAAACAACATTTTTGCTCACAACCAACTTCTTGGAACAAAACATGGTACAGAGTTATGGCCTTTCTCTTTTTAAAGTGGCTTTGCTCTTATTTATGCCATTAACTTCTCATTCCATTCTGCTTTATTTCTCTCAATTTTTCCTACTGCATCCCCACTTTGTTTCTCCTTGAGCTCAGTTTCCTTTTTGTTTTTTTAATATTTTATTAAGGATTTTCTTGTTTTACAGAAGTGTAGTGCCTTGTATTTTTTTTTCATGTAACATTTTTACAAATCCGTTTCATTTGTTGAGGCATTAGGGGGAGAAAAAAAAAGAAAAATGTAAGTGGGGGTGGAGAGAGGGAAGATGGATGGGGGTGGGGTCGGGTGGCGGTGTTTCTATTATGTTTAATGTATGTAGAGTTTGGTGTCAGCGTTGCTTGTGTGGTTCACTTGTGTTCCTTTGGTGGTGAGAGAGGTTGGGGTTGGCCTAGGGTGTGATTGTTTGCTTGTGATTGGCTGTGGTGATCTTTGTTTTCGTGTGTGAGTGAGGTGGGTGGGTGTTTTGGATCAGGTTAGCCATATTCTTATTTGTATGCTGTTGGTGGATTATTGTCATTGTCCTGTTGGGCTGTGTATGTGATAAAGGGGAGCCATACCGGGGTGAAGGCGTCTTCTTCTGTTTGTCCCCGTGTCAGTTTCAGTTTATTAGTTAATTTTTCTAGTAGGGCTGTTTCCCATACTATTTGGTACCATTGGTCCATGCTTACTCCTGACAGGTCTCTCCAGTGTCTGGTTATGGTGTTTCTGGCTGCTGAGAGCAGGTGGGTTATGAGTTCTTTGTGGTGTAAATGGGCATTGTTGTCTTGGAAGATGTTTAGTAGGGCCAATTCTGGGGTGATGTCTATTACTTGCTTAGTTATTTTACATATTTCTTGTATGGCTGTTGTCCAGAATAGTTGGATTTTGGGACACTCCCACCACATGTGGAGGTATGTGCCTGTGGAGGTGCACCCTCTCCAGCATTTTGGTGAGGTTCCTGGGTGTATTAGCGCTAGTTTCCTTGGTGTTAGGTACCACCTGTAGGTGAGTTTCAGTGTGAGTTCTTTTCTTTTCGTTGATATGGATTTAAAGGGGGGTTTAGACCACATTCTGGTCCATTGAGTGGGGTTAATCTCATAGCCTATGTCATTCTCCCATTGTTTTTTGATTGCGTCTAAGGGATTTGCGGGATTTTGGAGTAGCATTTTGTATATTGCGGATACCGTCCCTTTACCGTTTCCCTTTGTTGTTAGAAGGAGGTTTTCGAAGGTTGTCAGGGGCCTAGTTGCTGCTGATTTTACTGTTGGGTTGTTTAAGAGGGCATGTAGTTGGTGTTGTGTTAACCAGGGCATTTGGGTGTCTTCTAGTTTGTCTTGTATTTCTTGTGTTGACAAGGGTTTGTTATTTTTATAAAAGTCTATTAGGCGATATAAGCCTTTGGTTCGCCAAGTTTTTATCTTGAGGTTTTGTGCTGCATGGTGGAATAATGGGTGGTACGCCAGGGGTATTAGTGGGGATGGGATTGGGGATAGTTTGCCTATTTGTGTTTTCCATGCTTTGAGCATGGTCTGTGTGTACCTGTTAAGTGTTGTGGGAATTTTCTTTAGTTTGTTTGGGAGGAGTGGGTATGTTGTGGTGCAGGTGTTTTCAATTGTGTCCCTCTCTAGGTATACCCATTGTTTTGTCTCATCTTCTAGTATATATGGGATTATGTGGCGTATTTGGTTGGCATTGTAATATGCTTCTATGTTGGGGATTCCACATCCTCCTTCTGAGGTGGGGAGGTGCAGGTATTTGGGGCTTATTCTTGGTTTTTTATGTGAGAAGATGAAAGAGTGTAGTTTTCTCTGCCAACTGCGAAGTTGGGTTGAGGGGATCCAGATTGGGAGGGTTTGGAATAGGTAGGTTAGTTTTGGGAGTGTGATCATTTTGATCATGGCTATTTTGTCTGAGAGAGTGAAGTTCATGTTATTCCATCTCTTTAGGTCTTTGTTAAATTGTCGCCACAGGGGCTTGTAGTTGTGGAGGTACAATTTACTGAGGTTTCTGGTTATTTGTACCCCTAGGTATCTGAACTTGGTGTGGCAAAGTTTTATTTTGGTGACCTTCGTGAGTTCTTTTTGGGTGTGAGGAGGGGTGTTGAAGCACATAGCTTCTGACTTTGTAAAATTTACCTGTAGGCCCGACACCATTGCAAATGTGTTGAGTTCTCTGATTAGGGAGGTTGCTGTGCTTATGGGGTCTGGTGTTGTGACCATTAGGTCATCTGCAAAGAGCCCTAATTTATAGGTTCTGCCTTTTATTTCCACTCCCTTGATGTCTGTGGCTGCTCGGATGCGGATTGCTAGGGGTTCCAGAGCCAGGATAAATAAGAAGGGAGACAGTGGGCATCCTTGTTTCGTGCCTCTTTGGATAGCTATAGTATTAGAATCCATATTGTTAGTTCTGCATTTTGCTGAGGCTTGGGAGTATATTTGTTTGAGGATTTGTAGGAAGTTGGGGCCAAATTTCATGTTAGTTAGTACTGCTAATATGTATTTCCACTCCAAGCAATCAAAGGCTTTGAGGATGTCTAGGGACATAATTGTCAATGGGAGTTTGGTTGCCTTGCTGTGTTCGATCAGGTTCAGTAGTTTCCTGATGGGGTCTGTTATATTGCGGCCAGGGACAAAGCCAGTCTGGTCTGGGGCTATTAACTTGTGTAGGAAGATTTTTAGGCGGTTGGCCAAGATTGATGTGAATATCTTGTAGTCTTGGTTTATTAATGAGATTGGGCGGTATGATTCTACTTTGAGGCTGTCTTTTAGTGGTTTTGGGATGGAGACTATTTTGGAGTGGGTCCAGGTTTTGGGGATGGGGCCCCCTTTTATGATGTCGTTGAATAGGCGGGTCATGTAGGGCATCAAGGGTTCTTTGAATTTCCTATAGAATTCTGCTGTGAAGCCGTCTGGGCCTGGTTGAGCTCAGTTTCCTAACATTGGTACATCTCACCTCTCCATGAGGTTAAGGTGCTTCTGTAACTAGTCAGTAGTCTCTCTCCCCCAACCCATCCACCCCACTTTATGCCATGGGAATTTAAAATCTTGTATTTTTTCAGAAGTCAGAAACCTGCACTACAAGGACAAATCCTTGTGTGAAAGTCACTGGCTGTTTGGTTGTGGACACCAGTGGTTCCCAATTAGGGGTCTGGGGACCTCTGGGGGTCTGCAGAACGCACCCAGGGAGTCTGCGGCCCCATCCCTTTCCTCCCCCCAACTAGTTTTTGTCATTTCTGCACGGCAATATCACAAATTTTATGGTCTGTTTTAGCGCCTTGCAATTTTTCAATATATTGGCCAAAATCGTTTTTGAAATCACACAATGATAACGATTTTGACCAGTCAATATGCAGCGATATATTGTTCCTCGTATGAGAGAGAGCAGGGCAGCCAATTCAAGGTATCGCTGATATCGCAGTATTATCTCAGCTGATAATGCTGCTGATCTGAGCTGCCTTCCCTCACACTGAGGGAAAACAGGGCAGCCCTTTGCGAGGTGCTCCCTTCCCCTCATGATGAGGGAGAACATGGCAGCTGATCACCCTCACTTTAAGGCACCATGGCACTACCTTCCCCTGGCATGGAGGTGGAGCAGCTTTTCAAAGTCCACAGGAAAGCAGCAGCAGCCACTGTGGATCTGCACCTTCACCAGCTGCCACCAAAGCAGTAGCTAGGTGATCTTGCGCCCCTGGCAGAACTGTCCAGATTGCGCCCCCCTAGCCACTGACAAATTAGCTCTTCTTTCCGCCTCTCCTCCAACCCCCCCCATTCAATTCACCCTCCATTTAAATCCTTTTCTTATGAGGCAATAATCAATATTTTTATTTATAGACATATTTCTGGACATATTTTAAGGCTGATTTTGCACACACCCCTTCCTGTGCCCCTGGCAGGGGCCCACCTCACCACCCCCTAGCTACGGCCCTGACTGCCAGCACTGGCTGCCCCTCCCACTCAATCCATGCAATGGAGGTGATTCCACTTCCTCTTCTCCTCGCACCCATCCGATCTCTGCGGCTGCTCCTTCCCTCATCCCCACACCTGATCTCCAATTTCAGGCATCGTGATATTTCAGAATATCACGTTTAGCTGCTGATACATCACAATGTCGAAAACCAGGTATCACTCAGCCCTACTCTGTTTTTTAGTACAATGGTACCTCAGGTTACATACGCTTCAGGTTACAGACTCCGCTAACCCAGAAATAGTACATCAGGTTAAGAACTTTGCTTCAGGATGAGAACAGAAATCGTGTGGCAGCAGCAGGAGGCCCCATTACCTAAAGTGGCACCTCAGGTTAAGAACAGTTTCAGGTTAAGAACAGACCTCTGGAACGAATTAAGTACTTAACCCGAGGTACAACTGTATACCTAAAATCCGTTGCTTATTAGGGGCCACCCCACATTGTGTTCAAAACATTGCTTTGCAGAGGTAACTCCCATAAAGTTATCAAACTTTTCAAAAGTCCAGGAGGTCCGTGGCTTGTCTTTTGAAAAATAGGGGGTCCTCATAAATTAGCTAATTGGGAACATAGCAGGGCACCCCTGTACGAAAGGAAACAAACATGGTTTCACCCACGAATGCACTTTGCCCAAATCCTGCTGACAGAATGGAAATCAGCCACTGTGTCCTTGCACCAACCTTTGGGTGACCTTCCAGGGACATTCTAGAAGCCATTGGAAAGAATTTCTCATTGTATTATCTAGGAGTTTCCAAGGAATTAGTCAGCAGGCTGGAATCGGGCTGCTTCCCCCCCCCCCATCTCTGGAGCTGGACCGATCCGAGAGAAATGTTGCCAGGGTGACAGCAAGATGTGATGGATGGGCGGAGAGTGGCTGTGGAGTGGCAGGGCTGCTGGTCAGTTACCCAGGCCTGTGTTTATAAGAAGGAAGAGGCTGTTTCCTGCAGCGAACATAATGCAGCTCTAAAAATGGCAAGGGAAATACATCATGTGAGGGGAGGGCTGCTGGGGAGCTGAGGACCAGAGCGAGTCTGCAGGTCAAGGTGCCTCTGACAGGCCTTTTTAATAGGCTGTTTGCGTGAGAGTTTGCTGCTGTTTCTCTGGAGCCTGATGGCAGCTGAAGGGACAGCCAGGATTCGGGAAGGGCATGCTCTAAATTACCTCTTTCCAGGGCGTGCTGATTTATTTAGAAAATAAATAGCCAATACTGTCTATTGTTTAATGGCTGTCAATGACAATCCCTCCCTGGTGCAGCGGTCTTCTGTCGAACAGGGAGCGCCGGTCTCTGAGTCCTGGTATCGTGGACAGAGTTCATCTGTCAAGGAAACTGCAAGATGAATTTTGCTCCCAATGGAACAGTGCGCTGCCATACCCTTATCCTCCCCTGCCTTTACTTTGGCTGACTCAGCCCTGGAGGCAGGGAGTCCAATCCATCAGCCCAAACAGAGGAAACAGGGTCCTCAGTTCCTCTATCACCCTGTGCACCTTATAGCGCAGCTGTACATTAAATGGGTTTCCCACAACATGCTGTAATTATGAAAGGGCCATGCATTCATACGGACTTTATCTGAGACCACAAAACCATTTCCCCTTAAATTTGATCTTTTCCCCTGCAAAAGCACTCCAGGAGTTGGTGCTGGTAGAATTGAGGGCCAGTCTCAGCTACAACAGCTAAATACCATTTTACAATGCCAGGACAGATTGCAGCGCTACTCCATCCCTTTTCACAGAATAATAGGCCACATGGTAGGTGTGGCACATGGTGATGGAGATGCCGCTGTCCCAGGAGATGGGCCATGAGTTGTCTTTCCCATTCTTGTTTCAAGTAAAACCAAATCTCACCCTGCTTTTCTAACAAAGCCTCAAGGTGGCTTCCATGAACAGCTCACAACAATTCATATAATGCAAAAATTCCTTCTGTTGCAAATTAATACTGCCCACCCTTTGCTTTTTGCTCTGATGCTCAATGTTTCCTCTTCGTGTGTTTCTTTTTTCCTCTGCAATTCTACTGCAAGCTGCATATGTTGCTGTTTGAGAACCTTTAGAAAGTTGAGATGTCTGCCAGTTGAGATGGAAAGGTCTCTTAGCGTGCCTGTGTCTTGGGAAAAAAAGACAACAAGTTATAGCTCCAGGACTGGGGTGAGGATCCTTTTTCAAACTGAGGGCCACATTCTCATTGCGGCAGCCTTCCAGGGCCCATGTGTGGCAAAAATGAGCAAAGTAACTAATGCAAATTTTACCTTTGTAAAGTAGGGCAGTTTCTTCACACACCCCTCTCTACCCTGCCTCAAGGCAACCAAGAGGCATCATCAGAGTTCAAGGGGTCATTTTAGTCAGGCAAAAAGTAGGGCTGGTGAGGGATGATGCCTGGATAGAGGTGATGTGTCTCAGGTGGAGTTTGAGTCTCAAGAGCCAGATAGAAAGGTGTGGAGGGTCACATCTGGCCCCCAGGATTGAAGTTCCTCACCTCTGTTCAGGTACAATGAGCAGAACCAGCTCAGTTCTTTTCTTTCTCCAGCCGCTGGGATCTGGCAGGTGAGTAGAATGAAATTCTGCTGGGCGTCTAGAATGGTGAGCACTCACGGTAGCTGCTCAGTGTTAGAGTTGTTCAGTGAAATCCCTGATCTGGAATTCTTTCCACTGCAAGAATGCGCTTCCAAGCTTTACTGCAAAACAGTCTTAAATACTATTTACAATATGATACATGTTACAAAATAACAAAGCAATCCACTGCAAGCAAGCAATGAGGTTGTCCTTTATTAGGTTCAGTAAATTTTCCTCTTTCTGGTCCCAGAGGGAAATCCTAAGCTTGCTCATCATTGCAGAACATCTCTGCAACCCGCTGCTTCTACCTGCCATCTCCAAGCAACCACACACACAGTTTCTCAAGCTTCAGCTTCCTGCTGTGAGCGCACTGCAGCTCCTGTCTCCAGAGATGAGTCATCAGGTAGCTTATCTCACTCTAATGGGGAAATGCTTTCTCTGCCGCATTTGCCAGAGTGGAACCTTTTTGCCTAAGGCAAGCATGGCCAAACTTGGCCCTCCAGATGTTTTGGGATGACAATTCCCATGACCCCTAGCTAACAGGACCAGTGGTCAGGGATGATGGGAATTGTAGTCCCCAAACATCTGGAGGGCCAAGTTTGGCCATGCCCAGTGGCGGAGCTTCATGCTCTGGGACCGGGGGGTGGAAAGCAGGTGGAGGCGGGGCTGGCGTGCATCCTGGGGGCGTGGAACCCAGCACGGGGGGTGGGCAGCCGCGATGGCACCCCACTGGGGTTGCGCTGTCAGGGGCGGTACTCTTCCCCCGCACTCCTCTTCCTCCACCAGTGGCCATGCCTGGGCTAAGGTAAACTTCCATTATAGCATTTTAAATACAGTGCATTCAAACACAACATTTTATGTAGATTAAACGTATAACTTTAATACTCAAGACTCTGGTGAATGGCAGTCAGAATGATTTCCTCCCTCCATGCTTATTTATGGGCATGCCCTTTGTTTTACTTCACTATATATCTTCACAGAGACTAACAGAACTGTCAGTTCCTGGACCCAGAGTCTGATTTGGCAATCTCAGATTTACAGACCTTCTCTTTAGAGGCCAACCTTCTGTGATTCACTCACTGAATTCAGTTTCATTCTGCTAAATATTTATCTGCCTAATAGCCCAGTTCTGTGCATGTTTACGTCACAATCCAACTGAGTTCAGTCAGGGATGGGGAACTTGTGGTCCACCTGTTGTTGAACTCCTGCTCCCATCAGCTCCAGCTGGCATGGTCAATGGTTAGGGGTGATGGGGATTGTATTCCAACAGCATATGGAGAGGCTCCTTACCTCTGCTATTCCCTAACCTGCCTTCTGGCTCATTTTGAATTTCCCTGCACCTGCCAATGTCTTTCTGCGCAATGATAAATGATTATACTATCTCAGCTTGAGTAGGATAAGAGCATAACAGTTGCATCTCTGACACTTGCATGCATTTGTGGTTAGGGATGTCAGAGAATTCCGATGAAAACAGGGGTGGAAATTGCTGGTGTTCACTTCTTTGTCCCATGTCCGGAATGGAAATCAATCCAGAAAATATAATCACGACTAGCTGCTGCTATTGCTTTCAGTCTGCAAATGATATATACAATTTATTATGCCCCTCTATTTGCATTGCATTTTCTTTGCATTGAAATGAATGGGGTGGAAGAATGTAAGAGCAGTGTAAATTAAATAAGTTATGTACCGTAATTTACATAGGTTACAAAATTTCACCGCGGTGGACAGGGAGATGAATAATGTCATTTGTGGTGGAAGATGAACTGCAGTGGAATAGAAACAGTGCTTCATGAGATGAATTCAGACAGAACAGAAAACAGCAGCTTCTTATATCCCTACCTGTGTGTATGATGCCTGTCTCTAGAGTAGGACCCATCTGTCAGGCACCTGAGCATTTAATTTAATCCCATGCTACAATGTTCTTGCTTAGCAGACGCTTCCTAAACAAGCTAGTCATCTGTATCTTGTTCAGTCAATGGCTTTCCACCAACTTTCCACCTTTGAATCTGTGCAAGAATTCACTGTTTGTACAGAGCTGTTTCCACATTCATTCTGGTTTTAAAAATACAGTTTGTTTTTAAAATACTGTAGGCCTTGTTTCCTGTTTGTTTCCATGTTCCCCAGGGGTTTATAGGTCTGATCTGAATGAAACATACCTCGTATTTGTCCTTTCCAATGCCCACTAGACACCTCTCAACAACCACTTCTTCTTCACAAATTGCTTTGCTATCCAGGATGATATTTTAACTTCTGCTGTGTGCAGCCTCTGTTATTCCATTTCCCAAGTTGAAATCAGATGTGTCAGAGTTCAGATTCATAGCAGTTTGGGGTTTTTCCTCTGCTTTCTCCTCTGTCCTTTCATGCCGTTAACATGGGAGAGTTTGAATAGTGAAGTTCTGAGAGGGAGAGCTGCTATTTTCAACCGCTTCCCCCTTGCCCAGCTTCCCCCCTCTGAATGATCTAGGTTGCCAATGGAAAGGGTGTGTCTTCTCCCCTGAATGGTAGGCAGGGATATTCCTCCGAGCATGGTATATATATATATGCCAGTGAGCAGAGCGTTCCCACTTTGTGGTAGGAGCAGGGCATGACTCTGCTTGTCTGGGATGATAGCCTGGGGGCCTCTCTCCTGTGGCTGAATGAAAAGTTGGGCTTGCTGACATTCTCTTGTCAATCTCTGCCAGCAATTGGCCAAATGCAGCATCTCGTCTCGTCAGACAAAGGGAAGACATGGGTGTTTCCTTCAAGGAGGCTGAGGAGCGCTGAGTGAAGCTCTAGGAATGAGACTGAGTCACTCAGCCGATGGAGACGCAGGCCCTGCATTAAGAGCCTGGGCTTGCTCTGCCAAAGTCAAAAGAGGCTTCAGGCAAGGTGAATAGGAAGCTGCCTAAACCATGGGTAGGCAAACTGAGGCCTGGGGGCCGAATTTGGCCCAATCACCTCCTAAATCCGGCCCACAGGCGGTCCGGGAATCAGTGTGTTTTTACATGAGTGGGATGTGTGCTTTTATTTAAAATGCATTTCTGAGTTATTTGTGGGGCATAGGAATTCATTCTTTTCCCCCAGTATATAGTCTGGCCCCCCACAAGGTATGAGGGACAGTGGACCGGCCCCCTGCTGAAAAAGTCTGCCGACCCCTGGCCTAAACTGTAAAATAAGCTGCTGAGAACAGGGCTGTGGAACCTTAGATCTGATGTCTGGCCCTCAGGACTCTCTCAAAGCCACACTCTCTCCCCAGGCTTCACTCCTGGTCTGCAGCCTCCTTGAGTGCTTTTGCCTGGCTGGAATGTCCTTGGACAGTGACAATGCTTGCCTGAACAATGGATGGAGAAGTGTGTGTGTGGTGTGTGTGTGTGTGTGTGTGTGTGGTGTGTGTGTTTGTATGAGATGTTGAGATGCTCTCTCCCTCCTTGCTGGCACCATCTTTTGGAGAAGGATGTGCTGAAGGCCACATTTGTCTCAGTTTCTATAAGGATAGTAAGCTGTTCCTTCAGATATTTTAGGATTAGTGAAAATACCGTATATCATTTACACTGGGCTTTAAGGAATGACCACTTATTCATGCCGCCAGCAGCAGTGACCGTCTTAACAATGTGTAAAGTCAGGCCTTACTCTGGCTGGGTACATACTATACTTTTAAAGCACATGTAAGACATTCCTCAAAAAACTCTGGTCACTGTAGTTATTTAAAGAGCTGCTGGGAATTGTTTTTTTTTTTTAAAGCAATTTATTGGGTTTTACAATAAAAATAAACATGATGAACAATATAACATTTGTCTTAACATAGTTTCACATTTTCTTTGGACTTCCTCACATCTCCCGCTCCCACTTTCATCGTTATAACATTTTATCAGCAATTTATCATCTTATTTAGATTCTTATATCCCTTCTATATTTCATAATCTTGTAGTTCTCGAAAGGAGTTAGATTTTCACAGTCTTATTTGTTTTCTTAAAGAAAATTCTAAATTTAGTGGTGCTCAGTTGTTTTAGTCTAGCATCTTATTTAGCATTCACTCAAATTACAATGTTTTTGTAGATAATTCTTAAATTTCTTCCAATCCTCCTCTATCCTTTCTTCTCCCAGGTCGCGAATTCTGCCGGTCATTTCAGCCAGTTCCATGTAGTCTATCAGTTGCATCTGCCATTCTTCCAGTGTGGGTAGATCTTGAGTTTTCCAGTATTTTGCGAGAAGTATCCTTGCTGCTGTTGTTGCATACATAAAAAATGTATGGTCCCTCTTTGCCACCCCTTGGCCGACAATACCCAAAAGGAAGGCCTCTGGTTTCTTAGTGAAGGTATATTTAAATACCTTTTTCAATTCATTATAAATCATTTCCCAGAACGCCTTCACTTTAGGGCAAGTCCACCAGAGGTGGAAAAACGTTCCCTCACACTCTTTACATTTCCAACACTTATTGTCAGACAGGTGGTAAATTTTTGCAAGTTTGACTGGGGTCATATACCATCTATAAATCATTTTCATTACATTCTCTTTCAGAGCGTTACATGCGGTAAATTTCAATCCATTACTCCACAACCTTTCCAGAGCTGCTGGGAATTGTAACTCTATGAGAGGTAAACTGTAGCGCTCAGGATTCTTTGGGGGAAAGAATGTGTTTTGAATGTACTTTAAAGGTATATTGTGTAGGCAGCCTTTAACATTCGCATTTGGCTGGTTTTAAACAAATTCAGTCATGTTGTTTTTAACAAAAACAACTTGTTTCAAATACTTTGACTTTGGAAAATATGAAACTCACATCAGAGAGTGTTTTTCTTCTTCTTTTGCTAATGAATTGTACAACTTTTCACCAGGTATACTGCTTAGCTGTATGATACAATGAAGAGTAAACAAGCAAACCAAACAAACGCCAGCCCTGATAGTGTATGCAGTTCAAATTCTCATTGTGTTTGGGATTTTCTGCTTCTTGGCATCTTTCTGTTACTCTAGCCACTGTAGAGACATACATTTAATGTACCAAATGACTAGGGCTATAGAAAGCCGCTTGGCACCGTATTACTTCCTCATTATGTACTGCTAATGTGCCCATCACAGCCATTAGTTGGAGGTCTTCTTCATAATTACATTGACACTTGTTTCTTTATCTTGTTCTCCTCTGGAATTTCATGCTTGTACATCTAAGATGCAATTTCATTGCCTATCTCTGTGTGTTGTTAATGGAGATTATATTGCCACGCTTGCCTGAATATTTACAGCTACAAGGTGGTCGATTTGTTACACAGAATGTGGGTAATGACCAACGTTGTGTTAGAGACTGCAGAAGATCCTTATTTATCATGAATACTTGATTTAGTTAATAAAAAACATCAAATCACAGACTGAGAAGAGAACAGAGGACAACTAAACTAGTGTAGTGATCAGGATGTCAAATAAATGATTGGGAAGGCCCAGGTTTAATTCTCTACTCACCGATTAGGCTCTCATTGGTGACTTTGCTGCCTCAAACTCCTTAGATGAAGGGCAGGATAGACACAGAACTAATTCACTTGGGCTAGATCAGTCCCTTCCTAAGGCAGGGTTCTTCATTCCTCATTCCCCAGTGCAGAAAGAGGGATGTGGACCAAAGAGTTCCAGAGGACTTGTGCATCATCCATGTTTTAGGAAAAGATGACTCCCTGGTCCTACCTACAGTTCTCTGAAAGATTCACATTCAGAAAAAAGGTAAGAATATTTTGCTTTTCTGATGCTTCTCCATCAGAGAACTGAGGATGTGTTTTGAAGCAAGCTTCTCAATTTTCTAGCTACTTACTGAGGATACCCCTTTCTTTCTTAATGCATTGGAATCACCCAGGAAGACTTATAACAATTAAAATAAAATTTAATAAAATTTTAAAAGCATAAAAATGAAAGGTGTGTGGTTGACTTAGCCTGAAGCTGGACATCTTCTACACATGTAGAGGGTTTCTAACATGAGAATGTGAACCCCAACGGGTCAGGGTTTCTGTCTCAATGGAGAAAACCCTACACATATTGAAGTGGCCTTGTTCTGATCAAGCTTATATTGCATTGACTGTGGAGCATTGCTGGCATGTGTGTCGTCATCGTCATCATCATCATCATCATCATTGAGGTGGGGCTAACTCCAAACGTTCCCACTGACTCCTTTACATGTTTAGAAAAGGACATCTGGAGAGGGCTAGTTTCAAAGTAGTTCTTCCAAACAGTTGTGACAAATGGTGGCAATCCAAGAATTAACAGAAATATGCTGTGCTTTACATGCAATGAGATAGCCCCTTCTACTCTCAGCAAGTCTATTATTATGGAGAACAACAATAGATCTTAAAACATGTTTTGAATTATCTCCAAGTACTAAGGTCGTCATGTTCCCATATTCTTCTCCCTACAAAGTTTGCACATGGATTGCAGCTCTAACAGCTCAGCATGGTGGAACGATCATGTTTCCTCTTTGCAATCTCATAAAAACAGCCTGTGTAGGGTACAGTGATACCTCAGGTTACAAACACCTTGGGTTACAAACACTTTGCGTTACAGACTCCACTAACCCAGAAGTAGTACCTCGGGTTAAGAACTTTACCTCAGGATGAGAACAGGTTAAGAACGGACCTCCAGAATGAATTAAGTTTGTAACCAGAGGTACCACTGTATAATGGTTGGTAGGGGGAGAGCTTCAGAAGCACCTATGCATGGTCCCTGAAGGGAAGGTGTTCTTGGAAGCAGTGGCTCAGTTTGTAGCTAACCAGTCAAGCATCTTCCAGAATGTGCTCTTCAGAATCCATGTGTGACGCAGAGCAGTCAGGGGTGTGTGTGCGCACTGGGCTGCCTCCCAGACAGCTGGTGGGTCCCTTCCCTCAATAATCTTGACATTATCTCCCAAACAGTTGTTGCTTGTTTTCTTTGGCCTGGTCTGTTATTTACAGTCCCCATCCTGCTTATGGTTCATGGTTTCATTTTTCTTCTGGTGTTTACTGAGATCTTTCCCGAGTATTTGTGACGTGATTTTATTAGGGGACATGGGAGAGATGTCAGACACTCACCATCTGGCTCATCCTCTCCCACTAGGTTCTCAGGCAAAGCTTGTGAAGGATTCACTGTCCTACACCCATCAGTTAGGCTCATGGCTACCATGCCTATTGTTACATGTGCTCCACTTTCTCATCTGGTGAGAAGTTCTAGGGGCAGGGCTACTGGGGTAATTTCCCATTGGATGGAAGACAGCATTGGAGAATCAAGATGTGCTTGTAATCAGTTCTAATCTTCTAAAAAAAGAGGTGCCAGAGCTCACAATGAACTTTTTTGTTCTCTTAGAATGACAATGGCATCCACCTGAGAGATGCCAGAGCTGAGCTATGGCTGAAAAAAGCACTGCTTGTAACAATTGCTTTGTTTAGAAACTAACAAGCATAAGTGAAGGCAAAGAGGGGCTCCTTCAAGGCAGAAGCTTCTACTCTCCATAAGGTCCCCAGAGAGACCTTCAGGCAACTCTCATCTTCCAAATTGTCAACCTCTTTTTGTTTCACACACACACAGTAGGCTATGTGTCCTACTTTATAGAGGGCTGTCCTCTATTTGAAGGCATCTTCTATTTGAAAGTCTGTCTAGGTCCAAATTTGGGGTGAAGATAAAGAACCCTAAGAAGGGAGGACAGGGTTTTTGGAGTTGCCCAGCAATACTTTTCACCTGGGCAGCAGACTGAGCAAGAACATAGCTTAAAAAAAATAAAAAAAAATAATTTAAAGCTTACGGTAATTGTTACATGTACCTTCCCGTTCTCCAGTGCTGTGATATTGTAAAACCATGATTCTAGGGTGTTTCAGAAGACAATTTATCCGAAACATGAATTGGCCTAAACAAATCCTTAACTTGCAAAAGTTCCTTCCTTTTCCAATTTGACTATCATAATTATAGCTTTGTTAATCATTTAGTTCTACATCTTTGAGGATAACCTAGTCAAAGATAAGCACTTTCTAATCCCATGTATTTAAATGGGAGGGATTTTAGCCTGTGTTTTTTATTCACTCGTCCAAACCATTGGGAGTCAGAAAAGTGCTTAACTACCGCATTTTAGAATCCTATGAATATGGCTGAAGGACTGGAAGGCAAGCTATAGTCTGCAATGTGTAAAACACTCTGCCAAATATTGTGCTTATAGGTTTTATACATTTCTATTGATGGTGTCAATAATTTTCGGTCTTTAAAGTATTTTGTACATTCTCCCCTCTGCTGAGAAACCTCATTGCACACACCTGGTCCACTCACACAGTCAGGTTTCTTTTTATTAAGGAAAGGAATTCTTCACATGTTCTGAGGCTCTCAGCTCATGCTGGGAATTTTTTAAAAAAATCCAAACATAGCAAACCTCCTGATTAGAGATGAATGTCAAGGATCAGTTTGGCATCTAGGGTGTGTATGGCAGGTGTTTGTGGAGATAACTAGTCCTTGGCTTTTGGGAACTTGGACTGCACTTTCCTGCCAGCAAAGCATTGCTGTGTTTGTGGGAATGTGGCAGCCTCGGAGGGAGGGACATGTCAGTGCTTTTGTATTCCAGCAGGAGTTTATCTCATGGGATCTCACCAGGTTTCCTGGGTCATGCTACACCTCTTTGTTTTCTGAAAACACAGGAACAGGCTTCTCCAGAGCCAAGCGGCACTCAAACTTCTCAACCTCCATGCAGTGGCAACAGCACACAATGCAGTCCCACCCCCCACCTATAAGGGAATATGAGACTGGGCTGGGGGGAGAGGGGAGGGAGGCTGAAATTCATCTGTTTCCTTCATGCATTTCCAGTTCCACACCAGCACTGTCTCAATTGCAGGGTTCCTTCACTTTTCAGCAGGCAGTATTTCTTCATATTGGGTAGCCAGAGTGCCCCCCCCCCCCAGCACTGCCCAGGAGAATAATATTAGGCAGGGCCTGCATCAGGGAAAGCCTATAGTGCTCTTGGGGGGGGGGCACTGCCAGTCCCCAGAGCCTCTTGGCTCTGCTGTGCCCATATCCTTGCTTCTACTGCTTGTTCACTTGCCTTTCCAAGTGAGCAGTAAGAGGAGTGAGGAGTTAGAACAGGAACCTCCCATTGGTGGTGCCAATTGGGCCAGAGAGAGAGACAGAGAAGGAAGGGAATGTGCTGTGACAGCAGTGGCAAGGAAGAGCAGGTGAGGGGTGCCTACTGAGAGCATCTTGCCAAAGGACCCCCTGGAACTGGCAGTAACTGTAGGATGAGGAATCTTCACTTGCAGATGGCTTCCCATTGCTCCTAAGATCGCTAAGTGTGTTCTCTTTGTGGCAAAGTAGGCTATCAGAATATGTTTAGGGAAGCGTTTAAGGTTTAATAGACTATTGCATTTTAATATTCTGTTGAAAGCCACCCAGAGTGGCTGGGGAAACCCACCCAAATGGGTGGGGTATAAATAACAATAAATTATTATTATTATTATTATTATTATTATTATTATTATTATCTCCAGATGAAATAACTCCACACATGAGCTCAGCAGGAACCCATTGATCTGGAGATATGATGTGTTTCCCCGATCCTTTAATGCAAAGCTAGGGGTCATCCAAACTAGCATGGTGCCAGCTTTGTGCCAGGGCCAGAATGAGCAAAATACATTTTATTTTATTCTAAATTAATATTTGTTTATAAGAGTATTTAAAAACCACCAACACATAAAAAATATCATGGTGCTGTGCAATGGAATCATTCTAGCATCAAATGCTTTCCACCATTCCAGTTCCTATTGAGGGAATGAAGCCACAGGTTGCCTCTGGACCTCAATATATACCTTGTGTCCAGTCCAAGAAATGGGAATATTCAAAGTCTGTGGAGGGCCCCATCCCTTAGCCTCAGAGGGATTGCTATTTCCCCAGATGCCTCTGCATGTCAAAACCCTTTGTATGTCCTGCTCCAACATTTCTGGTAAATAATTGGTGACGCCATGTCATGAGGCCTGTGAATAACCCCAGCGTGACTTGTGAGCCTAGGATGGACATGGCCACCCACGGCCCGACCCCCTAGAAGGGCAAGGCTACTTTTGTTTGAATTCCTGGATGACTAAATGCTTGGGCTGATTCTGCCCAAACAAGGGGATGTGGGTATTATGGGTATATAAACCATGTGCAGTCTTAGTTTCAGCAAGGCCTCAATATCTCTTTTCCCAGCACCAGCTCTGGAATCCACAACTGAGCTTCTGAAAGAACCCCCCATTTTCTCCTGGGCTCTTCAGAGATCCCCCCCCCCCGCCCCAGTCCATATTTTGGTCTCTCTAATGTTTGCAGGTTGCATGCCAGAGAACCGCACTGAAGCTTTGAAACTAACAAGGATGTCGAACACGAGGCAGCTGCAGCTTCTGCCGCCAGTTCCTTCCCTGGTCGTTTTTTCTGCTCCCTCTCTTGCCTGCTCTCTCTATAAGGATTTGGGTGTGCTGTTCAGGGATCATCCACAGATAATGACAAACCTCACATGAGGAATGGGCAGCAAGGTTGTGACAAAGGAGGAATTGGCTATTGGGTAAAGTGGGGGTAATTTTCAGCAACTGCTATTGTCTGTGCATCCAAGGCAGTGCTTGGTTATAATGCTCACCTTAGGATCAGATTAATATTTTTAGGAATGCATAGGGTGCCTCCAGTCTGTCAGTATTTTGCAGCAGAGATTCCAGCATATATAAGGAAATTTAGAAATGCACAATTAAAGTGGATTAAAGCACCTGTAGCTTTAGTGCATCAAAACTCTACTTCACCCACACTAGAGATGTGAAGAAATGGAAACACTGGGGGAAACCAATTTGGCTCCAATTTTTCCTTATTTGTCTCAAAAAGATGAGAAAAACACCCCCAGAAAAATTGAGAAAACATGTAACCACCACCCTGTCTTCTGACCCTTGATTCCAGGTGCATGGGAAATAAAATTGTTTGCAATAGATCCTGACTTTTCTCTTTGCCCTTAAGTCAACATTGCTTGTTCTTTTCCATCAGGAGATTCCAGGAAGACGTCAGCTTCATAGAAGCGTAAGAAAAGCCCTGCTTCGTCAGACCAAAGGCCCATCTAGTCCAGAAACTGGTTCTCACTGTGGCCAATCAGATGCCATGGGGAAACTTGCATGCAGGACATGAGTGTAACAGCACTTTCCTCACTTCTGATTCCCAGCCATTTATTTACCGGTATCTATCACATCAGATCAAGTTTAACTCTGCAGTGCTGGAAAAAATACCATTAACATTGGGTGATCTTCTGAGTACTCCGTTCAAGTGGATTCAACTTTCAGTATGGAAAAGCCAAAGAGCCAGTTGGTTAGGTTCCTGCAGTGGCTTAAACAGAGATAGAGAAAACACACACAAGATTGCTTATTGTTTCAGCTCTAGTCACTGCCTCCAAGTCTTGCAGCTTCTGTAAACCCTTTGAGCTATCATCACCCTCAAGCGATGACAGACAAATCCTGGGATCCAGTGCAGCCTTGGCCTGGAAACTCCTGATTCTTCCTTATCCGCCAGTTTTCTTCATTGGCTTGTTATATGCTCATATTTCCAGTCACTGTCTATCCCCCTGCTGATACACTCAGCTATCTAATCATCTCAATTCTCTGCTTGTCTGTTTTTCCTCTCACAGGCCTATCCTCCTCCTGTTTCTTATGTGTTAACTGTAGACACATAACTGTAGGTCACTAGCAGAAGACAAAAAAGTTTGAATAAAGCTTCTCACTTATGAATCAAGTTTGAACATTATTTTGAACCTTTCAAATACAGCATTCAAATAGAAACCTATGAAATCACAGACAAAACAGAAGGGTTTTAAAATAATTTTAAAAACTTGGAATTTTTTTTGTCTGGGAATTTATAACTTGAGGTTTGTTTTTTTAACTGAAGGATGTCATTTTTTATGTAACTTTTTTTTAAACCCCTGCTAATTTTATTTACAAATTTTATGGTGAACTTGTTTTTAATGTTTGGTTTTCTTAGTATATTTTAATGAATGTTTTATGTTGTTTTATGTAAATTATTTGGCAGTTTCTGTGGAATAAGCATTATATAAATCTAGTTAGTTAGATAGATAAAGAAGTAAATGATAAAATGAAGGGACGCTCTGAACTGCAAATTTGAATATCACACATATTTACGGTACTTATTTTATTATTGATGAATTTACATACTGCCCTTCCTCCTGAAGGAGCCCAGGTTTGCAAACAAATCCAAAGCAATGCATTTGAAAAAGTGTTACAACATTATTTAAAAAAAAACATTCTAGTAGTTTTTATATGTAACATATTTGTGAATTAACAACAACAACTTAAGAAATGATGGCCTATATCTGTCACCTGACACAGGCGTTTCACTTAGTTTAAGAGTGGGGCTGGCCATGGGCTCATATTGGGGGAATAATTTCCACTGATATAAGTGGTGTATGCGGCCACTACTGAAATCTTTTGCCATTGCACGCAAAACCACAAGGCTGCTGCATTCCCAGATCAGGGGGTTCTTTTATCCTGAATGATCATTTTCCACAGAAGTGGCTTCCATCTCTCCCCACCCTTCCCTTTTCACAGAGAAAGTACTTGCAGGCAGAGGAATGTAAACACATTGGAGCTTTGCTCTCTTTGAGTCTCTGGTTCTTGTCCTGGAGCAGGCATATACAAATGAGGAATCCTGGACAATGGAGCTCTCGCTCCTCCTTTTCTATCCCAAGCATGGCCTGCCTTGGCCTGCCTTTGAACTGCTAGTTCTGAGGAAAGACAGCTGTGGAGATTGGCCTGGTCTGCTAAGGGCATCCTTCTGCAAATGCTTGCTGCTAGGTCCTGCTCACCTTGTTAGAAACCTACCTAGCCATTTCCTACTTCAAACACAATAACCCTTGAGGATGGGGAAGGCCTCTTCCCCAATAAACTCACCAGGAGTGAGGGACCCGTAGCCTTCTTCTATGTCTTGAGCTAAAAGAGCTTATGGCACAGGCCTCCATTGGCATAAGAACTTAAGAGCTCCAATCTGAGTGGGCATCTGGTAAGGGAGGTTTGGTCTTCATTGAGCATTGGGGTCCTACTGCAGCCACAGTATAAAGAGAATGTCACCAGGGCATCAAAGTTAAGGAAAAGGAACCAGGAATAACTTTGAGAGATGCATTCTTGTAGAACAAATCAGTTGAGGTAAGTTTGAAGGAGTTGGGTGTGTTTAACCTGGAGAAGAGTCAGTTATGAGTCAATATGATGGCCATCTTCAAATATCTGAAAGGATGAAGATGGTGAAGCAAATTTGTTTTCTGCTGGTCAGGTGTGAGTAGGGCCTGAACCAATGGGTTCAAATTAGAAGAAAGGGGATTTTGACTAAACAAGAAGAATAACATCCTGATGATACAACATGTGTAGTAGTCCAACAGATTGTTTCAGAAGGCAGTGGACTCTCATTTGCTAGGCTGCATACACACTATACAGTGGTGCCCCGCAAGACGAATGCCTCGCAAGACGGAAAACTCGCTAGACGAAAGGGTTTTCCGTTTTTTTAGCTGCTTCGCAAGATGAATTTCCCTATGGGCTTGCTTCGCAAGACGAAAACGTCTTGCAAGTTTGTTTCCTTTTTCTTAACACCGTTAATACAGTTGCGACTTGACTTCGAGGAGCAACTCATAGAACGCAGTGTACATAGTAGCCTTTTTTGAAGTTTTTAAAGACTTTGGTGATTTTTGAAGCTTTTCCAAAACTTCTTTTGCAGCCATTTGGTAAGTTGAATTTCTGTGTGCTGGGTGGCTGGGGGAACAGTTGGGGAGGGGTTTGCAAGAATCTGGAAGCTTGTGTGTTTTTTTCTGCATTTTTATGATTTTCTGTGACCATTGGGCCACTCTGCTGTTTTTTTAAAAAATTTCTGGATTTGAATTTCTGTGTGCTGGGTGGCTGGGGGAACAGTTGGGGAGGGGTTTGCAAGAATCTGGAAGCTTGTGTGTTTTTTTCTGCATTTTTATGATTTTCTGTGACCATTGGGCCACTCTGCTGTTTTTTTTAAAAAAATCTGGATTTGAATTTCTGTGTGCTGGGTGGCTGGGGGAACAGTTGGGGAGGGGTTTGCAAGAATCTGGAAGCTTGTTTTTTCCCCCTGCATTTTTATGATTTTCTGTGATCATTGGGCAACTCTGCTGTTTTTTAAAAAAAATTCTGGGTTTGAATTTTGAAATGCTCTTTACAGTATGTGTGACTTTAAAGAGCACTTAATAAACTCTTGTTGTACCAAATTTGGCTTTGTTTGGACTTTTTTTGACCATAGGAACGCATTAATTGATTTTCAATGCATTCCTATGGGATTTCGTGCTTCGCAAGACGAAAAATTCGCTAGACGAAAAAATTCGCGGAACGAATTAATTTCGTCTTGTGAGGCACCACTGTACCTTTAAAGCACATTTAAAGCACATTTCCCACCTCAAAGAATTATGAATACTGTAGTTTATTCCTCACAGCAACCCTTAACAAACCACAGTGCCCAGAATTATTTGCGGGGGGTGGGGGGTGGGTGGGGACGACACCTGGGAGTGAGAAACATCTACTGCAAATCATGCAGACATCTACCAGAAGATCCCAGTGTATCTTCTTCCCACCACTGAATTAATGGTATTAATATCAGAACAGTTTTTATCATACTCATTATCATAAAACAGGAAACAATTATGATGTAAGTAACTATTTACACAGCAGACATAACTCTCCATGCATCTGAGTTATTTGCTTATTTATATAGAGCTCACGACAAATGAGAATGTCACGTATGCTCAAAAACTGAGGCAGCTCTGTGCTTTGTAACATATTTATGGCCAACTTGGATGGCAGGACATGCATCTTGTTTGCTGTGCTCGTCTGAAATAAAGCTGCCAAGTAAGTGACTTGTCTGAGACCATAAAATGATTTATTGCCGGAGAATTCTTAAAGTGTGCCACTATTCAGCTGCTTGAGAGCGGAACTTTTGCTCCTCATTTTAACTCTCCCCTCTTTGATCTAATATATAATTCCCTTCTTAAGCACAAATCAATCAATCAATCAGGGTTATCCTTGTGCACAAGTAATTTTGTTGCTAAAAGTCTGGGTTAACAAGTGTGGGGTGAAATACATCAAGGTTACCTAGCGTGCTAGTTGTCAGCTGGCTTGAAGCAAGTGACCCGCAGGGGTGGCACAGCTGAGAAGAACTTCCCACATGCAGCTGATATTTTGCTCACATGGTGGCAATGTTCAAAAGCACAGTCATCTCAGTGCAGTGGTGTAGTGTGGGTTGCCAGTACCCCGGGCCATGCAAAGGGGGTGGGAGGGAGGGAAATGGAAAGAGTATGCACGCTCATTCAACTGCCTATTAGCGTCTGCATCACCCAGCAGATCACAGCAGCACAGGTAAGAAGAGTTGTTCCCTTGTCTGGAGAGATCACTTCCTGGTTGACGTGCAGAAGCTGTTTTCAATGGAGCCCCACAATGGAAGCATGCAACTGTATTGAGGCAGCACTAGGAGTTGATTAACAACTTTCAATGATCACTGAAAAAAGCTCGGCAACTGTGCCCGGATATATACTTCTTGAAATATGACAACCCTAGATTTGAACCTGGGACCTTCTACATGCCAGGCAGGTGCTCTACCACTGAGCTCCGGCCGTAACCAAGATACCAGATACAAATTCTTCATGATGTGGCCTTCTACCCAAACAGGTGTCAAAGCCTCATAGTTCATGGACTCATTTGGGTGGCATTTGGTGGCAAGCTACTGTCTTGCAGAGTCAGTTCCCCCAGCTGCAAAAACATGTAAGTTTCCTACTCTGCAGGTTAGAAGAAACAGGCCACAATGCACCTGGAAACCTAAAAGATTCCATACAAATGCTTTGCCAGGGCCCAAGGCAGAGCCCTTTCACTTGCTCTCTTAGGTAGACACACCAGGGATTGAACCCGAGATATCCTTGGTATTCCCCCTCCCTGTTAACCATTGTGATCAGTGGTGTAGTGGTAAAAAAATGGCATGCAGGAGCTCATCATGGTAGCCCCCATAGCCCCACCACCAAAATGCAGGGACATACACACATAGGTATGTATATGCGTGTGCCCATATGACCTTATTTTCTGACTTTGTTCTGATATGGCACAAACAATAGTAAAACTCAAAACCCCATTCACTTGCCAGAGCAAGGGCATCAATTACTCTGGCACTCCAGCAGAGGACATCACCACTTCTACACAGAAGAAGTTCCAGGACTGTCCTCCCCTGTTTCCCTCCTCCAATACAGCACATTATGTGATGCTCAGTCACGGGGACACATCGAAGAAGAGTTACGGTACATCCTTTGGTTTCCCAATTATGCCATAATTATTGTAAAAAATGGTACATGGAGGAAGTGCACAAGAATGCCCCCCCCCTTCTATGTTATCTAGGAACTCATTGTGTTTCCAAAGGCCTTCCCTAACCATCCCTTCACAGTACTTTTCCTTTCGGTATAGCATCTCTGATCCCCGTCTCATGCAAAAGTTGAGGCTTTCAAGACAATCTTGGGTTAGCGGGTGTGCGTGTGGCAACCAAGGGTTAATGCTGCAGATCTGGACATGTTGTTAGGGATCAGCTAATCTGGGGAATCACAGCAGAAAAAGCTTCCTGACCTGACCTTGGGGTCCGAGAATGAAGACAGCCCACTCTTCTTAGTCTGGACCCATCTGCCAGAAAACAGCTGTGGTCAGAGGAATGCTAATGTCACCCAGATTCTGAAGAAACACAGCTACCTCGGAGCTGCCGAGGGAGGATAATGACCACAAGTAATGTAACCCCAGGACAGGAAACAACTGAAAAAGGTTGGGGCAGAGAGGACAGGGCAATACTACCCTGGTAAAATTATAGAGCTCCAGGGCCGGCTCTACCATTTGGCAGAGTTAAGAAGCCACCACCTCAGGCTGCAGGTGCTCAGTTGACAGCCACATGGCTTCTCCCAGGCCTCCTAATCTGGCCTGCTTTGCTGTAGGGTGCAGCGGAGGATGCTATCCTGTCACTAGTGTTAAGAGTCAACTGATGGTCCAGTTGGTTTCTCTGTGTGGTCGGGAGGTGCTGCCATTTTGTCATTTTCTGGCCCTTCAGGCAACAAAATATCTTGGGCTGCTCCTGCTTCCTTTGAAATTTCTCGGGAAGGACCAGGAGACTGACTCACTGGGTCCAAAGAAAGCACAGTTGCCAATTCCTGATCTGGAAGCACCACCTATGGCTGAGACTGTGAGCTGCTATTCAGAAAGAGTAGCCCTTGCCCTGATGTGACACTGGTTCAATCTTCCCTCTTCGTCTGTGCCTTGTGTAGCAGGCTGGACTTTAGTCCATTCCCCACCTGTTGTGAACAAGGACTATTTGGAGCATCAGTATGGGAATCCTAATTCTGAACATTTCACTGCTAAGGTGCTGCTGAAGCTGTCTCCCGGTTACAAAAAGTGTCTGCAGCTTTTGATTTAAGAGATAACTTTAAGCACATTTAAAGGACATAACATCTGCCAAGAACCTGGGGATCTGTAGTTTCCCCTTCACAGAGCTATAATTTTCAGCACCCTTAACTGACTACAGTTCCCAGTATTGGGGGGGGGGAGCCATGTGTTTTAAATGTGCATTGGCTATGCTTTAAATGGTGTGGATCTGCCTGTGGTCTGCTTGGAAGCGACAACTTGGGAGATTGGCTCGATGGATGCTACCTGGAATTGTTGGCAGTGGCAACAAGAATCTGCATGGATGGCTTTTCTGTAAAGCTTCAGGTCAGGCTAATGGTGCAGGTAAATAATAATGCTGTCATTGCAATTTAACCTGAAGATGGAAATGGTGCGCTTTGCGGGAGGTGGAGTTAGCCATGATACCTATGCTCTGCCTCCACAATTGGAGTTACAGGTAGGTAGCCATGTTGGTCTGCCGTAGTCGAAACAACAACAACAAAATTCCTTCCAGTAGCACCTTAGAGACCAACTAAGTTTGTTATTGGTATGAGCTTTCGTGTGCATGCACACTTCTTCAGATACATGCACACAAAAGCTCATACCAATAACAAACTTAGTTGGTCTCTAAGGTGCTACTGGAAGGAATTTATTTTTATTTTGTTTCCACAATTGGAGGCAGTAATGTTTCTGAATGACGGTCGCTGGAAACCCCAGGAAGAAATAGCACTCTTGTGCTCAGGTCCTCTTTGCAGGTTTCCCACAGGCATCTGGTTGGCCACTGTGAGAGCAGGATACTGGACTTAGATGGGCCATTGGCCTGATCCAGCAGGCCCTTCATGTCCTTGCAGATTTGACCAACTGCGACAAACCAGAAACTGCTTTGCATCTACACCCAGTTCTCCTCTTCTGGGCCCCCTCTCCACTCTGTGGGGAGTCTCTCTCCACAGCCTCCATGGTGGATGTGAAAACATAAACATGGATTCCCTGCCAGGGCATTGCTGAAAGGTGGGGCTCTGTAAGTGTGTGGGGTGGGGGGAGGGTCTCCCTCTCTCTCGGCTCAGGTATATGAATGCTCACATTGACTGGCAGGTCATTTCTCTGCGTCAATCATAGTCAAGAGATTATGGGGCAGAGGTGCCTCCGGGCCTCTTTCTATGTTTTCTCTTTTTACAAACTTTTCCATGGCAGCCTTTGTGTACCTGTGCAAGATTAAAGTACAGTGGGTGGGGAGCTTGAGGGGTAGGGAATGATAGTTCTGGCAGCAAACTGCCACATGCATCATTACCGGAGGGCTTAAATGCCTCTAGTTTGGGGGGACCTGCGTATGCGTTTCCTCCAGTACTGTCTTAATATCCTAGCAACTACACTTGGTTCTAAAGTGAGGAACCGCTAAGATGGTTGTTGTCGTTGTTGGTAATTAATTTACATGGTGAAATGGGCTCAAAGCCTGAGAGCAAATATTCCATTTGAGATTTGGATAAATTTATGGATGAAAGTATATACATTTTATCTGAATACAGTGGTACCTTGGGTTAAGTACTTAATTCGTACCGGAGGTCCATTCTTAACCTGAAACTGTTCTTAACCTGAAGCACTACTTTAGCTAATGGGGCCTCCTGCTGCCGCCGTGCCGCCGAAGCACAATTTCTGTTCTCATCCTGAAGCAAAGTTCTTAACCCGAGGTACTATTTCTGGGTTAGAGGAGTCTGTAACCTGAAGCGTATGTAACCTGAAGCGTATGTAACCCGAGGTACCACTGTATGCCAGTTAAGAGAGAATTGTTATAAGCTGCTGGGTAGGTGGTATATTATAAAATACATAATATCAATCAGAATCACCTGTATACGTGTTGGAAATGTCAGAAAAAGGAAAGAGGTTCCCCCTCCCCCAACGTGTGGTGGAATTGTGAGGAGGCTTTTTTTTTCAAGGCGGGGAGGAGAAAAAGTAATACTGAAGAAGGATTGCTAGAGCCATTGTTATTTTTACTGAATGAAGCAACAACATGAGGAACTGGCTTCTCATATGCTGGCAGCAGCCGGAATCTTATATGCACAGAAATGGAGATTAATAACAATACCATCTATTAGTGAGTGGATTGAGTAAGTGTGGGAGTTTGCTATAATAGCTAAACTAACATATTACATCACTGAAAGAACAAAAACAAAGACAGGATATTTCATGGCTCATAAGATTAAGCTTATTGAATATTGCAAGCAATATTGGTTACCACCCAAAGTTCATTATGGGTTTACAATATTCAGTTAGCTCAAGGAAGCATATTTATAAGGTACTGAAATAAATTGGGTGCCTATTGTTATAAGAAGGTAATATAATTCATTTCTGCAACAGTCTTGGCAAAGGCTAGCAATTTAAAGACTTATATCAGTCTACACAAAATATGGATCTAGGGATCTCCCTTGCAAATGATCTCTAGAGCCTGGTGATTCTCTCCTGGTATGCAGAAAAGAGAACAATAGATTGACTGCGGGGCAGGATCCCAACATTTTTCTTTCCTGTATCTTGAGTGTATCGCTGAGAGTAGTGGGGGCCCCCAAGTTTTAAACAACCACAACCAGAGGAGGTATCTTCCTCACCTTATTTATTATTACATTCAAGGCTTTTTCCCAATATAATTCCAGGTCCTAGTCCAACACTAACCACTACACCATGCTGGCCTTCCTGACAAAGGCACTTCCCAAAATTTACATAATTTCATTGTGAGGTTCCATGATGTGTTGATTAAGCAGCAGAGGATATGAATAGAAGGGTACAGAAACTTCCTAACGGTACATTTTCATTTAGCATGATTTGGTGTGTTAGGATTTTCCTTCAACTTTTAAAAGAAGTAGCAATGAGACTAAGTTATGGTTTCTAGTCTGTCAAAAAAATATTTGGAGATAAAAATATGGGCAAAGAGGATGAATGTTATAAAAAAGCTTGGTCTTATAAAGCTGTAATCTCTTGTTGAGAGTTTTTTTTCTTTTTTCTTTTTAAGAACCAAGGGCCAGTCCATAATTGGGATTATCTCTCTGGGAATGGGAGATTGAGTTTTAATCACAGAAGCTTCTTGTGTTACTTTCTGTGTATCGAGTCTCTGAGAAAACTCCCAGAAACAGAAGATAGTATCTTAATTTGGATTCATCTGAAACTATTTTTAGATGCATATTTGTTTTATAGAAACATGCACAACTTTGTGGAAAGAAGAGTTTTGTAAGAATCCAAGTTTGATTCTCTTTCTACTACGCCATGGTTATAGGGGTGGAGGTAAAACCAGTCAGTGGAAATACTTCTATCCGTTAAAAAATTAGTAGACATTATTATTATTTCCATGAAAAGCCACATCCACAAGTAATAGATAATTAGGCACTTACAATTTGGAATCTTAAATACTTACACAATTTTAAATATTCTGTTAACAGTTTAAACCTTTAAACTTTAAACCACAGGCTCAAACTTTTTTTTTTTTTACAACATCCTTTCCGTCTTCTTCAAACCTAGTTTTAGACTGATGTGTCAAAGTACCAGATCCCAGCTTCTTAAATTCTTCATGTAATTCTTAGGGTTCCTTAAAGATGCCGCAAACTTAATAATTTATATTTGGTCCATTCCCTCCCCTGTTTATTGCAGGATCTGTGCTCCTCATGTGTGCAAACTTATTGTAGCAGGATTAAAAAAATTTTTTTAAAAAAACTTTTATTAAGAATAATGTGCCAACGTATTAGATTTTAGGTCACAAAGAACCACAATACTAATGTAAAATCTAACGTGTTGGCAGAACCTGGAGTTGGTGGCTCAGTCTTTCAGAAGCACCAATGAGCATGACTTTCCTAACTCAATTAGCAGGATACTATTTTTAACATGGAAAAGGTATACTACTGGATTACTTCATTCCTTTTTTTCCTTTAACAAAATTTATGTACTGCTTTATTATCACAAAACTTCTCAGCAGTTTACAAGAAATATTAAACTTCTCAATAAACACACTGAAAAGCAAATAATTGGGAGATGGGTATGTTTAGCTTAGATAAGAGGAGACTAAGAGGAGATAGAATGGCCATCTTCAAATATCTAAAGAGCTGTCACATGGTAGATGGAGCAAACTTCTTTTCTCCAGCTCCAGAGGGTAGGACCCAGACCAGTGCTTTCAAATTACAGTGGTAACTCGGGTTACAGACGCTTCAGGTTACAGACTCTGCTAACCCAGAAATAGTACCTCGGGTTAAGAACGTTGCTTCAGGAAGAGAACAGAAATCATGCTCCGGTGGCGCGGCAGCAGCGGGAGGCCCCATTAGCTAAAGTGGTACCTCAGGTTAAGAACAGTTTCAGGTTAAGAACTGACCTCCAGAACAAATTAAGTTCTTAACCCGAGGTACCACTGCACAAGGAAGGAGATTCTGACTAAACATCAGGAAGAACTTTGACAGTGGAGCGGAATCCCTCAGAAGGTGGTGGACTCTCCTTCCTTGGAGATTTTTAATAAGAGGTTGGGAAACCATCTGTCATGGATGCTTTAGCTGAGATTCCTGCACAGCAGGAGGTCAGGCTAGATGAGCCTCAGGGTACCTTACAATTCTACCATTCTATGGTCATCTAATTAAAACAGTTAAAACTAGCAGTAAACTAAATCAGATTAAAACATATCAACATCTACTTGTCTGGATAGGCTTGCCTAAACAAAAATGTTTTAATCTGGCACTGAAAAGAACACACTGAAGGGGCCTGTATGATGTCAATAGGCACGGGCTAAACAAAGGGTAGGTGTTCCACTTTAAATTGAAATATTTCATGTATCACTCTCAAAATGATCTCCCCCAAAAGTTAGTAGCTATAACTGAATTTCAGGGCTGTATGGATAATGTGGCAAGTGCTTAGTATAGACCTGAGCAAACAAAAAGAGCATCAAATTCACAGTAACTGACACCATCCCCAATAAACAAAAACAAAATACCATTGTGCATAGACGTGGTTTAATGATTGTGTCCTGGAATACTGCTAGTTGGAATTCACTTTGCTTTGGAAAGGAATTTTTTTTCTACTTTTAAAGGAGTAGGGGGATAATCTGCTTCCAGGAAATGCGGATTAGTGTTCCAGATCTAGATAAGATATGCATGTTGTTGATTAGATCAAGCCTGGGGATAACAAGCAACAAAAGTAGCAGATAGAGGCCAGCTTGCTGAAAGTTTTACTTTCAACTCCAAAAGGAAGCTAGAATTTGAATTAGTAAAGCTTTCTAACCGCCTCTTTCTTCTGATAGACTGAGTATGGCATGAAAAATCTAATTGTTTAATTTTGGTTAATATTTAGGTATAATGCACATGAGCATTATCTGGCTCTCGTTTAACAAGAATTGAGAGCTGCTATAGAAATAAAATCACTGCTTAATAACAACATAGAAATAAATTGAAATAAAAAGGGGTTATTATACAGCATTTGCTTTGAATGTTGTAGCAGTCCTGATGCAGTAAAGATGGTACAGCAGCTCCCCCCAGTGACCTTACAGAGATAACTAACTCTATATGAACAGAACCCTGGTTCTGCATCATGTTGTTTATAGCTGAGTTCTATAGTTACAAAAAGTGGACATTTGCTTATTTACCCAGTAGTCCTAGGTGTAACCTGAAAAGCACCCAGTGTAGTATAATCCATTTTGCAGTGCAATCCTATCCGTGTCTATTCAGAAGTCTAGGTTAAGAAGCTGTAATATTGCACCCTAAATTTACTATCACTTGCTACACTTTAAGGCTTATAAATGCAGACTTTGTGGCTTCAATACCTTTTTCTTCCCCATCCTGCTGTGCCTAACATCCAGCCGAATGAAGAGTTCTGGTGAACACATTGTCCACCCAAATATTTATTACGGTTATATTGTATCTACTAGACTAAGATTGAGAGCAGGGATGCCACGTCTTTTAATGATATCAGGTGCTTCATAGTTGTTAAATAATAAATAAGCAAACAAGCAATATATGTGTTTATTTTTATCCCATGTTGTTTTCTGAGAAACAAATATTTTATTTATTGACATAATTTTTATCCTGCTCTTCAGACAAAAAGGGCTCCCAGGGAAGCTTGCAATTCACTACAGACAAGACAATCCCTGCCCTCAGGTTTATAATCAAAAAAGCTGCAACAGAAAAGGAAAATGGATTGGGAAGGAGGGAATGTGCACACTCAGGTACACGATCATAGTTAAAATAATTGTGTTGTACACTCAAATGGTGAGAGAAACATATTGGAATATGGTGTGTGAGAGTGCTGCACAATTGTCAGTCACAGGTGCACACAGAATAGCCCCCAAAGCCCTTAAGATACAACAGCTAAAGAAGTTTTAAAAGATAAATGTGGTAGATTGAGTTTCCTTTCCTTGCAGGTGGCAGTTGTTGACACTAGACATGTACTTCCATGGTGTTCTTTTTGGTGCCTGCTGAAAACGGTTCAGCGTCACCATCAGTGTGACGAAGACCTGGGTTAGGACATCTCCAGCACTCCATCATAACCAGCAACCTTTCCACCAACGCTGAGCTAGACTAGCATATTGGCAAGGCAGCTGTGGCTCTTCTCTCCAAAAGAGTATGGAGCAATGTGATGTTAACGGCTGATACCAATATGAACGTCTACCAAGCTTGTGTGTTGAGCACACTGCTTTATGGAAGTGAGTCATGGGCAACTTACACCCACTAGGAGAGACACCCCAATGCTTTCCATATGTGCTGCATCAGGGAGAATTTGGGCATCACATGGCAGGACAGTCTCAAACAAAGATGTGCTCTCTCAAGCCCACCTTCCCAACATGTTTGTGCTTCTTCTGGCTCAGCGACGTCTGTGCTGGACTGGTAATGTCCATAGAATGGAAGATGGCAGGCTCCCCAAGGATGTGCTGTATGGGCCTGTTGGCAGACCAACTCTGTTACAAAGATGTCTGCAAAAGTGAGTGGAAGGCTGGCAACATTAACCTCGTTGTGGGGGAATCCCTTGCAGACAACTGGAGTGTCTGGAAATGGTCGTGTATTCACAGCAGTGACCGGAGGAGAAATGACCGCTCCTCTGGGAGGAGCACAGAGAGAAGAAACACCATGGTACACCTGCATCAGCACAAGCTGCAACAAAACATGTCTCTCCTGTATTGGTCTCTACAGCCACAGTAGGCACTCTAACTTTCCAATGGGTTCAACTCCTCTCTGGAAGGTGAGGTTTGTAACTGTTTTTTAATTGATAACTTTAACATTTCTCGTGACCCGCTTAGGGCTTTTATTACAATAATACTAGTTTGTTTAATTAATAAAACAACCGCCTCCTCCTCGGCCCACATAATCTCCTCTCCCAAGAGCAAACAGAGTTGACCCTCCACTATTTTGGGTGCTTTCCAGGTGGTTTTTGCAAATTCCAGAATCTCCCCGCCTCGCTCCGAACCAAACCCCCGCTCCCCCCGTTCCTAGCGGCAGAGCATCTGCCCGCAGCTGGGCCTTATGAGAACCCGACCTATCCCGTTTCTACAACAGGCTTTATGACTCCTTCTCCTACCGCGGAGGGATTGGTTATTCGTAGCTTTGTCCCGCCCTTAGAAAGCAGTGGTTGGCTACCCTTCAGGGGCTTCTCTCGTATGCGGTATTCCATTAGCCGGCAATCTCAAAATTCGTGCGATTGGCTGTCCCGCCTCGCCCCCCTCGAAAGCGGCTCTCCGATTGGCGGGAGGGCGCGCCTCCCTGCTATTGGGGAGCGGGGATTCGCTCTCCCCATCTCTCTCTCCCTCTGCCTCCGTCTGCGGTGAAGGTGACACTCTCCGTCTCCTCCAGGCAGCGGCTTTCGGGGGGTTCCAGCTTTGATATTGTCCCGCAATGTCTCCCGGAGGGAAATCCGTGTTCACCAGCGTCCCGCAGGCCCCGCCCGTGGCTGTTTTCCAGCTCACGGCGGATTTCCGCGCCGATGGGGACCCGCGCAAGGTCAACCTGGGAGTGGGAGGTAAGAGAGCAGGGCGGGAGGAGGGAAGCACGCGTGGATGCGGCTCCTGGTCGGAAACGGGTGGTTGAACTTGGAGGGAGGGGGGTCAAGGACCTAAATCTGATCTCAGGGAGCCCTGGGGAGACGGGAGCTGTCATTCTCTGCAAGTCCATCACCGACCTGTCCTTTTTAAGAGGGGTCCTCCTGAGCCTTTGAGCAGCTGTGAGACAGACAGAAATCCGTCAGGTGATGGCGTCTCTGGAATTGCAGCTCCGTGCCAGGGAACCTTTGCACTTGTTGAATTTCTGCCTATCACCCATCTGTCAAAGAGGCACAGAAGAGCTCTGTTTGAAAAGAAATCGATGGGAATCGGACAAGGATGCAAGAATCTGACAATTGAGGGCAGCGATGAAAACAATTTGTTATTTGTTAACAATCACAACCAGCTGATTCAGACATATTTTCTAGACTTTCAAAATCCTGCATAAAGTCTCGACTCTAGAGAATCTAGCTCCTGTTGATCTGTTGTTGTTTGATTCGTTTTGTTCCTTGCCTAATACCAAATGGTCACTATGTGACTCTCAACAATTTAAAAACATGCAAAATTGTAAAGCAGTATAACATTGCAACAATATTATCAGCAGCACAAAACTGCAATGATTAAGTGCATAGCAACCATAAAACAGCATTGGCCATCAAATGGTAAGAGCACTAGTGGAAGGGACCATTACTGAAAAAGCCCTTATGCTTTCAGTTGAACATGCATTGGTGTGTGTTTACAATTTTAACTACATTGATGATCTGAACTACTTGGGACCATCTGTGCAACCTCTGGAAAAATTCTTTACTTCTCTTGATGGCTTTCAGGCTTAGCAGGGAGAAATACGCGTCAGAATACTTTCCAATTCTGTAGATAAAAAATGGCTAACACTCAATGATCCCTGATCTGCCTTGCACACAGTTGAAATCCAAGGTGCTTCTAGACTATCACTATTTTCAAGAAAGATTTGATCACATATTGGCAAATTGAGATTGCACATTTATAGTTTGATTGGGAGGTTTTGTGCCACAAACATGCTTCCCCAAAATATTAGACTGTTTGCGATAAGGAGTGTGCTGGGGGAAAGCACTGGAAAGTGCAGAATAACACTGGCTTTTGATGCAGTGTCAACTAATCTTGTCTTCTAATCTCCCTGCAACCAAATCCGGATAAATCAGGTTGTCTGGAAGCACCCCTAAAGAAAATCACACTGGTAGGTTGTGGGGATGAAAGGCTCTAGTCTCCTGCAATTTGCACCCTTTCTTTTGCTCATGCCTTTGCCATTGGATTCATGAAGGAACACCTGAGAAAGTTCAGCAGGAAACTACATGTAATGATTGGGTTGTGGTTATAGGGTTCTGCACATATCATCTGTTTTGCCTAAATGGAAGATTTGTACGCTTTTATCTGCAGGCAGACAGAAGAATGCTCTGTATCCTTAAATACTGTTTATACTTTATGGCATGTAATTTCTCACAGCCACGTTCAGTTTACAGAAATTGTATTTGTACTTCATCTCACCTGCAGATCTTTGGCTGTACCGTTTATAAATATTAACATGGGGTTCTATGGTTGATCTGCAGAATACAGAAGGAGGGTGCCAAAACTGATGCTTTTGATAGGTGTTAAAGACCCATATGGATATGAGCACTGTTCTGCTGTTGATACTTTGATCTGAGAGAGCCATTCAGAAAGAGGTAGAGCTACTAGCAAAGGGGCTGTGTATTACAAGGATCAGTGCCTAAATGGGAGACTTCTACCAATACTGGAAATGTTGAAGCAATATTGCTAATGAAGCTATGTACCCTGGTTTATAGTCAAAAGTCCAGTAATGACAGATGGAAACAAATTAAAGCCGTGAAGAGAAAAACAAGGAAATGGGTCAGGCTGATTGTGGAGATAAAAGGAATTGTTGTCTCCTTCTTAATCTAATGTTATCAGACCCAGGACTTTTTTGGATCTTTACCCTTTTTTAAATTGCACTGTCCCTCCTGCATTCATTTCCCCCTTTCTTCTTTCATCTCTATTCTGTGTCCTGTGACAATCTCGGTGTGTCCTTTATTTGGGGCTTGTTTCCCCAGTACTTTCTACAGTTGCTACTGATTGGCTTCCCTCAGGTAGGGGGCTGTGATGCTGCCTAGACCTTTGGCACCTGGTGTTCTTATGACTGGGCTACAGCTGTCAGGAGATCTGGGCTGGTGCCCATGTTCTGCTTGGGTGAACCACACGACCTTGAGCAAGTTAATGCCGGGGCCTTGCAGGAACTGGAAAAGGGACTCTGCCCTTAAGCAGCAGAGACCAGGCTGAGTGTAGTGTTTAGTTAGCTGCCAGTCCTGCAGTTTCTAAAGCATTACCCTTTTCTCCCAAGTTGTAAAATCTATGGTTGCCTGGTTCCCCTTTGCCCCAAAGTCCCTGCACCTTCTGCAGGTGAATAGCTCAAAGCTTGACCCTCAGCAAACTAATTAGAAGCCAGCTTGCCAGTTCCCTCTTTGCCAGTATCCTCTGGAATACTTGTCGGTTGTTGTTTGTGGTCTCTCTTACCTGTGCTCTGCAGCTCATGCTCAGGATTCAAAGTCTACTCTCTTTAATGGGCCATGCTAGCCCTTTTGCTGCCTTCAGGCATACTCTCCATGTTCTTGGCCTGAAGATCCCATTAAGCTCTCGACATACCTGAGCCTCCAATCTTGCTAGGTCATATTTGATAGCCTTTTCAATTGGAATAAAGTGCTTGGATTTGAACATGTAAGCAAAGGGGTTGTGGGAATGGTGCTGCATTGGAGACCTCCTGTGTGAGATAGGCATCCCTTTGCAAAAGGATAAAGTGAAAATTGGTAAGCGAGACTGGAAGGAGTAAGGGAGAGAACGAGCTCTCTGCAGTAAGCCTTTTTGGTCCATCCTTTTATTTTGTACCATACTTCTCTTCTGAGAAACTCAAGGCACGGCACATGTCTCTCCCAGACCCCTTCCATCTTCTCAGCAACCCTGAGAGGTAGGGTTAGGCTAAGAGATGTGTGTCTGTATCTAGAACAATTCCTTCCCCTTCCACCTTGCAGCCTATCGCACAGATGAGGGGCAGCCATGGGTCCTGCCAGTGGTTCGGAAAGTGGAGCAGATGATTAACAAGGACCTCAGCTTGAACCACGAGTACCTGCCCATCCTGGGCCTGCCAGAATTTCGTTCCAATTCCTCACGAATTGCCCTAGGAGACGACAGCCCAGCCATCAAGGAGAACAGGGTGAGCCTGAAGAGGAAACTCCTATTACGACCTTCATCCGTGCAAGTTAAGCCTTATTGAACACAGAAGAGCTTGATGGCATGGAAGAGTTAGGGTGGGAATAGGTTGGCACTGGGGCGTATAATCTCTCTCTCTCTCTCACTCGCTCACACGCACATATGTAGAAACTGGGGTTTGATTGGAACAGATGAATTTGGGGACAAGTATAGTTAAATGAAGCTATTATAGGAAACTGCATTCTTGCTTATAGGATGCCCAGGCATCTTGCTGAAAAGAGCACCTGCCTTCTAATTATTGCTTTCTCTTTGTTCCAGGTGGGGGGTGTCCAGTCCTTGGGGGGCACAGGGGCTCTCCGTATTGGAGCAGAGTTCTTGAGACGCTGGTACAATGGAACCAACAACACTGCAACCCCTGTCTATATCTCTTCTCCTTCCTGGGGTGAGTACCAAGGCCTGGCTGGCACTTTTGGCATGGTTTGGGGTAGAGAGAGAGAGAGGGAGGGAGGGAAGGCTGGGCTCCCCATTGTTTGCAAGCCGCCTCAGTAGACACGTGTTGCACGTACATGTTCTAGGGGTCTTGTGAAGCTTTAGACAGTGGCAATAGCACATCTTAGTAGGTTTACCCAGGAACTTAAACTCACATAGGCCTTAAAATGAGGGTTGTTTATTGATACACACACATAGAATCAAAATATTCAGCACTTCTCTTATGGCAGTAGGGAAAGCCCAACTCTCTCTCTCTCTCTCTCTCTCTCTCTCTCTCTCCCCCTCTCTCCCTCTCTCCACACACACACACACACACACACACACACACTGACTTCTTTGGTTTGGAAGAATTGGCTAAATAATTATAACCATGTCTAAACTAATACACACAATACAGAAGGAGAAGAAAGCACCCAGGGCACCAGAGAAGGAGGGGGAGGAATGGGGAAGGGGGAGGAATCAAGCAGTTTTGACAGAAATACAGTGCTGCTTGAAGCCTGCTAGTCTGTTTTCTGCCCCCTCGGCTCACATTGCAGACTAGGCCTGAGTCATGTGCAAGTGGATTAGGGAGGACCTGAGGGTGGCTTCTAAAACGCAGTGCCACTGCCCCTTGCATGAAGGTAAGAAGTCAAAAACAGATCTAGAAAAGCAGTATTTTCTCTCTCTCTCTAAACGTAGGAAGGGGGAGCAGATGTGGAGGCTACAATTTATAGGGTGAAGGACAGGATAGGTGAAATACTTTTCCTAGCCCTGGTGGGCAATTCTGAAGAAATAGATCTGGGGCATTTTTTTAAAGAATCCCTTCTAATCCTGAACAGCTTGAGTTTTGGCTGAAGGATGAATGCGTCTCTTCTTTTCCCCGCAGAGAACCACAATTCTGTTTTCACGGATGCTGGGTTCAAGGACATCCGAACCTATCGCTACTGGGATGCTGCAAACAGGGGTCTGGACATCCAGGGATTCCTGGAGGACTTGGAGGTGAGCCAGATATCCTTATGGATTGGGTGTAACATAACCTAGAAGGAAATCTGAACATCTGTGTAGATGTTCTACGGGAGCAACATTTCTAGCCTATTGTAATATTGGATTTAACATCTGGTTAGCCAAACGTTTGCTAGGATGGGCTGTGTCTCTTGACAGCAAGACAGCACCATGCAGGAATCCCATCTTCTCACTCAGTGGGATTCAGAGAGCTGTGGGTGGATCTCCCTGTGTGGATCTGATGCTTTCCCTACCACATCTGTTCATGCTTCCTGAACAGTCATTTCAAACAGGGGGCCCTTTATAGAGCTGCAGCTGGAAGGGGAAATTTGGAGAGCTTAGAAACCTTGATATGTGTGGAGTTCTTTGGATCACAGTCCACGCTAGTCTTGTAAAAATGTATGTGTGTCATTGTGGATGGCACTGTTCTATGTGAGGGTGCCTTGTCTTGTTAGTATCTATTTTATATACATAGAATATCAGAACTTTATAGACATATAATATATTCAAAAATTCTTCACTATCTGATTGAAACCTGTATAGCTCCTAAGTCTTATCCATAATGCATATATATAGAACAGGTTAGTCGGTAGAGCATGAGACTCTTAATCTCAGGGTTGTGGGTTTGAGCCCCATGTTGGGCTAAAGAGTCCTGCATTGAAGGGGGTTGGACTAGATGACCCTTGTGGTCCCTTCCAATTCTACAATTCTGTGTTCATCTGGAACGCAGCATCTTCTATCTGGCTCTTTATTGTGCAATCCCATCAGTGAGTATCAAACATAAATGGCTAGTGCCACTTGATGCTTAGGGTAATTTTTAATGTTTGATGTTTTATCGTGTTTTTGCTATTCTGCTGGGAGCCACCCTGTGGCTGGGGCAACCCAGTCAGATGGGCAGCATACAAATAAATAATAATAATAATAGACTGGGTTTTTTTCTCTCTCTTTCCACCCAGAAAGCTCCAGAGTTCTCCATCTTCGTCATCCATGCTTGTGCTCATAACCCAACTGGCACAGACCCCACACAGGAGCAGTGGAAACAAATTGCTGCCGTTATGAAGGTATTAGCAATTCTGCAACAAGGTCCTCCCAGAGTCTGTGCCCAAAGCCATATTTCTGGACGTTTTTGAATTAATTTATTAGTACTGTTATATTTTTATCCTGCTCTCCTACCAGGAAGCTCAGCTAAATGGTATATAGTTTCCCCCCCACCAGTTTTAATTTTACAACCACCTTATGAGATTGGGGATACCAAGAGACAGTGATTGATTCAAGGCCACCCAGTGAGCTCTGCGGCTGAGAGGGGATTTGTATCTATATCTCTCCAGACTGACACCCTGACCAGTAGACACCACCAGAAAACAACTTTTTAATTTTTAAAATAAATTTAAATAAGTTTCTTTATAGCCACAAATACACTAGGTTCCATACTGCTGAGTGAAGGGGTGTGTGGAACCAGTGGTTCTGGTTTTTTCTGTTAAGTGTTTTAATACCTCACTTTAATCCTATTCCCAGGGCAGGTTAGAAAAAGAAGAAAACAATTAAAATGTAAATGCAAAAATGAAAAGCTTGGGAAGCACCAAAAGGGCAATAAAGTAGGTGCTGAGGAAACCTCTCTGGGGGGAGAGAGTTCCATCACTGAGAAGGCCCAGTCTTTGGCAGCCATGTGCTTTCAGGGATGGCAGTTGAGGATGCCCTGAAGTAAGTGCCAAAGACCAATCTTATCCCCTTAATTATTCATTCCTTGCAGCGCCGCTTCCTGTTCCCCTTCTTTGACTCTGCCTACCAAGGCTTTGCCTCAGGTTCTCTGGACAAAGATGCCTGGGCTGTCCGCTACTTCGTTTCTGAAGGCTTCGAACTCTTCTGTGCTCAGTCCTTCTCCAAAAACTTTGGCCTGTACAGTGCGTATATTCTTTTAACTTCCCTGCTTCTTGGATTTTGTTCTGCTCTAATGTTAAGCTGCTTTTTTATTTTGGCCTGTAAAAGAACAATTACTGCATTGTATGGTTTTGCTGTTTCATGCCACTATGGGAACCTGGTTTTTTTTTCTTGTTGTTTTTGAGAACTACAAGGTGGGATATAACTAAGTACAGATTCAAATAAAGGGTAGTAAGAATTTTCTTTTGCCCCGAGGACTGTTGCACTGGGCCTAAGGCTTATGGTTTGACTTTCCTTTCTTTTCCCTCAGATGAGCGCGTGGGGAACCTGACTGTTGTTGCGAAGGATGCTGACAATGTGCAGCGCACCCTGTCTCAGATGGAAAAGATTGTCCGCACCACCTGGTCAAACCCCCCCTCGCAGGGCGCACGTATTGTGGCTACGACACTCATGACTCCAGAGCTTTTTGATGAGTGGTAAGGAACAGCAGGGGATGCGGGTGGCGCTGTGGGTTAAACCACAGAGCCTAGGACTTGACGATCAGAAGGTTGGTGGTTCAAATCCCCGCGATGGGGTGAGCTCCCGTTGCCCGGTCCCTGCTCCTGCCAACCTAGCAGTTTGAAAGCACGTCAAAGTGCAAGTAGATAAATAGGTACTGCTCCGGCGGGAAGGTAAACATCGTTTCCGTGCGCTGCTCTGGTTCACCAGAAGCGGCTTAGTCATGCTGGCCACATGACCCGGAAGCTGTACACCGGCTCCCTCGGCCAATAAAGCGAGATGAGCGCGCAACCCCAGACGGCCACGACTGGACCTAATTGTCAAGGGTCCCTTTACCCCTTTACCTAAGGAACAGCAAGAAGTGGAGGGGTTAAGTTGATCCCTGCCACGAAGGGATCATGGGCCCTGTTTACTGCTCAGCACTTCCCCATTCTGGCCATTTTAAAAAAACTGGTGCTGGACTGAACTAATGCTTTTCCCTTGTGACAGGAAAGGGAATGTGAAGACCATGGCAGATCGAGTCTTGCTGATGCGGGCAGAGCTCAGGTCTCGTCTCGAGAAGCTGCAGACACCGGGCACCTGGAATCACATCACGGAGCAGATCGGCATGTTTAGCTTCACTGGCCTCAATCGTGAGTACAGCTTTGGGCAGTGTAGAGAGCCTGGGCAGGAAGGAGGGGGTGTGGTACAGGGAATGAAGCAGCTTTCCTGACTTTGCTTGTGGTGATCTAGCAAAAAATGGTTCTGGCTTCAACAGTACCTCCTTGCCCTCCACTGCAAGTCCAAGCAACCATCTTTACACAGCTCTCCACTATGAAGAGATCTACCTGTGCATTTCCTTTATCAGTCACTTCACAGGATCTCTTCACATTGCATCCACTTTCTGGTTGCTTACCAGCATCGTTTCCTGCTGTGACCTTGGCTGCAGCCGGCAAACCTTAGTAAAGGCTGCTCTGGGTGCCTGATGAGATGCCTGACACAATTTTCCCTCTTGCTCTTTCTCCAGCTAAGCAAGTACAATTCATGATCAAGGAGAAACACATCTACCTGATGGCCAGCGGCCGCATAAACATGTGTGGCCTGACCACGAAGAACCTGGATTACGTCGCCAGCTCCATCCACGAGGCCGTCACCACGATCCAGTAAATCGGTTGCATGTAACTTTCCCCCTACGTTTTGGGTTGTTTTAAAACCAACAGCAGCCTTTGGAAAGTGGGAGTTTTAGGCAAAGAAATAGAACACCTATTGCCTCTTGCCACTTTTCTGGTTAAAATTCTACCACTCTCTGAAGCTTCTACCAGCCCCCTCCCCACTGCCTCAGTGTGGGAGAACAGAGTACCCATTTCTTCCTTTGGCTAGAGAGAATGGAGTAGAAAAGTGGCTGTGGAGTGAGAAAGGGTTAAGCTGCCCCCCCCCCAGCATCCCTAAGTTTTTGAAAAACCCAAAACAGTGGAAGAAAGAAACACACAACTGCATGTAACATCTAGTTTGGCCCTATGAAACCAGAAAAACCGAATCCCTCCATACTGTAACACGTAGTTTGTCTGCTCCACCAACGGAGCTAATCTCCCATACCTCTTTGCTCAATATGGATTGAGAACAGCACTTTTGTCTGCATAGCTTCTTCCTGTCTTTTCAATGGCCCTCGGTTTGTGTGTGTGAGCAGGTGGCAGTGGGAATTTTCCTTCTTGGGGTCCACTTTGTACATTTGGTATTAACAGCACCTAACTCTGGAATCCAAGCACATGGCCTTGTCTGCATCTCCGTTTGCACTTTATGTAACCAACCCTCTCTGGCCCATGCCTGCTCCAGTGGAAGGGTTGGGAATTGTGGGATATGTACCAAAAACGACTGGTCTCCTTGTATGAGCTGCGCGGGTTACTTCAGGGAGCGAGGCTGGTGCTCCTTCCTTGGTTTCCAGCCTTGCACAAGCAAAGATTGTAATCTTAAGAACCACCTTTTCTGTCAGTACAACCAATAAAACATCTCTTCATGCCATACCTGTCTTTTGGCCAACTTGGGGCTGGGGTGGAGAAAGGAACAGAGCTCTTTGTTGTGTAGAAAACTGTGTGTTATCCTCGACCGCCATTGGAACAACCCATTACTATATCCAGGCACCTATTCTTACTCTCCACTTGACCTAAAATGACCATTCCCTGCCTCAGTCTCTCTAGTTGTCATGTTAAGAGGTGAGTCTCTTGTGGGAGCTCCGAAACGAGATACTCTGCCTGGAAACCTTGATGAACTATCAGTATAGTTTGCTAGAAGAGAAGGGTGATGTTACTGCTGACGTAGTGGGTGAGGGTGATGCGCAGAGTCCACAAACTCCTGATCCTTGTCTACAGCACCTGAAGCTTCTTTCTACCATACTAACTGAGGCATGGGATGATCTGCAAAGAGAGCTGGTGCCGCTGCTGCCTTTGCTTCAGCAAAACTGAGTGAAGAGCTTTGAGCCTTCAGACATGGGTGGGTGTGTGTGTGTGTGTGTGTGTGTGTGTGTGTGTGTGTGTGTGTATAGAGCTCTCTGCTGCTCTAGAGGAGCACACTATTTTGCCCATTGTTACAAAAGTTCCTAAATTTGATCCTTCTACATCAGAAAATCTTTCAGCGGCTCTTTTTCAGTGGGAACAACGTAATGATCATATTTGCTTTTCCATCTTTGTATGGCTGCAGCCATCCCTCTGTTCCTACCAAAGACACACTTTTCTCCTTGTCCGCCAAGTTAGCCCCACTCTATACCAGAACTGGATTTGAGTCCCACCTTGGGCAAAAGATTCCTGTATTGCAGGGGGTTGGACTAGATGGCCCCTGTGGTCCCTTCCAACTCTATAATTCTACAGTCCTACAAAATAGCTACAATAAAGGACATATTCCAGCTTGAGAAAACTAGAGGAGAGCAGAACATCTTGGTACCTTGACTGCAAAAGTTGGCATTAACCAAATTGAGTATGAAATGATGTAGGATGAGAATTTACCTGCACTCTAGGGGTGAAAAGCCTTTTCCTGCCTGAGAGCAGCATTCCCTGGGTGGCACATGTCAGTGGTGGGCAAAGCCGAAGGTAAAAGCAAGCAGAGTAGCTAAGGTGAATCCTGCAGCAAGCAGGCTGCTCCCTTTTAACTGTTGCAATAGGCTACTTACACATACACACCCTCTAAGCAAGCAATAGGTATTATCAGAGTTGAGGAACACATTTCAGCTAGGCAAAAGGCACTGAAGGAGGGTACAAAGCAGGGCTGGTAAGAGATATGGCTGAGGACAGGGTGTGACCTGGGGAGAGTCCCAAAGACAAACTGGCCCCTGGGGTTGAGGTTCCCAATCCCTGTTGCAGTCAAAGTGTTGCCTTGCAAGGAGTTAATGGAACTGAGCATTTTAATGTATTGACCTAGAGATAAAGCAAAGGAAACTCTGGTATTCTTCAGAGCAGAAATTTAACAGATCGTGTACAAGCTTTAGAGGAAGACAAAGGGTGTCCCTTGGGATTATGATAAATAACTGCCCTACTTCTCCTTGCTTAAGAGAATGAAGCAATGCTTTCCTGGCTACAGCAAAGGCAGTGCAGGCCTGTTTTCCATGCTTTTGCCCGAGACCTGGAGTTGGCATGAAAAGCCACTTCTCACTTGGAAACAAAAGGCTATAAGGAGGAGCTAGGGAATTGTTACCCCAGATGCCTGGACGCAGGGGGAAAAAGGCAAATCGTTCCAAACCTGTGTGATGCCAGCCACACTTCTTTGCCAGTAAAATACTGCACTTACAAAACCTGCTTGAAAATGGCTCCTGCTAGACTCAGGTCTCTAGCTTGACCACTAAACATTAGGAATGTTAAGACCAGGGCTTTTGGTGCCCCCTCACACCAGAACCTTTAATGTACGTTTGCCCCTTTCTCAAAGACATACTCAAAAGCTACACGTGAAAGGGGTTGATTTAATGTAAAACAAGAACATTTTATTTCTCCCTGACAGACGCTTGATGTCAAAACATTTTTTTTCTCTGAACCTGGAGGACAAGATTGCTCAGTGTGCACAGGTGACAGGTGAGCAGTGCGCTGACCTGCCCTTTGGACTGCCAGCCCAAAGCCAGCTGGTGCTGGTTACAAACAGCAACGGGTCTGGAACAACAGATCTGGGATAATGACCAGACAGACATGAATACAAGAGGGAGCAGATGGTACGATGCTGTTGGCTGCACAAACATGCACTGGGGCCCCCTGTGCTGGACCATGCATAAGGAATGGTGGGCACTTCCAGCAGGAAGGGGGATTGAAAGTGTGGCACCCCCTCCCTCTGGGCATTACCCCATGAAAGTAAGATTTGAGATGGTGAGGACGTTGCCCTGCTAGGATGACCCACAGGGAGCCACACGCACCACCACTTCGCGGTCGCCTTCTCGTTTCCACCTCTTTTGCTGGGCCTTCCTTGCTCAGCTTTCTCCGCGTTTTGGCGCCACCTCTCAAGCTCAAAGGGCTGCCATCTGAACCACAAGCCCTGGAGGTAGGGGATAGTTGATGTGAGACAGAGAAGCAGGTGCCATCACGCACACATGGATCTTGTCACAGTCGGCTGTCATGCTGCAGACCTGAGAGAGGAGGAAAAACAACAGCTTTTCAGCACAGTAAACTAGATGCAAGGAACCTCTTTGCCCCTGCCACATTGTTTTGTGCAGCCCCCTGTATTTATGTGATAATTCAGGGCCAGGCCCCCTACACACAGCACTTGGAAAAAAGCAGAAGGCCATTGTGCACAGAGCCAAGTGTGCCCTCTCAAGCGCACATTCCTCTCAAGCGCCTGTTGGTTTTGAAGGAAAACATGGCCACTCCAAAAACAACATGGCGGTTTACAGGTTCTTGAGAATGATATAAAGGTCTGTAGAACTATAAAAGCTGGTGAATGGGAAGGACATTAAAAACCATCACCCAAGAATGACCTGGCAGGAACCCATGAGCTTGCAGAATGCTGATGGTAAAAAAGGTAAAGGGACCCCTGACCATTAGGTCCAGTCATGACCAACCCTGGGGTTGCGGCGCTCATCTAGCTTTATTGGCCGAGGGAGCCGGCATACAGTTTCCGGGTCATGTGGCCAGCATGACTAAGGCACTTCTGGCGAACTAGAGCAGCGCACGGAAATGCCGTTTACTTTCCCGCCGGAGCGGTACCTATTTATCTACTTGCACTTTGACGTGCTTTCGAACTGCTAGGTTGGCAGGAGCTGGGATGGAGCAACGGGAGCTCACCCCGTCACGGGGATTCGAACCACCGACCTTCTGATCGGCAAGTCCTAGGCTCTGTGGTTTAACCCACAGCGCCACCCACATCCCTGATTGTAGCTGAACCTAAAAAGGAGAGATTGGAGAAAGGAAATTTCTAAAGCGGTAAAGAAGGGTGAAGGCTAATCATCCCCAAATCACCTTTTAATGAGAGCACCTCAAGACATGGAATGTTCATGTGTGAACTGGGGATGGGGCAGAAAAGAAATGGAGGAAAGGGGGGAATTATTCACTTGCTCAAACACCTGACAGCTCATATGGAAGGGAAGGGGGAGGGAATGCCTTCACGACCTCCAGAACTGAGTGCCTCCCATAAAACAAAAACAGGTTCCCAAACTTATTTACCCCACAGACCACTACAAAATTGCTAAGGGTCTTGAAAAACCTGGTTTTTCTACTTGTTGCAGCAACTGTAATATGATATGTTAGATGATGTACAATTTAAAACTGCATTTTCACTGCTTTTTTACGGTTTCAGAACGTACACAATAAAATTCAATATAAACAGTAAAAGCAGCAATGAAAAATCAATCAAAAGCAATAGGAATATTTAACGTGATAGATATGCCGTCTCCCATCTTCAACCACAATCTACAGATGTTGTGGAATACCTTATTGAAACTCGCAGACCACACTTTGGGAACTCCTGCTGTAAAGGACTCAGTTCTGGAGCTGGCAGCTACCTGAGCAATACAGCACAGCAGGGAGAAGGCTGACCAGTGATAATGGGTGCTCATATAAAATATAACCATTAAAATATAATAACTCCTCTTTCAGATATCTGGAGCCATGAACAAGACAATTCCCCTTTAGGGGTTGGGGAAACACATTTTGTGCTTGATCCACTTATTCTTAATGTGATACTATCAGAAAGCCAATTTCTCCCTCTCAAGAATACATGGAACCGGATGAACACTAACAGTGGTTTTCCACAGCACAGAACTGCACAATTAACACACTTCTTTAAAACACTTCTTTAAAACATACTTCTTTAAAACGTACTTCTAAAAAACTTTAAAACTCCACCAAAGTACACATTCATGAAATGAGATATGCTATTTAAAAAAACACACACCACCGCACAATAGAGCTTCAGTACTGGGATTGCACAGCGAACGGGTGAAGGACCACTGAAGAAATAGAAAAATCCCATATACCAAGAAGTTGAGAATGGTACTTGTGTGTGTGTGTGTGTGTGTGCGCGCACATGCAGAGACTCATGTGCCTAGCTCACAGCTGATGTACACAGCTTCATGAGAGACCAGCAGTGCCAAGAACACAGCAACACATGCCACTCACCTGTGGGCGGGGCAAGGCCATGTTGCCACTCATGTGATGAGAGGTGTGAAGTTGGAATTATCATCTGCACTCTTTTCGCTATCTGCTGATGGTTTTCTCCTCCTCCCACCTGCAATGCCAAGTAGTACACTGTTGCAGACCAGCGCCCAGCTTTAAATGGCAATGTTAATGGGAGGGTACAAGACCCTTCGAGCCTAACACATCAGGCATGACTTCACAGGCTCAGGGAATTTCAAGCAGATTGGTGGCTGGTGAATCTATACAGCCTCTGGGTAGCTTCCTCCCTAGGAGCTGCGTCCAACCATCCCTCCCCAGTGGTGAGCAGGTCTACACTCAAGTTGTCATAACTGCACAGCTGCGTCAACTGCCCCCCCCCCATTTACCCCCTCCAGGGCCTTTGATGTGACTTACTTAGGGTCCGGAGTAACTTTTTGCCCAGGGGCTCCTCTGGGCCACTTGGGGATATGCTCATCTCCATTTCTCTGTTTGAAGTTTCAGGTTCCAGCCTGAAAAGGCAGCCCTCGTTTTCTGTAAGGCAACAATATCCAAGATAAGGTACAACACGCTTCTCTCCCTGTTCCTGGCCCACCTAAATGCCACCGTGCTCCCAACATACTTACTCTGCTGCGTGCCGGTCTCTAGGCAGCCTGCCACCTCCTCCTGGATGTGAGGGATTCCCTCCATGTGCAGGAACACGGAGTCTGTCGGGCTCTTAAGATGCAGGTCTGAGTGGCTAACTGCAGGGTTCAGAAGGAGAAACCACCACAGCAAGTGTGTCAGGACGTGTGTACATTTTAAGTGTGGGATACAGGGTGGCAACAATTCAGTGAAGGATGACCAGGGATAAAGTCAAAGGTGGGCTGTTATCAGTTAATTTAGCTTTCTCCCATTTGGCCTGGTTTTAATTCACATTGAGCCTTTGCTCCAGGGTGGGCGCACAAGCAATTTACACATGCAAAATCTGTCAAAATCGGCAGCGAATGTGCTTCACCACGGTGTTCATTACTGTACACCATCACATGATCAGAACATGCCTCAAGCTGTACCTACTTCTCTCATGCAGGAGGATGGCAGGGTCGTCCTTGGGGGTCTGTGGAGTGCCTCTGACAGTGGGCGCCTTTGTGGAATCGGCATCATTGAAAACCTCCATGTCAGGAGTCTGGGGTGAGCTATCCATGTGGCTGGCAGCCAGCGCATTCTGGTACTGCTGCCGTGTGATCTGGGCATGGGAGAGAGGGACCCATATTCAGATGACTCGCTTTTGTTCATCATCTCCAAAATCTACCTTGTATCTTCTGCTACAACCCACGTCCACATCCCTTTGCAACTCAACTACTGGAAGTTCTTCCATTTTACTGCAACATCTCTTCCGCCTTCGCTATCTTTAAAACTGTGCCACCTTCATGCCCGGCTAGTGGCTTTCCCATTGGCACCTAGTAGGAAACAGGGTGTTGGGACTAGGCAGATCTTTGGTCTGGTCCAGCAGAATCCATCCTCAGGGAAAGACAGCTGTGCCTCAGCAACCAAAGGATTACAAGGATGCCCAAACCTGCCTCAAAACAAACGGGTCTACAGAAGCCCACAGCCTTGCAAGTTCTGTGTGATGTGCTATTCGTCAACCCTCTCCCTTCCATTTTTCTTTATCAAACCTTGCTCTGCCTTTTCATTTCCGTCCACCTAATTCAAGACTGAAATCTCACCAGGCATCAGCTCTCTGTTCTGCACACTGTCGATGCTACTTGACTGTTCCACTGATGAACAGCTTTCACATATAGTGGTACCTCGGGTTACATACACTTCAGGTTACAGACTCCGCTAACCCAGAAATAGTGCTTCAGGTTAAGAACTTTTCTTCAGGATGAGAACAGAAATTGGGCTCCAGCGGAGCGGCGCCAGCAGGAGGCCCCATTAGCTAAAGTGGTGCTTCAGGTTAAGAACAGTTTCAGGTTAAGAACGGACCTCTGGAATGAATTAAGTACTTAACCCGAGGTACCACTGTATACGGTAGCCTTGTACCGCAAAATGCCCAAAGAAGCAGCAAGGAGTCTGCACTTGCTCCAGTTGCCCAGCCCAGCAGATACCTTGACAAACTGCACATCACAGAGGATGTGCACGGAGTAATCTGGCGTGTAGATATTGTTGCTGCTGCTGTAGAGCTGGGTACTGCTGCCTCCATAGTCATTGCGCTCTCGGATGGGAGACTCGCCCGAGCGGTTTAATCCACTGCAGCGGGATGGCGACTGGTTCACTAGAGACAAAGAGGAAGCAGTAAGCAAAACTATTATCCCTCACAGCGAAGAGGCAATGGCTAATGTGCAGGCTCTCGGGAAAGCATTTCTCAAGTCCCTCCTCCAGTCTGGCATGTAAATTTGGCCACAATCACCTCCAGCCATGAAATCCAGGGTAGGCTCAGCCCAAAACATTTTGCTGGCGGAGGACAAAATGTACCCTCTCTGTTTCCATACAGCTGTCAACTAGGCTGACAGCTGAATCTTTAAATCGTGGTGATGTGATCAGGGTCCTCTATTGGCCCTGAAGCAGCAGGCTTCATGAAGTACATGCAGATGGGAGTGGCTGGGCAACTTAGGAGGAACAGCTCTCCATTCCATTCTGCTACCCGAAGTAACTGCCTCACTTTGCCTAAGGATAGGGCTGGCCTGACCAGGGTAGCTTCTGGGGTTAATGTCACAGACTTGCTCAAGGATAAAGAATGCTGAGCAGGGATGGGGCATTGCAGATAACAAATACAACAGGCAGAAGGCTGGAGGGAGCAGCTTGCTTACTGAAGGATTTTGCCCCCACCCACCAACATCTGCTTTAAACCAACATCTGCTCTTTCAAAAAAGCCAACAGCACGCAAGCCCACACCATGCTTCTCAAGCGGATTTGCTGCAAGACTATGCAGAGAGGATATTAGCAAGAGGAAAATTTGAGGGATTATTCACATGATGCGGATTCAGGTCACCACTGTAGCTCTGCCTGCTTCAAAAATAAGCAGGCTTGATGGGGAATAGTGCAAGAAGAGATTGAAGTAAAAAGTGGAGAAACTGCTGGCTCTCTCTCGCTGGACGAGGAACAGAAATGGCTCAGGTTTTCCAAATGAGCCTGAGAGCATGTAGCAGTGTTGCTTCCTACAGAGTCACTGAATCAATGGCTTTTATGGATAACACAACCCTTTGCAGGTTTGAGTGGCACCTTTGTCTACAGCAGTTTGGCCAGCATTGAGCAGTTCTGAGAACAAGAAGTGGGTTGTTGATCTGCTTAATTTTTTCTCCTGCTAGAAATTTGGGCACCTCTGTGGAAGTTCTGCCTGCTTTAGCATGCACCCATCAACATGTTGAGGTGTGTGATCCCCACATGCTAAGAGAAGTGACTTCCAGTCAGCCTGGAACAGGAGTCTGCTAGCACTGTTCAGGGGAGACCTTTTCCTACTCCACGCAGAAACCTTCCCTCCATATTGCTTTATGGTGCTCAAGGGGCTGGTTTAGGCATTGGTGATCAGTTGCCAAACTGAACAACGTATTACAATGTATTAAGGGGGGAGGTTTCTGAAAGTTGAAAAGCAAGCATCCTCTCTCCTCTTCCACTCACTCCTCGGATTTCCTTGTGCAGTACAGGGAGGAGAGCTCACCATGAACGTCTCCCTTGTTTATGAATGGCAATGGAACCCACCTGAGAGGTGCCAGAGCTGAGCTCTGGCTGGAAAAAAGCAATGCCTACACCCTATTTAAGATTGTGTTTCTCCTGCCTATGAAGAGCACCAGCCTAAAACCTATTAACACAGCACCTATAGCACTGGAGTTTACTTCAATACCCTTTGTTACTATGATTTTCCTCTTCAACACTGCCAACACCACACTTTCCTGTTTTATTACTGACAAAGCTGGTTAACACTATATTCTTTCATTCTCTCCACTAGCTAAGATTCATATTTTTAGCTTCGTGTTTTCTGCAGCGTTACCCCCACCCTGTCTTTTGACCATTCTGTCTTGCAACATTTCATGTCAAGTTCTCCACTTTTCTAATTCCCTTGATCTTAATCTTTCTTGTCTCTTTGATTTGATTTCCTTTCCTTTCCTTTCCTTTCCTTTCCTTTCCTTTCCCTTCCCTTTCTTGCAAGCCATAGCACATCAAACACCTTGTAGGACACCTACTGCAGTAACAAGAGATTTGTGGCCCTTAATGAGTATTTATGGCAAGAGCTTTCAGAGACTAGAGTCCACATCATCAGATGCAGAAATGTCTCTAACAGTGACTTTAAAAAAACAACCTTACTGCTACCACAAAATTTCCATATAACACCTCCCTGCAATCCCAATTTCCTAATATTTTAACTGCTGTTTATGTAAGATTTACACAGGAAATGCATGTTTACCATTTTCACATGCAACCTTGCTTTCCCCTTCTTCTTTGACCGGCACTTTCTTAGCTCATTTCCCCCATGTACGAAGGTCCCTCTTAATTTGGGCACCATGCACGTTGCTTGAAATTCTATTCTATTCTATTGAAATGAGGAAGCATGCACAGTTCAGCTGCAACAGTGAGACCACAGCCCATCTAGTAAAGAGGTATGTTCCTAGACCCTAATTTTGGAACTGGCCAATTGAGCGTATTCCTTGGAATCTCTAGAAACATATACAGCACATTTCTGCACATGCACACATTTGTATATGGATTTGTATGCACATATTCTGTATATGCACACATGCATATTTATATGCAATATTTATTGTTTGCAGCTCCTCTATGTGTATGATAAATTATGGGAAAGTGGCTATCCCTGGTGTTTTATGTGCAGCCTTTGATGTAGATCACCGCTCAGCACAGGCAAATAGGTAACAGTTGTGGAGAAGCACAGCACATGCAAAAATATGAAGAGTGTTCATTTTTGCATGCATGCAGAGTATATGCCGATATGTGGAATTAGAGGAAGGGCTCGCATTTAAGCACAGAATCATGAGGTTGCAGGACAGTGTAGTGTGTATTCTTCCATACTCTAATGTGCAGGGCTGGAAAAAGGATCAGCAGGCAGCAGCATGGGAACTCTTGCTGGGTGCTATATATACAGTTACCTGGGGAGCCAGCCAGAGATTCCCCTCTGCTGAAGGCGAAGGTACGAGACACAGACACAGGCACTAGACGGGGGGCCAGAATCAGGAGACAAAAACCAGGGGAAAGGGGAAGGAGCAAGGGAAAGGGTTTAGAAGGAACAGAAAAGAACTAGGCTGGATAGACAACAGAATTACAGCTCGGAAAGTTGCATGGGGCTTACAGATACAGAGTGGAGCTGTCTTTCCTGCAGCTATTTATAAAGTGAACAGGTAGAAAGGTCTGGCAGGCAAACTGCCAGATCTAGATCAGGGCTTAAGTATCCATAGTATTGTAGGGTTATATTATGGAGAACCCGCTCTAGACTGGGCGGGGCGGGGGGGGAGTATAACCAGAACAAGGACCCTGAAAAGAGATTTCACTCCGTATGCTACCAATATTATTTCACAGACACAATGCCTCACCTAACATCATATTTAGGGCCCAGCCACACTTCTGTTTGCTCTGTGATTTCAAATCATAGGTGCTAGAGGGGTTTTGTTTGTTGGCTGAATCTGCAGATTGACATTTGTTCCAATTCTGGGTAAAGCGGGTGGGACCAGAAAAAGAATAAGCAACAACCCTCTTGGACCCATGATTTGAAATAATGGGACAAATGGAAAAAGAGGTTTTAATAAATATGTCATGAGCACCATGATGCAACTCCGCCAATCACCACTGGGCGGCACCAAATTATACATTATGGTATGGATTGTTTCTGGGCATTCAAAAGAGATTATGGACCCAAGGTTAGGGGCCATAACTATTATTCCTACAGATTTTCCTTATTTGCATGGAGCATTACTGTCTTGAGGGAGAAGATGGGTGTTCTGCATGTGAGCAAGGATATTTGTTATGCACACAAAATGCATGCATACATGGTCAAGTTACCACACATACTAAGTATGTGCAGGACCAGCTCCAGCTTTTTCTGAACCCAGAACAGGAGAGATGTGGGCAGGAGAGGCTTAGGGCTCCTCCGCTTCGTTGCCTCTTGATTGGCTGTAGAGGCTGAGGATGAAGAGATAGGAAGGTGGGATGAACAACTGGATGCGGCTGAGGTTAGGACCCTAGTAAATAATGGCCAGCAGAGTCTCTGGGTGCAGCTTGGGAAAACGAGGACTGCCTGTTCTGGGCTGGGAAGGGGGATGGTGACAAGGGGCAGGGGATGTGAGAGGGAGGTGTGGTAGGAAGTCCAGTCTTCTATCCAGACTGGGTGTTTCAGGGGATGTCCTGCCTGAGCAGTCCCACTCCACATTATCCACATCAGCAAAAGATTAGGTCGGGGAGAAAATACGTACACAAGAAAGACGACCCGGCCAAGCTGCTCATTTTGCGCACGTCGTTATCTGAAAATACAGGAGGCAGATGGAAGGTGAGTCTCAAGTCAGAGCTTTGTAGTACCAGCCCTACACAGTACAGGGAAGATACCCTTTTTCTGAAGCGTATGGATGTTAGGATATTGATGTTCCGTTTCACCTAAGAGGAACAGATATGTGGATTGTTGTATGTCACATGTCTGTTTACATTCCAACACAGCCTGCTGGGGAACTTTTGTGTATAGCTTTTGCTTAGTGCCTCCTGCTCTTAGATATGAAGAAGAGCAGACATGTTTTCTTTGCCTTGATCTATGCTGAATAAACTGCTTGTAAATATGCTTTACATATGCCTGTCTGCCCTTCCGTTGCGAAGAGTTAATTACTCTGCTGATTAGAGCGTGCTCCAGCTTCTGAAGAGTTCTGAAGCTGCGGGTCGCTGATTTATGCTGTGCCAAGGACTGGAGATCGCCCGGCTACCGGCTGGAGCCAGCTGGGGGCCTGCAAATTGCCCCCGTTTCCTTGAACGCATCCCAACAATGGAAAGCCAGGGTGGTCATACCAGCTGCAGCCTGCCTGGACTGGCCGCAGATTGGCAGTCCCTGCTACATCGATGCTTTTAGTGTATCTCACAAAGTCTGCCAGCTTACAAGAATAAGAGAGCACCCCTCTCACAGACACTGCTCCTTCTGACTTTCCATTAATGTTTCCCATACTGCAGTTCCAAAAATGTTATGGGGGGACTTGTTCTTTCACATCTAGATGAGAAGCCATATAGACTGCTGCCAACTATGTGAACAGGAAGCTCAGTGGTCCAGAAGCTCAGTGACTTCCACTTCACCACTGACCATTTCCCTCTGGCAAGGCTGTTCAAACTGTACATGCTCAGGTGGCTGCAGCACAGAATTAAAGGGCAACACAGAATTTGAGTTCATGAGTACCTGAAGTCAAAACATTGTACTTGGAAAAAGCGTTTAGGCCTTATGGAGAAGAGCCTTCAACAGTGTGGGCTTAGCGGCCCCAGAAAGCTCAGGGCAAGGGCCAGAAATGAAAGGCTGCCAAGTTGGGCAGAGGTAAGGGAACTGCCTTTCAGCAGAGGGCAGAGCAATGAACCTAAATTTCACCCTTGTACAGTAGGCTAGTTTCTGCACACATTCCTCCACCTCCCTCTATCCTCCATCTGGGGAAGCAAGAGGCATTATCATAGTTCAAGGAAGTACTGCAGCCAAGCAGGAACCCTCAAGGAGGGTGCTATCTGGGGAAGAATCCTAACAGGCCAGATAGACAGGCTGGGAGGACTATGGCTGGGCCCCAGGCTTGTTTAGCACAGTTACCAAGCCTTCTCCATTAATTTTGCTCTACTTTCAGACCTTTGCATTCCCTCTTCCTTTGTTCGCTTTCTGCCCTATATTACAATTTGATAATTCTGCATTTCTGTGAAAAGCCAAACGCTGCCATCAGCAAAAGCCCCTTCCTTGGAGCTTCCCTCAACTCATTCTGTGGCTGGCTCTGGATTTTTACCTGAGCAGACAACAGCCATGATAGCTGGGACTCCGTAGTACGTGAAGGCTCCATTCTCAAAACGCAGGCCTTCCTTCCCCACTTCCACCTCCACCTTCCCCTGAAGAAGCATAAAACAACGGAAAGGCACTTCAACCCTTGTCCTCACAATCTTTGGCCATTCATTAAAAAAAAGAGAGGAAGAAAAACAAAGCCAGTGCATCTTAGCAAAACTGCTTTGAACCAAAACAAAGGCTGTTTACTCAGATACGTGTGGGTATCTGAGTAAAAGTAGATAGCAGAAGGTATGAGCCAAGTCTATTGGGACATCAGCAGGAAAAAACACAGGATAATGGGAGACACATAAAAGCTGGGAGTGAGGGCCCCTAGACAAACTGGGAGAGCCCATACCTCATAGGTTTGGGGTGACTGCCTGATAGGAGTCTGAAGCATCAACAGAAGGGACACAGGAAGAATGATTCCAGGGTTGGGGGTTAAGGATAAAAGCCAGCCTTGGGCAGGGAGAAAAGCATACTGGAGTATCTAGTGGTCGGCTGCCGTAAGCCAAGCTCAAGCTAACAAGATGTTTGTTTCCCCCCAATATTGATTTGTAAACAACATTATTAAAACAGAGAGAAAAGGTTAGTATTACCTGTTGGTGAGGCTCTGGCATGCTGGTTTTCTACCCACCTTACAAACATCACTAAATTTGCCATCTATTATAGATGAGGCTGAATATGCAGATGAAAGTGCAGGGAAGGGCTGTGGCTCAGTGGTAGAGCCATCTGCCTTGGACACAGGTCTCTGGTTCAATCCCCAATGGCATCTTCAGGTAGGGCTGGGACAGACTCCTGCTTTAAACCCTGGAGAGTCACTGCCAGCCAGTGTAATACTGATCTAGATGACTCAGTGTAACTGTAAGACCATGGGCATAGCCAGGGGGTGCGGGGGAACTGCTCCCAATCGAGTAAATAAATAAAAATACTTAACTGACCAATTGCATTGCTGATAACTCAGCTCTGCCCCCCCAATAAATCCTGCTACGCCCATGTGTAAGAGGACTTCCTATGGGTGGTTCACCGGTAGCAAATTTAGAGCATCGTCAACTTTAGTGCAAAAAACTGGAATCCAACACCTTATTCCTTGATCTAGGCTGCAGCACTTTTAAAATCCAGCTGGGGAAGTAAGGCCTTGTAGATCCAAGGGTGGGTGTAGCTGTGCTATACTTAGCAGTCACTTCACCCTCCGGGACTACGGATTCTCAAGGAAAGTTTGACCAACCTGTAGGATGAGCACGAAGTAGTCAACTGGCCGATTGCGCTGGAAGAGGTAATGTTCAGGGGCTCTCCTGTTCTTGTGGTCAAACTTCATCTCTTGGATGACGTTTGGGTGTTTGAGCAGCCGCAGCAGGATCTTCTCTGAGAGATACGGGGGCTTGAAGGGCTCGACCTCTGCAAGGGAACAATGGGAAAGGGAAGCATTTCAAGGTTAGTGAGATGGGGCTTTACACCTTCTATGACCTGCCAACAACAACCCAAAATGCTGACCAAGGGTGCCATGGAAACTCAAGAAGAGAGAGGGAATTCTCCAGTCCCTGCACCCATCAACTTCTCTGTCCAGATTAAAAAAAAGGGAGCTCAAATAATTTCCACTGTACCATAAAGCAGATCGGATCTTGAGCTGGGAAAGCTGAAGAGTATAGCTCTTTGAGGTATGCAAGCATCATGGCTGCTGACAGCACTGGCTCAAGGCAAGGACTGGACCCTCATCATTAAAGGTGCTTTGGAAGGGCTGGGTACCTGTGGCCATGAAGCGGTGGGTGGCCAGCAGCAGCTGCGGGGAGATCTTCACCTTCATCTCACTATCCGAAAGTCGGAAAATGGAGAAGTCATGAGGTTTCCGACCCCGGTGGGGAGCCCGTTCCTTCTTCCGATTGTCAGCTGAAAGTGAGGATAGCAAAAACAGAGTTATGACACTGCTAATCTACAAATGGTGCCCTGTCTCCATCTCTTCTTCCCCTGAACCTGGAAGCAAAACAAAACTGATGATTTCTGGGACTCTAGATAGACAGCTGGAAGATTTCAAGTGTATGCAACTCCTCTTCCCTTTCCTCAAATCTTTTATTTGTTGAGTACATGATGGGGTGGGGGGAAGTTCTGAAACTGGAACCTCCTGTCTGCAAACTCAAAGAGTTCCAAAGACTGTTGACATTTGTGGATTTCTTGAGCCATCTTGATTATTTTTATATGGCAATGACCAGTAAAATGCAGGCACACATTTGTCCTGCTCTGCACACTGAGGAGTTCCCACTACATAAGATGTTCCGTCCCAACGTTTCTTCTCTCAAGTGCAACACAGAGCGGTTATTTTATAATATCTGACAAGATGCACATCATGAAAGCACAGAAGTGCAGAAACTAGTTGTGGTGAGATGAAGACATTCTGTACAACCTCAGGAGCTATCTGTTAATTCCTCTGTGCCTCAGAGCTGAATCATGACATTGAAAGAAAGTCTGAAGACATGGCTTCTTTGACCACCTACAGCTCTTTCCCAGTGTTGCATTACTTAAGCCATTAGTAGACCACCCTTTAGCCAAACACTTCTGATGCAGGAACATTGCCTCAGACCTTTATGGGAAGCAGCAGCTCCACTTTCTGTCAAGCAGCAAGATCAGTAATTCATAAAATCACAGTGAGAAAATTAAAACTGGTTCTGACTGAACTTGCTTCTTTCTAGATGCTTGTTTGAGGGTTGGGGGAGCAGTCACCTCTGTGCTTCCAAATACTTACTGTAGAGGTCTGTCTCATCCAGAATCTCAGATTTGATTATCTCTTCAATAACGTCCTCAAGCGTGACGATTCCCATCACTTCATAGAAGGGGTCTCCTTCCCCTTCATTATTCACCCGCTGCACAATTGCCAGGTGTGATTTACCTGCAATGAGAGAATGAACACAAGCAGGCTGAGCAGTAGTTCAAGTGAACTGCCCCACTGCACCCAACAAAAAGGAGTTAGAATATTTGAGGGCCCGTTGACTCAAGTGCTCAGTTGGGTAGCAATCCTCTCCTGAAATGAGTATGCAAAGCAAAAGCACTCCATTTTATCCCATCCGTGCCAAGGACAGGTAAGCAATGTATGTCTAGGGAATACATTCTATTTGCTGTGGAATGAAAGGGCTGTGACCTGAATGGGAAGGTGTCTTGATAGTTGGTACAGGTGAGAGGTCCATAATGGTGTGAAGGAAAAGAGTAATGTCAAGGAAACACTGGTTCTGTGACAATACAAAACATACAATCAGGTGCCCTTCAGCAATGAACCAACCTGAAGCCTCATCCTATTTTTGCACTTAAATCAAGATTAAAGTATTACTCTTCAATAAACAACCAAGGGACCATTATGGGTGCCCAGGAAGATGCTTTGGGAGCTGACTAGGTTTCCTACTTCAGAAGGCGTGTGAAACAGTTAATCATATGATTATTATTTTAATGTGATTAAAAAACAAACCCTGATGTTCCATTTTAACAGGGCCTGAGCAGTGAAACAAAGAACATAGGCTTAAGAGTTCAATGATCATGGAAGAAACATGACAGGTTCCAGACTTACCTCTCATTTTCTATGATTCTCTTCCCCCAGAACATTGCACCTAACTCTGAGAAAATGCTGGCAGCTGCTCTTTTCCATGTATGCTGCTTTAAGAACATTCCAAAGCATCTAAATGGGGAATAATTTGCTAGGAAGTAGCACTACTGAGAGGAAAGCAAGCTGAACATGACTCAGCAAGATTGTGCTCAGCTTCATCAAAAGGAACAATGAAGACAGGCCATGAGATGTCATATTTAGCATTGGCTGCATCTCAGCTTCCATACTGTGGGTAGTTCTGAAAGCTGCTTTCAAATATTTCTCAGCAAAGTGGATGTGAATGAGAGCCAAGATGCATAGATCTAATAAATGCTTAGCCTTGGTCTCTTTGCTGTTAAGCAGTGCAGACCCATTATCTGCCCACCCTGATGCTTTCTGATCACCAACATGACAGCATTCAAAGGTGCAGCTTCCACTGTGTGCCTATTCGTTTTAATACTAACTTAAGTGTGAGGATTCCTTTGAGTTCATTCCATCTGCTCACACAACTGGGTACATTTCAATGTATGTATGTACTAACCCCCTCATCAGTTTTTGAGAGAAGCAGTTATTGCTGTTTGCTCCAAGGCTTCTGAACTTCTTCAACTGTACTGCAGAGGCAACATCTAAAAAAATGCTATTTAAAAAAACAAAACAAAAAAACCATATAGGGCAAAATTCCCACAATTTCAGCTGCTGCAGCTTTGGCACCAGATACCACAAGGTTCACAATAAAATTGTGAATGCTGGTGACCCTGAACAACATCAATGGGTATTAATGATTTCCATATGGCCAGAGCAAAGCTGAACAGCATCAGGGGAGCCTGTACTGCACACCTGGAGATTAAATAAGCCAAATTCAAGACCAAACATAAAACTCTCTGCCTTTCAAAAGGGCAGCTGCTTTAGATTGCCTGTGTCTGGCACAACCAGCTGCAACTCAGCCAAGTGACCCCTAGCATCACTCAGGGATGACTAAGTAGAACCATCACTGGACAAATCTTAAACATGGTATTACTCTGGTTCAGTGTGCTCACATATCCCTAACAATTAAGGTGCACAATGCTAACTGATGAGAGGTAATGAACACAAAATAAGTTGTCTGATGCGATGTTTATATAGCAAAACTATAACCTTTGTTCTCTCTTCCTAACAGCAGCACTGCACACCCATGGCACAATCAACCATGTTACGAAGCAAAAGCAAGGGAATATGGGCTCTGTGTCTGGAAAAGTTATCAGGAAGATAAGTTATAGTTTTGGGCACTGACAGGATGCCACCTACTCATCCACAATCCCAGTTAAGTCCAGTGCTATTTGGCCCATATTTTTCATTTAGCTGGACAATCTATACTTGGAATGGGAAATCTGTGGTCCTCCAAATGTTGTTGGACTCCAGTTCCCATGATCCTTGACTACCGGCCGCCCTTGCTGGGACTGATGGGAACTGGAGTCCAACAGCATTTGGAGTGCCACACTGGATTACTGACTGTATTGTTCCCTACTGTTTCTTGCACCCTTTTCTGCTGTTTTCCCTCTAATAACCTGGTATCTAGCAAGCTGCAGATTCCTACTGTAGCTTTCCCCTCAGATACAATTTTCAAAACCCTTAGCCAACTACAGTTCCCAGGATTCTTTGAGGGAAGTCATGTCCTTGAAATGTGCACCAAATATGCTTTAAACGCCTGGTGTGGATCTGTATATGATATGAGAGGTGCTGTTCTCTGTGATATTTTAAATTGGTGTTAAGAGAAGCCAGGGCTGGGTTACTTGCTTTGCAGCTATCTTGCAACTGCAGGCATGCGCACAGATGACATGGGAGGGGCTATTTTCAGTAGACTCTCTGTTGAGAACCGGCCCATAACTCAGTGGTAGAGCACATTCTTTTCAAGCAGAAGGTCTCAGGGTTAACTCTATATTTCTAGATAGGATTAGTAAAGAGCCCTATCCAAGACCCTGGGGAACCACTACCAGTACCAACCTAGATGGACCCAAAGTCTGACCTGGTAGCTTCGTATGCCCACAGCAAGTATATCTTGCTGTATTCCTAACACTCAGCTGGAATAGGCAGATTATAGCACAGTCATCTTCCTTACAAGAGTTGCTGAAGGCAAAGAACTGGCAGACCAGGTTCAGGCTTCTGTGAAAGGAGGGCTAAATGGCAAATGCATGAATCACTCAGCTGGGAGCAGAATATTCAGTACATATGAGTTTATGCACACTGTGTGCAGGGGTTTTTTTTGGGGGGAGGGGAGGCCTTAGGCCTATACAGCAATGCATTCCCTCTCAAGCAGCTCCAGGAGAGCATTGCTTACTCACTTAAAATCTAGGGAATATTAGGATTGCATGAGCCATGCATGACAAGAACACAGAAACAGACACACACACACCCTTACACCTCTCCCAGGAGTCCAGCCACATTACCTAGGCAGGACAAGACTAAGCTAAGACAAGAGGGCAGGCCAGTGCAGGAGGGGGCAATGTGGAGTCCCAGGGTACCTCGCAAGCAGGGCACGCAGGGAGCAGAGAGGCATGTGATGCTGGCGGGAGGCGAGCGGCTGGGGCCCCGGGCCCTCACCCGTCTTGAACTCCTTGAGCAGCGCGTCCAGGCGGGTGTCATGGAAGACACAGTGCAGCGGGCGGCGGTAGAAGCGGGTGACCGTCTGCAGCGGGGTGCAGTCATCGGGATCCACGAAGGCCAAGTCCTTGACGAACAGCAAGTCGACAATGTTGTCGCGCCGCTCGCCTTCGTAGACCGGGATGCGTGTGTAGCCTGAGCGCAGGATCTCAGAAATGGTGGCAAAGTCCAGAATGGCATCCGAGTGCAACATAAAGCAGTCACTGAGAGGCGTCAGGATGTCCTCCACCACCTTGGTGCGCAGCTCCAGGGCACCTTGCACCATGGCCAGCTCCTCGCTCACCAGGTCATGGGGCTCCGCGGCGCGGAGGGTCTCCAGCAGGCGCTCCCGAGTGGAGAAGATGCTCAGCTCCTGGCGCAAGGCCCAGTCCAGAAGGCGGCTGAGCGGGTAGCAGATCGGGAAGGTGGCGGCCATGAGCAGCCGCGTGAGGAAGAGTGTGTGCGCCGCGATGGCGAGCCCGTGGCGGGAACACACCGAGTAGGGCAGCACCTCCCCGCCCAGGAAAACGACCCCGGTGCAGATGAGCACCGGCAGCCAGGGCACGCCTTGGCTCGCCTCGGGCAAGGGGCTGTGCACGGCCTGCAGCGAGGCGCACAACCAGCCCGCCAGCGCGGCGTTGGCGCCGGCCTGGCCGAGCAGCAGCGTGCACAGGAGGTAAGTGCCGCTCCCGCCGCGGCCGCGCGCCGCCTCCACCTTGCGCGCCTGCTCGCGCGCGGCCGCCGAGCCGCTGTTGCGCAGGTCGCGCAGCTCCATCGGGTCGAGCGACAGCACCGCCAAGCGGAGGCCGCTGAAGAGCGCCGACAGAGCCAGCAGCACCAGCGCGCCCAGCACCCGCAGCCACCCCTCGGCGGGCAGCGGCACCAAGCCCGCCGACAAGCCCGCGGCCGGCGCCTGCACTTGCAGCGCGAAGCCGCCTCGCGCGCCGTGCAGCTGCCACGCGCGCCCGTCCCAGGCGCACAGCGAGAAGCGGCGCCCCTCGGGCCCGGCGCCCGACTCGCCCTTGCGCGGCTCCCGGACCCTCACCTCGGCCAAAGCCGAGCCGGCCGAGCCTCCGGGGAGCAAAGGGCCCAGCACCTCCACATCCGAGGCCCAGGCGCTGCGCTCCGGGCAGCGCTCCGCCTTGGTCGGCTGCTCCACGAAGACCAGCCGTCGCTCGCTCTCCTGCCGCGGGCCGCCGCTGCCGAAGCCGTCGCTCGCGTTGCCTTCGGCCGCCGGCTGGAAATAGACGCGGAGCAAGAAGCGGGAGCCCTCCACGGCCCGCAACGCTCCCCCTTCGAGCCACACGCGCCCCGGCGCCGTGCTCTCCGGCCGCAGCCCCAGCAGCCACGCCGCTCCGCCAGGGGGCCGCGGCGACAGCGAGAAGAAGAGCAGCAGCACCGCGCCTCGGCTCCGGCCCCAGCAGCAGGCGCTGCGGCGCTCCAGCGCGGGCCCCAAGCGGCTCCAAGCCTGGCCCACCATCCTCAGCATCCCGGGCGCGCGGCTCCGAGCAGGGCTCCGAAGGGCAGCCACCGGCCGCACGTGATACTGCAGCGGCGGCGCGGGGGTTGGAGCGGCTGGCGGGCCACGTGGGCGTGGGGCGGGCCGGCCAGCCCCTCGGGGTGTCTCATTGGCCGAGCGGCGCCCGGCTAGCCCGCCCACGGTCCCCCGCGCTGTCCGGGGCCGAGAGCGTGCGCGGGCGAGGCGGGATGCGTGCAGATTGCTCGGCGCCCTCCGGATTCAGGCGGATGCAAATAGTTGACTTCGAGTCGGAGTTCGAAATTCCGTCCATCATCCGTTGGCCTGGTCCCTTGTGACGTCGCGGCCCGGGGCAGGGGAGGGCGTTGTCCAAGGAGTTCATTCGACCGTCTAAGAAGGCGTCTTGGTGTACAGCAAAAGTACGGGTGCCGTGGCTCTCTGCTGCTCCTATTGCTGCTACTCTTCGTGACCCCATGGACCAGAGCACGCCAGGCACGCCTGTCTTCCACTGCCTCCTGCAGTTTGGTCAAACTCATGCTGGTAGCTTCGAGAACACTATCCAACCATCTCGTCCTCTGTCTTCCCCTTCTCCTTGTGCCCTCCATCTTTCCCAACATCAGGGTCTTTTCCAGGGAGTCTTCTCTTCTCATGAGGTGGCCAAAGTATTGGAGCCTCAGCTTCAGGATCTGTCCTTCCAGTGAGCACTCAGGTCTGATTTCCTTCAGAATGGATAGGTTTGTTCTTCTTGCAGTCCATGGGACTCTCAAGAGTCTCCTCCAGCACCATAATTCAAAAGCATCAATTCTTCGGCGATCAGCCTTCTTTATGGTCCAGCTCTCACTTCCATACATCACTACTGGGAAAACCATAGCTTTAACTGTACCAAACTAGGTAGACCAATGGTGTGACTTGCTCTATTCCTGTGCTTTTCTGTTAGTAAGGCAAATACTACAAAGAGGCTATAAACGCTCAGACGTGAAGCACATCCGAAGTCCTACCTCACAATCTGCTTGTGCCATTTGGATGCCAGGACATTACAGGCACCTTCAGCCACTGTCTCTCTCTAATGGTCATTTTCTTTTTGGAAACTGCGAGCTCATTTTCTCTAGTGAGCTCATTTTTGCCATCTTGGGATGGAAGAAAGGGTGGGATACAGATGTAAGGAAATAGATAAATAGTGCTAAAGTGACACCTTATATAATTACATGTTTTTACTTGTGGAAGGTGTGCCATTTCCCCTCGCAGCTAAGGAAAAGGGGGCATTGCTTGAAATGCTACTGCCAGTAAAGTGCCAAGATAAAATTGTATTACTAGCTCACCCTTAGGAAAGATATATATCTGGCAAAGCCCTTTGTGAAGTTATTCTGTCTTGCTAACAAAAATCCACATTTGTGAAAAACATGTTAGTTTAAATGATTCACTATAGCCGCAATCCTTTGCTGGGATTATGAAATCAGCTTAATCTCTAATCTGGTTAGACTAAATCTGTCCCCATCTTTCTAAATCTCCAGGATTTAATATGTGTTTAGAAGTAAGTTTCACTGAAATTAATAGGAATACTTCCAAGTTAAGATGCTTAAGATCAGGATACAATTAATTATTTTTCCTAGGAAGAAAACCCTTTATTTTTCATAATATACTACATAATTGTAAATACAAAAACAAAGAAATACCTCGATGTATTGCAATACCATCTTGTTAGACCATTTTATTATTATTAGTGGAGGGGAATGGCATTCTGCCCTGTTTAGGGCTGCATCTTTATGTAGCCACTACTTAGCATTGGCAGGGCAGAGCAGGGAAACATGACAAGCTATGTCTAAACAAAATAAAAAAGTTCCTTCCAGTAGCACCTTAAGGTAAAGGTAAAGGGATCCCTGACCATTAGGTCCAGTCGTGGCCGACTCTGGGGTTGCGGCGTTCATCTCGCTTTACTGGCCGAGGGAGCCGGTGTACAGCTTCCGGGTCATGTGGCCAGCATGACTAAGCCGCTTCTGGCGAACCAGAGCAGCGCACGGAAATGCCGTTTACCTTCCCGCCGGAGCGGTACCTATTTCTCTACTTGCACTTTGACGTTCCTTCTAACTGCTAGGTTGGCAGGAGCAGGGACCGAACAACAGGAGCTCACAAGTTTGTTATTGGTGTGAGCTTTTGTGTGCATGCACACTTCATTTTTTTTATTTTGTTTTGACTACGGCAGACCAACACGGCTACCTATCTGTAAGTAAAGCTATGTCTACTTAACAAGCTAATTAGACAGTGCACGTGACACAATGGGGAGTGAAAAGTTCAGACAAGATCAGAGCCAATGCATACATCCACATACTGCATTTGTTTACCTGGGCCGGGGCACAATCTTTGGTGTTCCCAATACAGTTACACAAATCAGTGAATTTCTATTGCTGATTCCTTGAGTTTTCACAGAATCCATGGAACAAGGAGAGACATTAGGGATTGTATTCAGTGTAGTGTCAAGCAGATCACTGGTCAGTGCAAGGATTTCTCCTTGAGCAATGGAATGATATTCCCCTTCCCCTGTACCCCCCTCAATCTGTTCTGGGATTCCCCCCCAACCCTCCAGAACAGATTATGGAATGGTGCGGGGTGTGCACAAGGGAGGGGGTAGAATTCCCCTTGCACTATTCCTAATCCTTGTACTAGCTCAAAAAAATGTAACTGAATGCCACCCTAAGTTATCTAGTTGGACCTCTTTCCTTAAGATAAGATAATGCTATTTATTTTTAGGATACCTGATGAATTACAAGGCACCACTGCAGTTTGCCAGAATCTTTGGAAATGAGTGACACGCGACTTGCCTTCAGGTCGGCTCAGTGGTATAGTGGAGCAGGGATGAGCAGAGTGAAGCACCACTGCTAATTTCACTGCTGTGACAATAATATCATCTCCTGGAGTGCCATTTGCTACTTCTGTACATAGGGACACAGGTGGTGCTCTGGTCTAAACCACTGAGCCTCTTGGGCTTGCCGATCGGAAGGTTGGCAGTTCAAATCCGTGCGATGGTGGTGAGCTCCCGTTGCTCTGCCCCAGCTTCTGCCAACCTAGCAGTACAAAAGCACACTAGCGCAAGTAGATAAATAGGTACCACTGTGGTGGGATGGTAAACGACATTTTTGTGGGCTCTGGCTTCCGTCATGGTGTTCCGTTGCACCAGAAGCAGTTTAGTCATGCTGGTCACATGACCTGGAAAGCTGTCTGTGGACAGATGCTGGCTCCCTCAGCCTGAAGTGAAATGAGTGCTGCACCCCATAATTGCTCTTGTCTGGACTTAACCAACCAGGGGTCATTTACCTTTGCCTTTACCTGACCTATGTAGCAGATAAGCTTTTATTTGAGGGAAACCCACCAGGTAAGCTAAGCAGAGGTTGCATGCATGACAATGGATTAAATCATTTCTGTTTTGTCCCTTTGTTAGGACCAACCAAAACGTCACAAATTAGGGAGCAAGCTTTTGAATCCGTCAGAACTCGTCATGAGGATGTATGTTGGGCAAAGAATTTTAGGGGAGGAGGTGGAGAAAAAAAACTTTTTTGGTCCAAAAATAATTTTTGCTGCATAGTTTACAGCAACACCACTGGTTTTGTTATTGGACTGTATTGCTGAATGTACAAGATGCAGATTTACATTCAATATAATGGCAGCTGTACTAGAGTTTATTGATGCTGCATTCCTTTTGTAAAAAGATTTGGGCTGCACTTTAACATTTGCCCCTTCCCTTCTTTGAGCCTTTATTCTGGCCTCCCTTTCCCACTCTGTATATTGAAAATAGCTGGAATAACCATAAGGTGGCTCCCTTTCTCCATAACACAGACTCTGCAGATCTGGTGGTTTTCAAAGAGTGGGCTGTGAAGTTCTTTAGGGAGGCTGACTAGCAACTGTTGTGATGCTTGTGTTGAAGAGAATAATTTTCCATTGTGGCTGAGTCTTTACAGGAAAAATCAATAAAAATAAGAGTGTCTGCAGAACCCAAAAGCTGTGGTTGATCCTTGCCTGTATTCATCTCTCTCTCTCTGTATAAGGAAAGTAATGTTTTTCATGGCAGCAATATATATAAAAAATGAAGATTCAGGGGTTTTTAATGGCAAATTTTCCAACTGCACAAATTCCCCATCAGACAACCCACACTGGGGAAAAGAAGAAGCTGAACCAACACAAAGTGTGCATTACTTCTTGCCTGCAGCATGTACCTGTGGTTTTCCCAAAGGAATCAGTACTTATCTACTGAAAAGTGACAATTCATTTTATGAAACTGTCCACAAAAGGAGTACTTTAAAGGTATTTACAAGGAGGCAGTGAAGTATGAAGGCTGAGAAGAGGAGATTCTGGCCAAAAAAGAAAAAAAGTGTTTTAATATGGGACACAGGAAAGTCTATGGAGCATGACCACTAAGCTATATCCCTTCTTCTCAGGGACTTGAGATGGAGAAAATGATCTTCATTAGAGCATGTCACTCACAGCCTTAGTTTGTCCTAACAACGAGTACAGCTGAAGTATTTCATTGTCTTAATACCCTTCATAGCTGAAGAGACTTTGTAATAAACCATTCTCCTTGCAGAATGCAATGTAGTGCAAGTACTAATGAAATACCAACTGCTCACAATTGCCTGTCAGTCCACAGCATCAATGTGATCAAGGCTTCTGTTGAGGTATCAAAATACTGCCAGCTCTGTGACAGCAGTATTTCCAGCCTTGTATAACAAAACAAGATGGGAAATAGTATTTGAACACCTTCCTTCCACTAGATGAGATCTCTCCTCTACATGGGATAAACAACTTACGCCCTCTCTTTCTTTGGCATGTGTTTGCTTTTTCTTTCTTTCTTTTAAACTCTGTAGATGACTCAGAGGAGTGCAAGAGGCACCCACAGAACAGTGCATAGCAGGGGTGAGCAGTTTGCAAGATCTACTTTATCTTTTGCTGGAACCCCAAGTTCCATCAAAGCCAGGTGCAAAAGTGTAGGTGAGGGAAACACAAGCTTAGAATAGGTAATGGGATGCCTCAGAGCGCAAGCTCAGCATGATAAACTGAGCTCCTGCTCCTTTCAAAAAGTCTACTGCTATTTTACTCCCAAACTTAGTTTTGCCAACCTAATTTAGGAGAAAACAACTCTAACCCTTTTTAAAATTAAAACAATAAGCAATTGGGGGTCACAAACCCTTACTGCAAATTACCCAGCGTTTTAGCAGATCTCAATCTAACTTCTGCTTGCCCCTAGTGTAAGGATTATTTTAGGGAGCAGATTGAAACAGACATCCCCAGAAAGGGAAGCTTCCTGCATGCACATTCCAAAATCTTTTTTGTTGTTGTTGTTTGGACTGAGCTGCAGTGCAGTTTATCTGGAAGTCCTCTGGGCAGTGCCTTACAAGTTGTGGGGCAGATCTGGGACAGTGGCCAAGGGCAGTCTGTTCTCATAGGGAAGTTAAGGAGAGGAAATTGTGGGGTTTCATTTAGTTCTACAATTTAAATATATAATCAGTGACAGATGGTAATGCTAACTGCAGAAGGGGCTATTGTACAATTTAACATTTTGCACATACCAAAAAGTAAATAGCCTGAACAACAAGTTAAACAGATCACCTTTCCACTGTGCCCACAGCCCAGGATACAAACTTTTCCAGACATGTTGCCCTTGCCTCGGGATATCAACAGCCAAGAAAGATGACCAATAGAGAGCAGCATCTAATGTGTACAGTTAATTAGATTTCCATCTATATTCCTTTGTGCTGGAAGGGATTGTGGTGGTGAAACCTTTACATCTGGGGCAGAGGTACAGAGTATGGGCCATGTTGCACGTACAGCAGTTTGCAGTAACAGCTATGTTCCATGTGTATTGTGCACTATCTCAGCTTCCCTCCCACCAAGCAGCTTTAGACAGCTCCATTTGTACAGCTCTCCATGCTTTATTTTTCATTTTTATTTATTAAATTTATATACTGCCCTTCCTCCAAAGATCACAGGGTTGTTTACAGTACAAAACACAAAAATAAATAACATAATAACTAACAAAACTATAACTAACATACCCAGTTTAAAAGGTCATAGATGGTTTAATTAGCCAAAGGCCTGCACTCCCACCCTCCTGTGGATAGACACAGGAGCTCTCAAGACCTAGGAAGGCAGGTGTGGTGATGCATCTCCTTTCAAGGAGAGACAAGCACAGAAAATAGTTATTGGCAACTGCTGCTACCTGCCTGACAATCTGTGAATCCATGGCAGTGACTGTGATTGGTCGCAATGGTGACTTTAGGTTCTAATTCAGATTAATATTGTTAGGAATGCATAGGGTGCCTCCAGGCTGTCAGAATTTTCCAGGAGCGATTCACACACATACCAGAAATTTAGGTTTGTGCACTTAAAGTACATTAAATGCTCTGTTGCCCTAGCACAACAAATCTACTTAAAAATAAAAGGAAAAACCTAACTAACTTCTGGCAGTTAGTAAAGTGATGGGGAGATGCCCTGAAAAGTGTGGGATGATTTCCTTGCTTAATAAAATGCTTAATAAAAAGACATATAATCACCCTGCAAGCAAACCAGGATGAATGCTCATTGTCACATAACCTCCCAGTAAACCAATTCAAAATAATCTAACCTTTGCATCAGCTTTGTGCAAGGAAATCAGGATGAATGCTCAATAAACAGGTTGCCTGGAAGAGTCATAGTAACAACACTGGAGCCATTTGAAGTGAAGTGTTGGGGTTTTTGTGTGTGCTCTATAAGAACTCAAATGCAAGGACAGTCACCAATCTACTAAAGAGCTAACTTAAACTCACTGGGTGATACATAAGCAAGTCACATTCAGAAGAGATACACTGAAATCAATGGAATTAAGTTTTACTTTCTGTCCTCAGAGGGTGATTGAAAACAGTGCTCTGGCTTTAATTCAGCAATACATTGCAGTACAGTACTGCCTCTGCAGGCTTAAACCAATTAAATTAGTAATAGAGTGATGTTATGTTGCTCACAGAAGTCTTCCCTAACTGGAAAACTAAAGAAACTATGGAAGAGTATCAATAAATGTCCAGAACTAAACACACTACATAAAAGTGTGTCCTGCTGAAAACAATGGAACTTACATCCAAATAACATATTTAAGATCTCAGTGCTGAAAACATTCAATCTGTCTTACTTTTTCTTTGACTTTTGCCATCTGAATTTCTTTATTATTCTCAGCTAAAAAACTTTATCCTTGCTTCGCAGGAATAGTTGCATCATTTTTCATACATCCTCTGGGATTACTACTCTGCTGTACTGGAGAAGACCACATATCAGATAGATTGTGCAAAAAGCAAAACAAAACCCCATACACTATGCATTAATAAATGCACAGCAAACATATGTGAAGAAGTGTGAATTCCTGTAATGCAATGACTTCATAATATTTTTCTGCTGAACAAAGTTGTATATTATATAGTGTGTGTCAGACTTATGATCTATAAAATCTTATTTATGGCACAATCCTACGCTACCTTACCTTGAAGTAAGTCCTACTGAACTTGGTGGGACTTACTTCTGAGTAAATGTGAATATGATTACATGTCTGTTTGCTGATTAAAGTAAATAAATATACTCCTATAATCTATGGTGCCTTAGAGCTTCCCCTAGAGCTACAGAATGGGCAAATTAAGTTCTTGTCCCCCGAAAGGGGCTTAATCTTTCCCATACAAGAATTCAAGTAAATTGCCCACTGCAGACTTGACTGTTACTTATACAACATATTCCTATGCATGTTTACTCGTAAGTTCCACTATGTTCAGTACTGCTAACTCCCAGCTAAGCATGCACAGGATTGCAAAAGGGGTCTCAGTGACAACATTTGCAAGTTTCCATAGGTCATTTTGCACTTTGGCATCACTGCTTCAGTCCAAGCACATGAAATCACTGATCAACAACTGCTATCCATGATGGAGGAGAGGAGAAGATAGCTTCTACCTTCAATAATCTCATTAGTGAACAGCAATGACGGATATGTGAACTCATGTGACCGCAATCCTGAATGCTTACTAGTGTTAATACACCATACCAGGTCAGTTCCTGGAGGTAAACTACACCCTGTGGTTTTAATGAGGTTTATGACCCGACAGAGAATCTTTCCCATGGTGCATAATTTTGTAATTATGTGTATGTGTTCATGTTCACTTCCACAATCTTTTTGGATGGACAGGGGACTTCTGGTGATGGATCAAGAATCTCCATCTTGGGTCAGTTGTAAGCAATGCTCATCCCTTGCTCCGAGAGAACAAGAGCACAATCCCACCCAAATTGCCTGGGATTTTGGGGAGGGAGAGAGTGGTGCTGGTGCCTCCCCTTTTTTTCCCTTTTAACTGTTAGTTTGGGATTTCTGGCTTACTATAGATGCCAGTTTCTTCATGATCTGTGCCTAAACACATTTGGCTTGCTAGCTTGGCTCTGCCATGCCTTCCATCCTGCCAATGCTTGGCCTTTCTGCTTTCTCTCCTTCCACATATAACACTCAAAGTATCTGGCATTCATCTGTCACTGGGGACTTGTTTTTGCCACATTGTGTAAACACACACACACACACACCCCTGCCAATGTTGCTAAACAGACCTACCTCTTCTCCTGGTGCTATTGCCATGGTATTTCTCCATATGGAATGATTCCATTTGCTTGCCAAACTCACTGGGCTGGGGGCTTGAAGTTTCTCAAGCTCTGATACCTTCCAGATCTTTTGGAAACAACATGCTATCTTTGCCGTGCTGCATTCAGGAAACCCGCCACCATATTTGTTTCCTTTTAAGGCACTGAGAGCAAAGAATATAAGGAAAGTGCTGATTGCTGAACATGATATTCAAATTAGAGAAAGTAACAAATATAAGCTTGAAGGGCCAGTTAGATCCTGTGGCTTAGAATGAGAGATTCTCCCTACGCAACAATGCACAAGTAACATTGCAAATAACAGTCACATCCTTGCTATATACTGGTATGTGCCCCAAACAATTCATCCACTGGACAAATCCTTCCTGCAAAACTAAAGGATCACCATGGAAAAGCAGAGTCAGGAATTCTTATAGTAACCATTGCCATGTCTTTGTGTCTTGGTTGTCACTACGGTTGCATTTTTTATTTTTGCCACCAGCTTCTGTCCTGTACTTTGACCACAGCTTAATGTGCAGACATTGGCAGGTGATCATGCATATCTGGGTGCTCTAAGATGCTTCTCCTTCCTTTTCCTGCATATCAAGTTGCTATCATATCTGCACAGGAGCAGGCCAGGCTGCTTTTTCTGGCTAGTTGGCATTGCTAGTATCCACTTTTAATTGTTATTTCCTTTTGTTTCATTGTGTGTGTGTGTATGTGTGTGCTCTAGCTAGCTTTCCCAATTTAGCTGTACTGGATAGACTTTCCCCAACAAATAAATTGCAGACACAGCCTAACTTGCTAAATCCTTCACTCTCTCCATATCCCAAGCCATCTGGATGTGATCTACAGCAGTGATTTCAGCACCTGGCTATTACAGCGATAGGGCTGTAGAAATAGTTTAGATAACTCCACTGTTGCAATCTCCGAAGTATTAGAGACGGTGAGGGCATTCTGCTTTCTGCACAATTATCTGTAGTGATAACATCACCAAGCCTCTCCTGAAAGTAGAGATATTCTCTGGGCACTGGCAAAAGCTCTGCAATGGTTCTATCCATATTCCTGTTAAACAAAAAGCCCCGCTGATTTTAATGTGGCTGGATAATGCCTTTAGCTTTTAATGCTGTAACAAAGAAGGTGTTCAAGTCCTCCCTTTTGGAAGATAATCCCATAAGTGGATAAGTAATGCTGCCATTTGTGCCTTATTTGTACCTTAAATTGGCAGGAAGCAGTGATAGCAGCATAATATGAAACCCAGAGGAATGTAACATCAGCAAACAATACCCAGATGTTCACAAGCTAACACTGCATAACCCAAGTACATTTATGGAATGTGCACCAGCAAAATAACGCTTACACCACCACTATCCTATGCATTTTGATTATGAGGCAAATTCAGCTGTGTCCAATTGATTTTAAGCCCTTGCATGGTTACAAACCCTTGCACACCTCCTGAGAAGTTCTATTGAACTCAGTAGGACTGCTTGCCTATGTTGTGAGTGAGAACCTAGTCAGACCTATATATCAAAGAGGCCCAATGTGCTGTGAATGTGCTTTGAGCACACTTTGAAATGTGTGTGTGATTGCAGCACAGCAGGCAGTTGGACTTGCATATGGATAGAGTGGCCAAGTGCCATACTATAACATGGACAGTCCTCTACTTTTAAGTCTGATTTAAAGAGAAAAGAACAATTAAGAAAGGAAAGCAGGGTCTTTGGGAGTCAACAGGCTGCAGACTGAGCAAGCACAAAGAGATCACCAGCCTTCTCCACTGGTGGCGAGTTGCCTTTCTACTTAATTTATAATATTTGTTACTAAACTGGCAGGTAGGCTTAATATCAATTAGCATATGCAAATCCCAGGGCCCTCCTTTGGGGGAGAGGGGCGATGCCTAAATGGTCACTGTATGTATGTGAGAGAAGATCTGGCTGGTCGCTACAATTCTGTGATTCTATGACTGGGCAGAGGAGAAAGGTTGGTGGGAACTGCATCTTCTGTGATCCTGAAGATGATGCGGGGCTGAGGGGAATGCGGCCCTCTCGCAGGCACCGCCCTCGCTTGACTGGGACTTGGTAGGACCCAAGTTCTCTTACCCTCCGGGTGAGATAAGCACCCCCGGGGAGCTTCTTCGCGGCGTGTCGCTAAGGAGTGGGCCGAGGCCTAGGCCTTCCTTTTTGCGCAGACCTGAAGGAAGAGCGGGAGAGCGGCGGCGCTTCCTCGCTTGCCGGGAGCTCCATGCAAAGGAAATGATTGACCTGGCCGGCCCTTCACTAAAGGCGGGGGGAAAACAACAACCCCACTTCCCCGCTCCTTGGCCTTCCTTTTCCCGCCACGCGGCGGCGGCGGCGGGCGTCCCTGGAGAGAAGGCGGCGGCGCAGCAGCTTCCTTCCTCCTTCAGCGCCCAGAACTGAGGGGATGGATGGCGGCCCACACCTCCTCTGCAGCAGAAACGGCAGTCCTGCAAGTTCCACGTTAAAGGTGAGGGGCTAAAGGGCTTTAACCCCGGACTAACATTTCTTTTAATAAATATATATTGAAGAAGAAGAGTTTGGATTTGCTATCCCGCCTTTCACTCCCCTTCAGGAGTCTCAAAGCGGCTAACATTCTCCTTTCCCTTCCTCCCCCACAACAAACACTCTGTGAGGTGAGTGGGGCTGAGAGACTTCAAAGAAGTGTGACTGGCCCAAGGTCACCCAGCAGCTGCATGTGGAGGAGCGGAGATGCGAACCCGGTTCCCCAGATTACGAGACTACCGCTCTTAACCACTACACCACACTGACTCTAACCAATTATGTACGACTTTAAATATAGGTTTATCTATATAATTGGTACATAATTGGTTTTAAAAACCAAAGAAACGGAAAACGGACATTATTCTTGCGATGTGACAAAAGTATACTTCAGGTCCGCACAACTGGCATATCGCGTTTATTTGTCTGTGCATTGTGTGTGTGTGGGGGGGTGTACAATAATATTGTAACAATATCAAAATTTCTTCTGGCTGTCACACAGCAGCGGTGGCAGCTGAGGTCCAGTGAGAGCACATATTTTTAATTTGTAATGCTGCGGGGCCTCTTGAACTTGGCATAGTTTTAGGGCCTCAGCATGTCTTAATTTATGCTGAGAAGTGAGAAGGAATACAGATGTGGGCGAGCAGATGTGCCCTCGAAAAGATGATACAGGGGTGTGCATCTAGTAATCCAGTACAGTGGTACCTCGGGTTACATACGCTTCAGGTTACAGACTCCGCTAACCCAGAAATAATATCTTGGGTTAAGAACTTTGCTTCAGGATGAGAACAGAAATCGCGCGGCGGCAGCAGGAGGCCTCATTAGCTAAAGTGGTGCTTCAAGTTAAGAACAGTTTCAGGTTAAGAACGGACCTCCGGAACGAATTAAGTACGTAACCAGAGGTACCACTGTAGTACCTTTTTACTCTTTCAAAGGTACACCCCAGTCATAACCATATTGTACTGAGATAGGTCCCACTGAAATAAATTGAGCTTGGTTTCAAATAGAATTGGTGTTGTTATGTGTATTCTTTGCAGAATGTAGTCCAGCACACATTTTCTAGGGAAGTCCCCACTGAACTCAAAAGAGACTTCCAAGTAAAAGTGTGCTTGTTAGTCACTCCACTTCCAGTGAGGAGCTAAGGGCTTAAAGTAGGATTGTGCCTTTTTTTAAAGACAGCTTTGATGTGCAGACATTAGCAGGTGATAATGCTTATCTCCACAAAAAGCTTTTTCCTGCTGATTCCTGCATACCAAACTTCTGTTAAAAGCACAGACAAGGGCAGTTGCTTTTTGGCCAGTTGGCAGCCCTATTTTATTGTCTGCAGCTGACTTTCTTTGAAAATGAGCCAGATCCAGAGCTTCTCTGTGCCCTTTAATAGATATTAATTCTTACAAAGGACCAGCAAAAATGCTGGTATCAGATTATTTTAGTTACTAACCATTTCAGAAGGTTCAGAACTACCTTGGGAAGAGCAGTAGGAAGAACCCTGCTGGATCAGGCCAATGGCCCATCTAGTCCAGCATCCTGTTTTCATGGTGTCCAACCATATGCCCATAGGAAGCCCACAAGCAGAACCTGAGTGCAAGCAGAATGAGTGCTGCAACAGCAACCCTCCCTTCCTGTGGTTTTCAGCAACTGGTATACAGAGGCATACTACCCCTCACAATTGAGGTAGAGAATAGCCATCATGGCTAGTAGCCATGTTGGCCTCCAACTGTCTTGGGGGAAACAATGGAGCTGCGCTTCTGAAGTTGAAGTCAAACTGCTGGAGAGTCACAGCGTTGTGACTGCAAAGACCAGTTGCTCAGAACTGCTGCCTCCTGTGTTGTTTTTGCTGTATTAGCAGCACCAAAGTGAACTCTCTGGGGTACAAGTCTGGGCTGTGATCCTGTGCTGCCCAAACAACAAGACCCTCCTCTCAGCCTCGCTGATGTGGTACAAAGGAAAGCAGAGCAATGCTTTTGGTACTACCTTGGCTGAAGGATTTGCCAGAAGGAGGCAGACAAGACGCCATCCGTCTTAGGGACTCCGCTCTGTATTTGTGTCAGGGGTCAGCAAACTTTTTCAGCAGGGGGTCAGTCCACTGTCCCTCAGACCTTGTGGGGGGCTGGACTATATTGGGGGGGGGGGAGAGAATGAATTCCTATGCCCCACAAATAACCCAGAGATGCATTTTAAATAAAAGAACACATTCTACTCATGTAAAAACGTGCTGATTCCTGGACCATCCGTGGGCCGGATTTAGAATGCGATTGGTCCGGATCCGGCCCCTGGGCCTTAGTTTGCCTACCCATGGTGTAGAGTTTATTCCTTTGCCTTTTCTTCTCCTGAAGATATCCCACAAGGCAGCAGAAGGTTAGGATCAGAGTTTTCCTTCTCCTAGATGGGCTACCTTCCCAGGTTGACAAGCCCCATCTGCCCCTCACTTCCCTCTATGGCACATGCAGAAACTGCCTTCTTGACCATTGGACCCACTATTGGTCTTGTCCACTCAATCTGCCGGAGCCTGTCTTCACATGCAAAGGCAGTCCCTAACTCACCAAGGTTTAGTTGAGACCCCTCACCTGGTTTAGTTGGCCAGTTGAAGCTGTTCCCAGGGTGTGGACAAACTACCCCAGAACCCCATACATCACTGATAGCCACTGATAGCCTTATCCGTGTTTTGCCATGTGTCCTACTTTACAGAGGTCTGTCTTTTATCTAAAGGGCTGTCAGAGGATAGTTACGGTATCTATTTATCCGGCTTAAGCCCAGTTTAAAGATAGCCCTAAGAAGGAAGAACAGGAGATTTTAAGTTGCCTATCAACAGTTAGCACTGGGACAGCAAACTGAACAGGCATACAGGTAACCTGGTCTAAGTCTTCTCTACCTTAGTTAGATGTATTATATTTCAATTTCAATTATACTAATTTTCTCTAAATGTGCACCTGTAGCTATAAGTTTGCATTTGCAAATATTATACAAATCTGTGTCCCCTCTCTCATCCTCTTTTTTTGTTGCATTTTCCCTTTCTTGGTCATGTGCAACTTGCTACCCCTGGATTTTGCACTGAAAGCAACATATGGATTTTGAAATGAATTGAATGCATATGAAATGAATAATAACATTTCTGTTGGAGAGTTATTGTAATGACTTACTATTTCTGTAGTGCTTTTCATGTATCGAGTCTTGTTTATAAGAAATATACATTTCTCTGTATTATTGAAAGAACAATTAGCTAGCTAGCTTTTGAGCTAAGAGTGCCTCTCTGTTTCCTCTGATCTCACTAAGGTTAGGGAGGTTGCAATCCTATGCATTTACTGAGAAGTAAAAATACATAGGACAAACTGCTGTGATTGTCATGTACATCGGTAGGTACCAAAGGGAATGGAATTATCTGAATAAGCATAGGAATAAATTTTAGATTATTTATACAGTAAAGATTCACAAAGGCCTTACGAAATCATATAGGAAAAGTCCCCTGGCTACACTCTTAAGGAAAGTTGAAAAAAGAGCCTGTGATTGGATGGAAGATTCTTTGAATAGTTGATATGTATGGAGATTTATCCTGCATGTATATACACTGTGCTGCAATGCAGGTTTATATAGAAGTAAGTGCCACTGAGCTCAATGGGACATTCTTCCAAAGTTCATTTTTCTGAGACAAAGAGACGGGGCCAATAAAGGGTATTTCTAAGGGGACCACACTTAAAGAACACTTTGAGAAGTGGAACATGTCCAGAGGCAGGTGGACAGAGATGGTGGGGGTCTTAGAGACCAAGTCCTAAGTGGAGAAGTGACTTCAAATATTTAAAGGGCTGTCATGTACATGATGAACTCAATTTGTTTCCTGTTATTTGTTTCCTGGGGAGGTAGACCAGATGCAATGGGTTCAAAGTACAAAAAGTGGTTTTTTATTAAATATGAGGGAGAGCTTCCTGATAGTATGAGCTGTTCAGCTGTGGAACAGACTGCCTCAGAAAGTGGTGGACTCTCCTTTGTTAAAAGGTTTTAAGCAGAGGCTGGATAGCTGCCTATCAGGAATGCTGTAGCAACAGATCTCCTATGTCAGCAGGGGATTGAGCTTGTTGATCTTTGAGGTTCCTTCCAGCTATATGGCTCGTAAGATAACCCCATGCAATATCACATTCAGTCTTACATCCAGTTTATGTGGGACCTGATTGCATTGGAAGTGGTATGAAAAATTAAAAACAACAACAACACACAAGTGAAATGGGTATTCCTTGAACTGTGCCATCAAGCAGTTGCCTGAATGTTCAGATTAGCCCTGTTACCTAGTATGTTTGCTTGGGATTGTAACCTTATTAGCTAACCCTGCTCTGGATAAAGCTATGCTTGCATCCAGCCCTTTGCATTCCCCTCTATCATTCCGTTACTCTCAAAGGATGCTTTTATGATTAAAAACAGCAAGCTTAGGAGAAGGGAGGGGGTGTTATTTACAAGCCTAACAAAAATCAGTGGGCTAAATATTTACAGGAGAAAATAGTTTAAAAGGAGCCAGGCTTTCAGAAGTAATTATGATAATGTTCCAGAGAAACAACCCATTCACACCAAGTGGGTGCCTGAGTCACAGCTGGTGCAAGCTGATAAAGCTCTTGGCTGGGGCCTGTAAAATTGTGAATGCCCCCCCCCCCAATAAGTCCTTCAAGAGATCTTCTCCTCACGGATTCTGGTTGAGAAGAATGTTCTCTCTAGTTCCTTTGAAATTCCAACATAAAATGTTGCCTCAAAGGGAAAAACCTCTTTTACTTTTTGAGCAGGTGGGTACAGAAAACAGTCCTTGAATTTCTTTATTTATTACTTATTCCAAGGCAGCCAACAGCTGTAAAGTGCAAACTACAAAATATTAAGAACATAAAAACAAAGCAGTTGAATATACAATAAAAACAATAAAACTGATAAAAAACAGCAGCCAGTTGAACAAATTGCAACCTATTTGCAGTAGTCACAAGGAGTCAGAATATCATCAGGCCAAAGGCCCTTCTCAATAAAAAGGATTTTTGCTTAACCAGCAGAATTCTCATTTTATCTTACTCTTGTTCTTAGAGGTGATTCTTCAGGAGTTTAATCTTATTCATTCCAAAGAATAATTTCCTCAGATCTGTTTGTTTAGTTCGCAGTGGACCATCTACAGCTCTCAGTTCTTCATCTTCGCAATCCAACATGAAGTCAAAAGCAGCCCCTTGACTTGTTGCTGGTGATTGCCAAAGGGTCATTTTGTGACAGTTGGAAGTACCGTAATTCTGTGGAAATTGACTTGGCTGGAACACCCAAAGTGGTGTAGTGGTTGGAGCATTGAGCTAGGTGTGAAAAAACCCTGATTCAAGTTTCCACATAACCATCAACTACTGCATTGGCCTGAATATAACCCTCACTTTTTTTCAAAATTCCGACTCTGAAAAGTTAAAGTGTGGCTTAAATTCGTGACCTTGGAAAAATAGGCTTTTATGATATCGCTGCTGAACCAGACATACGGTAAAACGGAATGGGTGTGCGTGCCTGTGGAATTTTAAGGGAGCAGCTTATATTCGCGTCTTGGTTTTTTTCTCCCCCTCCCCCCCTGAATTTTGAAGGTATGTCTTATATTCAGGTGTGACTTATATTTGGGCCAATACTATACTTTGAATCAGTCTGCTTTTCAGTCTAACTCACCTTGTAGGGTTGTTTTGAAGAAAAAGTAAGAGCATGTTGGTGGGAGAACCCTTGAGTTCCTAGGAGAAAAAGTGGAGTAAATAATAATAATAATTAATTAATTAATTAATAGTAAGTGTCCTGGTCTTAGAAATTAATACTGTGTGTTCTAGAATGAGAACAGCTGTCTCTAAAATACGGGAGTTTGCGGGGGGTGTGTGTGTGTGATCCATCTGAGGGCCTCATTCCATTGTGGAAAAACATATCGTGGCCACGCCAGTGATGGGCGAGGCCAGAGAGGAAGAAAAACTTTTCTCTATCAATGTCATGCATACAAATTTTATAAGCTTTTATAATTTCATCTCTTTCTCTCCCTTTTTTCTAAACTGCCAAATGCTGCCTCTTTTCCTCATGGCAGTGCCCTTGATCTTTTTGTTGCCCTTCTCTGGCACTGTTCCAACTTTACGATATGTACACAATACTCTAAATGAGATTGCACCATAGATTTTTATAACTACATTATATCAGCAATTTTATTTTCAGTTCCTTTCTTAATGATCCCTAGCTTGGAATTGCTTGTTCCACAGCTGCTGCACAACTGGGTTGATGTCTTCATCAAGCTATCTGCTATGAACCCAGGGTCTTGTTCCTGGTCATTTAGCACCAGACCCCATGAACATATATGGGAAATTAAGATTTGTTTGCTCTGACATGCATCACTTTACAGTTGTTTACACTGAATTGCAGTTGCCATTCCACTTGGTTTGGTAAGGTCCTTTTAGAGCACTTTACAATCTCTTTTTGTTTTAATGCAGGGGTGAAACTAGGCTTTATTTCACCAGGGTCAAAGACACAGGCTGGGAGCCTCTATAACCCCCCCCCCCAACTACAGCACTGTTTAACGACCCTGTAGTGTCATCAGCAGTCTTCGCCTCCTCACTGCTCACCTGTTACACTAAGTCATTTATGAACAAGTTAAAAAGCAGAGCCCCTAGTTCTCATCCTTGGGGGACACCACAGTCTACATGTCTCCATTTGGAGATCTGTCCATTTATTCCTTTTATTTGCTTCCTGCAACTTACCGTAATCAATTTGTGATCAACAACAGAACCTCTCCTCTTCTGTATCACCTCTATCTATATGCTTGTTGACACTCTAAAATAACTTTACTTTGTCATGAGACAGGACTAGTCCTTGCAGAAGCCATGCAGGCTTTGCTGCAGCAAGGCTTGTTCTTCTATATGCTTGGTTATTTTATCTTTTTTGGGGGGACATACATTAAGCTAGGGACGCGGGTGGCGCTGTGGTCTAAACCACTGAGCCTAGGGCTTTCCAATTGGAAGGTCAGCAGTTCAAATCCCTGTGACGGGGTGAGCTCCCGTTGTTTGGTCTCAGCTGCTGCCCACCTAGCAGTTCGAAAACACATCAAGTGCAAGTAGATAAATAGGTACCGCTCTGGTGGAAAGGTAAACGGCGTTTTCATGTGCTGCTCTGGTTCTCCAGAGGCAGCTTAGTCATGCTGGCCACATGACCAGGAAGCTGTCTGCGGACAAACGCCGGTTCCCTCGGCCTATAGAGTGAGATGAGCGCGCAACCTCAAAGTTGTCTGCGACTGGACCTAATGGTCAGAGGGTACCTTTACCTTTTTACATTAGTTCATTTTTATTTTGTCTAGAATTTTGTCTCTCTTCACCACTATCTGCTTCAGTTTCTCAGACTCCCTTCCTCCAAAAGTTAGTGCTCTGCTCTACATCTTCCATTGTGAAGATAAGTGCACCTTTTCAATTCTATGATTCTATGAAATAATTAATTCAGCTTCCCCCCTCCCCAATCTCCTTATCCTCCTTTAGCGCATTTTTGACTCCCTTGTCATCCAAGGGTTCAGCCACCTCCCTAGGTAGTCTGCTGCTATTAATGGATGTAAAGACCTACTTGTTGGTCTAGTGTGTGTGTGTGTGTGTGTGTGTGTGTGTTTGCAACATTCTTCTCCAATTCTTTTTTAGCATATATTAGTCTCTGCTTACACTAATTTTTTTTTTTTGGCCAAAGTTTGTGTTCCTTTTTGTTCTCTTTGTATGGACAAGTCTTTGATTTTTATTTTTTTTAAAAAAAGAAAGTCTTTTTGCCTCTGAGAGCTTCTTAACTTTGCTAATTAACCACTTTGGCATCCTCCTGGCCCTTGTGAGACCTTTATTCATCTGCAATGTACAGATTAGGGCCCGGTTAACCTGTTTGACATTCTAGCACCAGTCGAACTAACCTTAATCATTATTGTCAGAAAATATTGTTGTACATTATTGTACATTGTTGTACATTATTGTACACCCAGGTACAAACAAGAACAGTTGACATATTAGAACAGTGCCCTCTCAAGAGCAGTGCTGCTGCCACTTACCTACCCAGATGGTGCAGGGAGCAGCAAGGGCATACTGATGGAAATGCCAGATTGCCTCCAATGGTGCACCTAGGCTGCCCTAAGCTCACCACCATCTGGCCCCAACTCAACACCATGGCACTGCCCTATCACATGACTGCTACTGAGTTCAGATGTTCTCATCTGTTCTGCAACCTGTTAAGGGACCATCTGAATGGAGCTCATGGACCACTAGTAGTCAAAGGGCTACAGCTTGAGCATCACAGCAGGTAGGTAGGTAGGAGCTTGGTAGGTAGGCAAGCTAGGTAGGACAGCTTGCCTTAGGACTCTTGGGCAGCTATACAGCAATACTTTCTCCCCTGGATGACAGCAAGAAAGGGTTGCATCTGTATCAGAGCTCATCTATTACCTTCCATCATCAGTTCAAAACAAGAAAGAAAGCACAACTCGGGAAGAAGTGGAAAAATGCCTTGATCATCAGTGATTCCTGAGTCACACGCATTTCAACTTAAATTCTTGGTAGGGGTTCCTTTTCTGCCTGGAAGATGAATACTTCTCTTTCTCAGTGCATTCTGCCAACATAGGCAGAATCTGCTCCAAATTATGTACCTCTTCTTCACTGCGAACCACTTACATCCATATTCAGCAAGCTCTCTGTTAGCTGCTGTTGAAGACCCAGGCTGCCATGTTTTCCCCAATATCCTCACCTTCCTAGCTTTCTGTCCTCATAGAAGTATCCCTCTTTTGACAAAACATTGGCATAATTTGAAATAGTACATTTGAAATAGCTGAGTCCCTGCCAAAAGTAAGCCAAATAAGCTGTTACTACTACAGTACAGCTATGACCCTCACCTTACCCTGGATGTGCCACTTGACTGCTTCAATCTGCAGAAGTGGCACTTTTACAAGGGTTGCAAAATATTTGTTCCACTCTTGTGAGAAATTGATTTGTTTTTACTGTGACATCAGCTGATCTATAGATATTAGGTAGGCATCTTCGCTGTTCTGTTTTTGACTACTGCTAAAAACTTTTCTGTTTTGGCAAACCTTCCCAGACATGTAATTTGATTAGGTGCATTTATTTTTCAGTTTCAATTAGATGCATTTCCCCCCAATGGATTTATCTCTATTTTGATCATTCATTATGTTTACTGTTTCAAAGTCTGATTTTATTAGAGTGTTAATGAATACTATATGTAAGCCACTTACGGATTATTATTATTTGATTAAGTGGTATATAAATCTTGTTAAAGAAATAAAATAAATACCATTTGATCATTACACATAATAGTCCCTTTCATTCCACTATGCATCAGTGTCAGCAGAGCTGATGGCCACAAAAAAGAGATGCCTCTTTTTCTATGGTATCTTTTGCTCTGTGATGCTGAGCCATGAGCTTCTTTGTGTTACCTGGCTCCTAGTTTGTTGCATCCTGAGCAAGGCTGTTGTCAGGCAAAGCAGCATCAAAGCTTTGCCAGGAAGGTCTGCTAGCACGGAGGGTTCCTCTTATTCCGTTGGAGCCTTGGGAACCAGCTTCCATGCAAAGGTTTTCTCCAACTCCAGTACAAACACACACAAATACACACCAACTGCTGCAGTTAATTTAAATTTTCTTTCCTGAAGAGGCCAGTGCAAGGCTGGGTTCTCTGAGATTCTGCATGATCTGACACCACATCTCAGCCTGGCCCTGCCCTCCTCCCCCTTCACCCGGCCTGGCTTTCATACAACGAAGAAAAGAAATAGGGGAAGACACTTTCCCCCCAACATTCTCTATTTATCTTAAATGAGGCAAAAAGGGCTTCATCAGTCTGTTTGAAACAATATCTGAAGCAGAGCTGGGCTGTGAGGGAGCGTCACTTCATCAAAGGCTGGGCTGGATACTCCACTGGGGAAGAAGCCCACAGGCCTGGTGGTTACTTTAAGTTTATAATGTGCAGGATTTACTTACATCATCTGCTTTCTGTAAATCTGCCCCCCCCAAAGCAACACTTTGCTCCAGCCTCACCCAGTCATGTCTGAGCACCCAATTCCAGAGTCTCTGAATTACTTGTACCTCACAGTAAGGCTAGACTGGGGTGAAGGGGGAAATCTACGGTGGGAAATTATAATCAGACAAACTTGCAATTTCAGGGACAAATCGTGTAATCATATTGGGCATGATTTCAGCAAAGCTAAGCACTTTGAAGGTTCATTTATTTCAACATGAGAGATCTAATAATGCACTTGAGACTGCAATCCCATACATACTTACCTAGGAGGAAGTCCAACTGAATTCACTGAGCCTTACTTCTGAGTAGACATGTCTAGGGTTGCACTGTGGCTGTTCTAAATGTTGACTAGATCTAGATCGTGTCTTTCATTTTGTAAATCAGTTTGCTTAGAACTTGGATTTCTTGAAGTCAGGCCCATACCTCACAAGGTAAGAGAGTATGATGGGATGGAGTAATTGTACTTACTTTCCTTAGTTCATCATAATACATGCTTCATCTCAGTCAATAATCTTAGCGAAAAGCCTCTTTAAAAACAAACCCCCATGTGCTGCTTTTAGGCAATATTTTAGCATAACTAGTGCAGTAAAAATCAGAAATACATGATTTCCATACTTGCCTAAAAAAAGAGAAAAGACTGCAATCATTAGCAAATTTGAGGAAATAAGCCCCATTCAGTTGAAACTTTCTCAATAGGCATGTTTATAGGATTGAGCTGCAAAAGTATGTGATCCATGGAGCCCAACTAGGAAGTAAATATCAAGAGCTCGATAGGACTCCTATTAAATATAAGTATGCTTATTTTGAAGTAAGCAGGCATATAATTGGGGTATGTATATTTTTCCTGAAAATTTAAAGGGCTCTGAAATCAGTGGTGTATAGTTCCAAGCAGATAGCTACCTTTAGGATCAGACTATAATACACCAGCCTCATTTATTTTAGTGGGACTTCTTTAGGTGAATGTGTTTAGAGTGTGTATAGGAAGCAAAAGGAGAGACATTCAGAATCTACCTTATGCCTCTTGGGGGAAGGGAGAAAGGAGGACTGTACAAATGTTAATCTGCATCCAAGAATTGTCATAAACCCATCAAATAATTGTAAATCTTGGGCACGATCCACTGAAAATAAAGCATTGTTTTGAATCCCTTGGGAGAAAATTGCATACCCGCATATAAATAAATGGGACACAAAAGTGCTTTGCTTTGGCTGGATCATGCCCCAAGGTTTCAGCAGATTCAATCCAATCAATCCAATCCACTGTTTTGTTTTTGTTTGAACCCAGCAACTCAACAGAGAGAGAACATATTGGGGGCATTTTAATTAATATAATCGTTCAGGGCATGTAAAATTACACCAAAATAACTGGTAGAAAATAACAATTGACAGTTTCAGTCAAGAGCTAATGACAGGTTTACTATACATTAATCACAACGATGATGACGTGCACATTAATGATGATGAGGGTTGATAATCATAAATAAAACGTTTTGTAGCCTAAAATCCTGTGCCATCCCTTGCTGGATTGATTCCTATAGGCCACGGGTGGAGGGTAAGGAGATAGTGGAGTCTCCCGACGTGGTGCGGGAATCAGAAAGAGTGGTGAGATAGAAAGCCCCGCCGCGTTCCTCTTGCCAAGCTGCTTTTCCTTTAGTTAAAACAAGAAAGGGGAAAAAAGAGAAGACGTGGGCCTCCGGCGCTTAGTGGTGCGCATCCTTTCCACAACATAAAGAACTGCGGAGAACTGCTCATTCCTTAACCTATTTAAGCCATTTCTATCCGGCCTTTCCCTCGCAAGCCTTTCAAAGCGTCTTACTACCCAGAAAGAAGGGCAAAATCTAACACGGGGGGCAAATCCAAAACAAGGGCAAAGAAATTAAACGAATCAGTCAATCTTTCTAGCTTTCAGATTTATGTTTTACAAGACTCGATAGGGTGCGAGAAGGAGAATCCCGAGATCTTTACCTGGAGGTTTTAGATTGCAGTAAGAACCCCGCTGCCCTATGAGATTCAGTGGGGCTTAATTCTGCGTGGACATGGTTAGGATGGCGCTACAGTGGGACCCTGGGAAGAGACTAGAACGGCCAGATCAAAATAGATAAGGTGGAAAAGGTAATCTGCATAACAAATAAGGGATTCCCCACCCCAGCAGAAACTCCCTCCGTTACGCAGCTAAATCCCAGCCACGCGGGATTTCCAAAATCTTTGCAACATAACCGATGATTTGCAATAACATTGCTATTGAATGAATGAAGGGAGTACAAACGAAATCCCACTTTCTTTTGGGAACGAACCGGGCAGTGGGAATTCCCGGGGAGGTTGTAGGACTCCCTCGACGCCACTGCACTGGGTGGAGGAAGCCGGTTTCAAGCGCCTTGCCATCCAGCGTTCCCCTTTGAGTCTCTGGGCCGCTTGTCAGCGGGTAACAGTCGATGCCATCGGGGATCGGGCGCTATTTTGCGAATGGAGAAGCCAAGGAGACCCGAGGGGCGTGTCTCCCTCACCCAGTTTGCTCGGCCATCGGAGTGGGGAGAAGCCCGTCGGGGTTCCAAGGGGGACTCCGCCGCCGCCGCCGCGGACCGGTGTTCAGGTCTTCCTGCACACCTTGATCCTTCCACGTCTCTACAACCCCCTTCCCCAGTTTCAAGGCGGATTGTGTGGCTGAATGTGTGATGCCCTGGCTCAGCCGAAGTGATGCCTCCACCCCACTCCCTCCACACAGCACCCGGCTTAATTCTACCGAATTCAAGCAGGGAATTCAAGTTGCTTCTCGGGGAAGATACGCATATGTTCTGGCCGGCTGGATTCCGGCAGCGGATCAGCCACTTCTTCCCTTCCCTTTCTGGAGCCATTGACTAAAAATGCTCTTCGACGGAGCATACAAAGTCTGCGAAAGGCGCTTTTGAAGGAGGCCAGCTCCTCCGGCTCGCTCTCCCAGCGGCAAATGACCAGGCGGTTCCGTCTGAGTCCCAGGAGGTGTCTTCGGGTTCCCATCCCCGTCGCTCTCAGGCTTGGGGCCCCCGATGGCTTACCGTGTCCCCCTTGCTCGGCTTCCCCAGGCCCGTGGTTCTCTGTCCTGCATGACTCTTTCTCGCAATATCCGCCGGCAAGTTTTTGCGCGCCCTCCTCCAATTCGAAGCGTGAAATCGGGCCGTCGGATTCGAGGCGCGCGTTAATTGTTTCTGCTCAGCGGTACGCCTGATTCTCTCTGCAAAGTCAATCCCGTTGGAAATGGGATTTCATGCTGTTTTCCTGGCCCGGTAATTGATCTCCCGAGCGCTGCTAAGTGGAGAGATTTCAGACAAATCGAGCTGTCTAAAGTTGCTAAAGTCGATTCGATTTGAGTCCCACGAGGGTCTGCAGCGGAAGGGGGGTGGACAGACGGGAGAAGGGGCAAGAGACCTATAGAGTTCGGGTCAAACTCCGGTATTTCGCCTCCCCCCCTGATACCCAAACTCTTGTTCAGTTTCCCAAGATTCCCCCCTAAAAACCCGACGGTATAGGCAACATGCCCAAGTTAACGGAGGGAGCAGTAGGTGAGGGTTAGAAAATACATTTCTAAGTCTGGGCTTTTGCAGGCAGAAGGGCAAAGAGCAGTCGTTTAGGGAGGACTCCAATTCCCATCAGCCCCAGCCAGCACGACCTGCGGAGCTTTGGTCCAGCAACCTCTCTAGAGGACCACAGGCTTTTAGATCATTCCCCTTGGAAAAGGCTCCCCCTTTGATCTTGACGGGTGTGAAAACAGGCTATACGGTATTTGTACCATTCTCAAACGCAGGACGGTGATCGTTTGGGAGGCAGTGTTGTACAGTGGTTAGAGCGCTAGCTAGGACCTGGAAGACCTGAGTTCAAACCCCCATTTGGTCATGAAGCTCACCTTGGGTCAGTCACTGCCTTTCTTCCTAACCTACCTCACAGGGTTGTTGTGGGGATTAAATGAGGAGGGGGAGAAGAACCATGTACGCCACTTTGAGCTCCTTAGAGAAAAAAAGGGGGGTATAAATGCAGTAAAATGAAGTTTTACTGAAGGAATGTGCCAAGGGGGTTTGTTACCCTGTCGCGCATTCGTTTACTCCCTTGCGTAAAGGACAGCAGGCTACCTTCCAGGAAGCCGGTGCCCTGCGGTTATACAACGGGGACGGATTTCCCCTGGCAGTTCCTGGGAATGTAAACGCAGCGGGATGGGGCTAGTTCACACACGGTAGTGTCTATTCCTCCTTTTCACATCGCACCAAACGCGACGCTTTACCGCGGAGTCTTAAACGTGTCATCACCTAGACGGGGCCAGCCTCAGGCAGCTGAAACTGGGTGTCATGGAAGGGCAGTAAATTTAACTGACTTAAGGATAATTGTATCTCTGCTGCCAGGGAAACGGAAAGGTATTTCTGTCCCGGATGCCCAAATTACTTGGCTGGCCTGGCTGTACGTGTGTGCTATTTTGCTGTTTGGCGTAGGGCAGCGAGGTGTCTTCTTGCGCCGTCCTTGTGAACAGAGATATCAAGAGATGGCGCTTCCTGGAACCGAGCAAGGAGTCAGCTGGGCTTACCCAGCGAAGCCAGGCACCTGCTGTTTGAGGATTTTCTTTTTCGACCAATCTAAATTGTGCCCCCCGCCTTTTAAAAATGTGGCTGGCCAAGGCCAGAGTGTCTTGGTTAGAGTAGCATTGTTTGACGGATCTTCCCTTCTCTTCCTAGCCCTGCAGAAGGGGCGCTCCGAAGGATGGACCGGAATGCTAAGTATTCCAAGTTTATGCCCTAAATGGCAACGCATCGGGCTTTCGGCCACCAGGAGGCGCTCGTTGAACACCATCAAGCTCTTGGTTGCCGTCTGTTTTGTACTAAAAGGCCTTCGGAAAGCCAGAGGCTCCGTGCAGTGCGCCCCCTGCCGGCTAGTTCTCTTGGCAATGCCTGCTTTCGGCGAGGATTCCATTAAGGAAGGATGGATGGGGCGAGGGCACCGCTGCGGATGCGACAAAGGGGGGTATTTGGGAGAAAGAACTTCGCTCCTGGCTATCCTTTCCTTTCACCTCGAACAATGGCTAAGGAGATTCAGCTTAGATACATCAGCCTGCCCGCTGGCAACCCGTGCTGCCCAGTCCCACACCCACTGGGGATTTTGCCTGACTATAAACTCGGTGGAAATGCCCTTATACGGGATCTCATGATTCCAGCGAGGGGTTAGGCTGGGAATTCAGGATTCTGCTTTCCAGGGTTTTCCTGGAGACTCCAGCCTCATTTGCAAAGCAGCCAACGTCAGCACTTCGTCCCTCTGCTAAACATCTGTCCATGCGAAAATACGTTTTTAAAAAACAAAACAAAACCCAGGTTTCCAGACACCCACTCCACCCTCGATATTTATGTCTGCAACATCTCATTTGGAAATGCCATCGACTCAGTTTGCAACATCCCATTATAGGGGGTTAAATCCCGACTTCCCAATTTGCAGTTTATTATTATTTTTATATATTCCTCTACTTAGAGGTTTTGGCCTTGGAGCATGTGTTACCAGTTAGAGAAATATCAAAATAATGAATGACAAATTCCGAATTCTGAGGACATGAATCACAAACTGGAGAGTCCAGACTGAGTAAACGGGGGCCATGGAGATTCCTCACAGATCACCCAAGCAAATACATTTCATTTAGGAATTATAAAACTTCAGTCCTGTACCCGCCTGCCCATTGAGCTCCATGGGACTTCTGATTAGATACGTCTAGACTAGCATTGCACTGTAATTATTCCCCCTCCCATAACAGTGTCATAAAAATGGATAAGAGAGACAAGTTGTTCAAAAGCACCCCGTTAACTCCGTTCCTCATGGAAAGCAAAAGCAAAAAATGAATTAAAAAAATCAAACAAACAAAACCCTAGGAAAGCACCTAAAAATCATGACACGAAGGGAGCACGAATTTTTCTGGATTCCCCAGCTGGATAAAATATAGGAAGCCAAGACTGGTCAGGCATGAACGGTGAATTCACCAGGAGCTTTTTAAAAACAAAAAATATGTATTCATTAATGGCCTGAAAAAGGAAGTAAGAATGTGACAAGATTTGCAGGTTATCAAGTCATTTAAAGCAGCTAAAGCAGCTAAATCTAAAGCAGACTGAGGCGGTGATCTTATCTGGTACCTGGAAGTAAGTCCCGTTGACATCAGTGGTGCTTACTTCTGAGTAGACACGCGTGGGCTTGCACTGCAAAGACCAGTTGCCCTCGGTGCTAAGGAACGCAAGCAACGAAACAGCAGATGGGATTTACTACTACTTGGGAGGAGAGATGGCCAAAGAACATAATAAAATCTAAAAATGAAGGCAAGGGTCGTTGATTTCAGTAGGTTTTACGCAAGGTTTTGAGGGTTCGGGAAGCAATTGCACTTATGCAGAGCCAGCTTCATACACCCTGTGAGTATTTCATCCAGCATTTCATCCCAGTCCTAAAAAAAATCATATTGTTTTTCTTCCTGTGGAAAATGTGCTTAGGATCGCAGTCCCCTCCACTGTGTTGGGAGGTAAGTGGAACGCAGCGCCTAGCGCACCTTTGTTCCCCAACAAGTGTAATGGGAACCTGACTGAGGTGGCAGATGAGAGCCCCGCTGAAAACAGTGGCACTTCCTTCTGAATAAACACGCGGCCACAGTCGCCCCTTGAAACCACAACAGCCAGGAGCCACCATTCTGGGGAGATTCGTCGAAATGTCGGTCCAAGAGACTGTAGCTCCCCAGCCCAAAGAATAAACATCACGTTAGACTTCCGAGCGCGGGTAGTGCGTTAAGTCTACTGCAGCGGAAACAACAAAGAGCCCTGTCCTTTCCTTGAAGAGGACAAGACTTGAGAGTGGCATTTGCTTTCCTGCGCGTCACTTCGTCGGATGCACGACGGCCGGGTTATCTAATGTACAATGGGTCTTTCTTAGTGCAAAGGGGCCGTTGAAAAGAAGTTCACCTTCATACCATTACGCCTCGAGCCCTGAATAGTATATTTCTGCTCTCCCAGTTGTTTTTAAGGCGGTAAAGAGAAGCTCAATCAGAATTATTTGGTCACAAGCAAAGGTTTAAACACTTCATCTTTGAAAAAAAAGAAGAGAACAAAGGAAGGATGTGTCTGAACCGCACAAAACCAGGAATACCTGAAAAGAAACTGCCCCATTTATATCCAAAGGCATCAAGCTTGAAACAGATCTGATCGTTGCTTCTCGCAAGGCCCAGTTTTAGACTATGGAAACTTGAGATATTAGGCACCCCTTGCCTTAAACATTAGAGTCTCAAGGGAACGTTTGCTGATAATTCCTATGTTAAATGTATGTATTTATATTACAGGGCATCAGGCTTACAGGACGTAAAACAGTGGTTCAGGCTGCGTACAGGCCATATATTAAAAACCCATTCTGCAAGAGTCCTGGGGATCCTGTAGTTTATCCCCACCCCACCCACAGAGCTACAGTTCCCAGCACCCTTGGCAAACTGCACTTCGCACATGATTCTTTAAAAGAGAGTTTCCCAGGTGAGCCGTGCCTTGAAAGGAACCACTTTTTAATTTTTCTTTGGGTCTGATGCCCTTTAATATGAATATATGCGTAGCATTTCTGATATTGCTTACATTTACAGAGGCCAGCCGTGATGGGAATACCCCCCTCCTCTCACCGCCCCCTCCTTTGAAAGCGCTTCCTGGCGCATCTGGCTCTGGACACTGTCAAAGACAGGCTACTGGGCTCGATGACCCCCTCAGGCTACTGTTGTGAATTTGGAAAGTTCTGCAGTAGTGTCAACTTGAGCATAAATACTCGTGAACGAGGAGAGGAAATTGTCCATGTCCACCGTTATTTTCTTGCAAACCAAGGGCCCAGCCTAATCCCCCCCTCCACCGCCCCAAGATCTAATCTATTTCTCCGGTAGTCTTTTGTCAGCGCCAGGACTAAGTTCTTCCATCTTCGTGATTCCAAACAGCAATTTTACGCAGCACCTCTACCATCCTGAACATTTTAAAGCTCAAAGCCGTTTCCCCCAACCCCAAGTCCAACTGGGCATCTCCGAAGGCAGAGTTGCACCCACAGCTCGCACATCCCGAGAGCATGTTCGCACAAGCAGGACTTGGATCATTTGGAGACATTCTGATTTCATGAGAAGGTCGCTCTCCTGAGATCAAGGACAAGTTGTCCACCAGTTGATATTTCTGCGGTGGGATAAAGGCGATACAAAAACCGCGCGCGGATTTGCTCAAAAGCCTTATGGGGCCGCGATCTTACACACACTTACTTGGGAGTGTAAGCCTCAAGGGGCACACTTCCAAATTAGAAGGCGCAGAATCCGGCACGGCTGGGGTGAGATCCGAAACTCCCGGAGATTTCATTCACAACCAGCGAGCCTTACGACTTAAATAAAAACCTTCTGCAGTGTAAAAGAACAACAACAACTATTATCTCCAGCGTGCGCACAGAACGACAGTGCTCCTAGTGAAACTTGTTTTCGAACACCGGGAAAGTGCGAAGAGCCAGTTGGACACACCATCTGGGAGCTCTTCGCATACCAAGGAAACCCAGAGGAGGACTGAGGCTAACCCTCCCCTATAAATGTTTAAAACTAGGCTTGGAGATCGCTCGGTCTCCATAGCAGGGCTCCAATCTCTCGAGGTCCGCAAGGCTGACTACAGAAGAAATGTGACGGACTTCACCGAGAAACGGCAACTCCCGGGAGGCAATAAATCGAGCCGGTCTCCTTGCCAAACCGACCTGGCCTTTTGCACTCCCACTAAGACAACTGAAGAGTTGGAGGGCGGATGGGCTGTGTGTGTTTGTGTTCTGCATCCCTTTTGTTTCACCCGGGTTTTCCTTTCCAGGAAAGGAACGAGACTCAGACATAAAGAAGGATTGCATTGCTTAAATGGGTTACTCTGCTTAAAATATATATTCCCGCACTCTGGGACTAAGCCGTTCCAAGCCGGGACAAATCCTGTGGCGCGCGGTCCCGGGCGACCGGGATCAGCTCTTGGCCAACGCTCGAGCAATATTGCATTTCTTTGGCAGTAAAGTCGCCCCTTCTGGACTCGGCTTCCACCGGAGTGCTAAGCACGAGATCGCATTCCTGCAACCTCGGGCACGTTTACTCGCAAGTCACTTCCGCGGCGTTGAACTGGCGGCTTTCACGCAGAAACAGGGCGCGAAAACAGCCCAAGTGAAGACGCCGCGCGTAGTTTGACAGAGGGAGGGGAGAGAAAGACCCTTCAGTCAAATAGGGGTTACAGCTGGATTAATAAATGGCCCTGTGACACCCCCTCTCTCTTAGGCCCCCACCCCGCAAATGCAAAAAAACTCCGATTCAAAGGGAAGCGCCTCTCGCCTGCCCTCTGGCTCATCCCTAAGCAAACGGATGGAGAACCTGTCTCTCTCCCTCCCACAGTCCATCGCCCATTAGCCCCGGCCAGCGTGTCTAGCGGTAAGGAGCGGCGGTAGTTGGAGACCTACAACATGTGGAGGGTCACAGGATCCCCGGTCCGTTGCGGGGTGGGTGGGGGAGATTCCCTTGGCCGGGGTAAGGCCCCTCCACCGAAAACGTAGCAGAAGGGAGAGAGATCTCTTCTCCCGTCGGGGAGATGCCGCGTTACCCATAGATGAAAACCATCCTCCCGGGAACGACTCACCCGCGCTGCGTCCGGGCTCGGATTCTTTTCCCCTTTTCTCCTCCCGGGAGCGCCGGGACTTCCTCCTTTCGTCCACGCCAGTCTCAGCACCAAAGGCAAAGGCTGGCAGTGGGGTAGGGTGGGGTGTTGGTGGAGCTGCAGGGCACCCCTGCTCCCCTCCAGCCCCCAGATTTTTGACAGTCCAGAGCCAAAGGCCGGCGGAAAAGATTGTGTGAACGCAGAGACAGACCCCTGCTTACCTACCCATCTCTTGGGCTCCTCTTGCGCGAGGTTTCCGCGTCGGGGCTGGGGAGAGACGAGGCAACGACGGTCAGGGGGTTCCCATTATTCGCCTCCGGTTGGGCTGCTCTTGCCAAGCCACCTTTTTGTAGCGAGACTGTTAGCAACGGCGGCGGCGGGAGGCCTCCTACCCGGCAGTTGGAGAGAAGGAAGCCCGGTGCGCGCGCGGAGGGGGGGAGGCCAATCCCCTCCCCATCTCCCCCTTCCCCCTCCCTCCGGATGCGCGCAAGCCCCCTTCGGGAGCCGGCCTGGCCCCTCGGGGAACCCGTGCCGAGAGGGTTAACCCCGGAGCGACTCCCCTTTACCTTTGCGAGAGCGAAAATGTCCGCAGGCGGCGGCTCTTCCAGGGGCGGCGCTGGCGAACAAGGCGTCTTGGCACCGGCCCCGGGGAAGGCTGGTCAGGGGCGTGAGCTCCCCTCTCCCACCAGCACCAAAACATTGGGGGGCAGGGGAAAAAAGGCAGCTTCGCCCCCACGCTTTGCACTCCGGACAATTAGCCGCCCGCGACTGGCTGTGCCCGGCGCGGGACTTAATTCGGGGAGCCCCCCTCGGCCTCGGCCCAGCATGCCCTGCCCCAGCGCTGGCCCTCCCGGCTTCCTGGCCCTCTTGGCCCCTGGACTAGCGCTGCTGGCTCACCTCTCGCTCCCCTCGCAGGCCGGGGTGAGGCGCCTTCCCGCCGGGACTGGCCCGCAGGGCGCCCCGGGCCGGACGCTCATCCTCCTGGACGTGAGCGCCAGGAGCCCCCTCCGCGTCACCAGCGAGAACTTCCTCTCGCTGCAGCTGGATCCCTCCATCCTCCACGACGGCTGGCTGGACTTCCTCAGGTAAGGAGGGGCGGCAGCGGCTCCCCGGCCTTCCCCACCCCACGGGCTCGCTCCCCTCCTGCCAGCCCGCCTCGGCGCCCCTCTCCGCTCTGCCGCGCGCTACCGCGGCGCGCCCTTTGCGCTCCGCGCGTCCCCCCTCCACGGCCTCGCCGAGCCGCGGCTGGGACGCGAGGAGGAGGCCGGGCCATGGTTCCTATTAAGATGCACATGTTTGCAATGGAGAAAGCATCTCGGAAAGGCTGGCTGGAGGGGGGGGGAGAGAGAGAAATGCTGCCGCTTGCCTTAGCCCCACCGCCCGCGCCCGGTTCTGGAGCGGGTTTCAGCCCCGAAAGGGCGAATCTGAAGCTGATAACCGTCGATGTCCCAGGGGGCGGCCACTCCAGGGCTTCTTTGAGTCAGGAGAACCGCTCCCCTACGCGATCAACGGGGCCCTGATGGGAAAGAGTCCGGAGGAATCCCTTCAGAGCCCGCGCCGATGCCCAAGACGGGGCGGGCTTGCCCTCCAGCCGGTCCGCGGGGAAAGGGAGAAGGGCGTCCCAGGGTCGCGTCGCTGCCCGCCGGGAGAGCGCAAGCTCCAGGTATCCTTTCTCAGCCGCATCTCTCCCGGCTGCCTCCGGAGGGCTGGAGAAGATGCCCCGTCGCCCCTCTGGGCAGTCTTCCGTGGGGCGAAGGGTGGCTTTCTGGTCCCTTGGCGACGGCAGCCGGTGCGGGAGCGCAGCCCTTCTTTGCTTCTCCGGGCAGCCTCCTCTTTCCCCTCGGGGCCTTTGAGGGCCTGACGGGCTAGCGGCGCCCTCGGTGTGCACCGGGGGAGGCGCGATGGCGGCGCTCCGAGCGCGGCTTGCTTCTCCGGTCGGGCCCTGGGCCGCGCAGGATCCGTCCTCTCTCACGCAGCTCCTTGTCCGCGCAGCTCCCGGCGTCTGGTGACCCTGGCCCGTGGCCTGGCGCCCGCCTTCCTCCGCTTCGCCGGCAAGAGGACCGACTTCTTGCAGTTCCAGAACGTGAAGAACCCGGCCAAGAGCCGAGGCGGACCCGGACCCGACTACTACCTCAAGAACTACGAGGACGGTGAGGCTGCGGAAGCGCAGGCAGGGGCCAAGCCGGGGAGAGGGCAGCGGCGGGGAAAAAGGGGCGAGGCGGCGATCCCGCTATTCCCTGGACGGGACGGACATGGCGGGATGCGATCCCAGAGACGGAGGAGGGATGCTCACTCTGCAGACCCCGGCAAACCCTTCCATTATCAGTGATTGGGCGATGGGGAGGAGAGGCAGGCTCTTCTTATGGGGGAAAGGAGGCTTATCACGCCGAGCTAGTGATAAGGATAAGGAGGTGGCCCTAGTGAACTGGGGCCAAAGTAAGTTCTCTGCTTATTAGGGTCTTTTTGCTGCCAGCAGTGGCTGATCCCATGCAGGTGACTTTAAAACAACTCACACATTTACACCTGACTTGTGAATAAAAGCCCTCCTGTGCTGTTTGGCAGGATGTTAAGGATGCCTAAGGCTCCCAAGCAGGGCGGCAGCGAGGGTCAGATAATTTGGTCCCTGGTATCTTATGCAAGAAGCAGTTCAGGGGATAATGGGCTGCTACCCCAGACCCAAATAATACCTTCCTTGCAGATGTGCACCTGCTTCTGTGCCAGCATGTTTGGAATGTGGCTCCAGAGAGTGTTGAGGACATCAAGGCATATATGCTGGGATGGTTGCATGACACAGCCTGGTGTTTGTGATGGTGCATTGGGAAGGCTTGTGCCAGACAGACATCATTAACCCTTTTGCTCTGTGTGTATTTTGCAAGAGAGCTAAAAGTGGTTGCTAAACTGTGTCCACGGGTTGTATTTCACTAAGCTTTACTCATAATAGACTCCTTGAAATTGATGGACATCAATTAACACATGACTAACGTATGTGTGTTAATTTTAATGGGTCTACTCTGTGTAAAGGTTAGTTGAATGTCACCCTATAGGTCCATGTGTGAGAAGAGCAATTTGGTATTCAACTGGTGGTTCAGGTCCCACATTAGGTTGCATCCTGATTTATGGTAAATACATAGCTTTTTGGGGTGTGTGTTTTTTAAGGGTCACCAAATCCATGTTTGGGTAAAAGATGGGCTGAGGGTCTGAAAAAGTTGAAGACTAGGAGGAAAGGCAGAGGAGAAGATTCCACCTGTAAGAATGCAGGAGTAGCTTTGCTGAATCAGAGGAGACACCCAGCTAATCCCCACACTCTCCACAGCAGTAGGCAGTCAGTTGCAAGGCAGGGAGGAGAAAACCATCCCCTCTTGTTTACCTGGTAATTGGAGATACATTGCCTATAAAGAGGAACATTCAGTTTTTAAGCTAGCATGGCCAATGAAATCATCTTTACCCATGAAGTGGCTTAATTCACTTTTAACAGTGGACTCCTACCTATATTTACCCAGAAGTCCCACTTGGTTCCGTGGTGCTTACTCTCAAATAAGCGGGTCTAGGATTGCAGCCTAAAGTGGTTGCTATCAATTATGCTATCATTTACCACATGCTGTTTGCCTGTCCTCTGCTTACTGCCAGTTGTTACACCAGGTCCCTGAATGAGGGGGCAAAACTAAAAGCAACATGGAAGTACAAATTACACTTTGTGAGTGTTTGATTTAGGCAGAAATCCAGAATATGCAAATATCAAGATAAAAAATGGAAAGTAAAACTGTAATCTAAACAAAAACCTCATGGTTACCATGCAACAAAGGTCGGTCATACAAAGTGTATGGTGTCTCAAAATCTACCAGAATCCACAACCCTCCAAAATCTACCCCTCGGACGGGGTGAGGCAAACTCTCCACAAGGATTTATTTATATTTAGACCATTTCATAATTAATTGTATATTTAACTTTTCTTCTACTGTGGAATTGGGGCTGGATGAATATTTGACAAAACACTTTGAGTTTAAGAGATATAACATACAAAGAAGTAAACAGTGCATCTTTCCCCAGGAACACAGGCAATTTCAATGGATTAGTCAGCTTGTTGAGAGAGACATAGAATAGTGTAGGACACAGTAACCCAAGGAAACAAGGGTAGATGGAGATACTTCCTTGCCTGATCCTTCCCTGCCATCCGTGGTATAGTTGGTGCTGTGATTTGTACACTGACCTCTCCCACCTTTATCCTCTGGCTGAGATTACGATATTCCCTCATCCTTCATTTTTATCTTGGAGATTCCAGGGTGCTTTACCTTGGAGGTACCTGTGCAAAGGGGTAGAGAGCACAAAAATATTGGGGAGAGTGTGGAAGGGGCAAAGTGCATTTTGGGATGGGGAGAGCTTTGTCCCACATGCTATATTTCTTAAAGAAAAAATATGGTATATTTCATATACATTCAGGTTGTCATCAATGTCTTTTCTCTGATGTGAGCCTGTTGATTTTGATGGAGTTTAGTTTTCCTGTAAGCATGCTTGGGGACTGCAGCCTTATTTTAATTTCTAGTGTATGAATCAGTTACAATTTGTATGTAAAAAGTGCATTTTCTTCAAGCAGCTGTTGGACTCTACCAATGAGGTGGTGTGAGGCTAAGCTGCTTGTTTCTCCTCCCTACTTCTGGTGATACCTATAGTACTTAAAGGCAGAAAATCAGAACTGCGCACATATCCTACATATAAAGGACATTATTTCACCCAAAGTGTCCTGGGAACTTTAGTTTACCCTACACAGAGCAATAGTTCTCAGCATCCTTAACAAAGTTCCCAGGATTCTTTGTGGGAGATAATGTGCTTTAAATGTATGATGAATATGCATCCTTGGTTTTTAACGCCTGGTGGTTTTCAAGAACCTGCAACTGTTCTATCACACCAGTTTGGGCAAATGGAATGCATGCCAGCATTTCTGGTGAAGCTGAGTATTTCTGGTGAAGATGAGCAACACAGTAAGGGGCAGGTTTGGGCCTGTCTGATGCTAGAAAGGCCTGGCTCCATGTTACAAGACTCTGCTCTTTCTCTTAGCAGGAGCCTGCCCATGGCTTCCTTCCCCACCCACTTCTTTGCCACTTCTTGAACTCAATAATTCAATAATTCAAGCTGTATATGTTTTTTGTGTGTGTGTGAGGGGGGGGGGGAGAGATCCCCTGCCACCACTACCAACTTAGAAGTGGTATATGAATACTAAGGGCTATGCATTAGATTAGTAATTCTTACAGAAACCATATACAGCAGACACACAACTACAGCAGCTCCTGCTCCTTTTGTTAGCTGAACTGAATTTATAACTGGATCAGAAATGAAGGAGAACATTCACACAACGCCTCTAGACACCTCCTTTTACAGCACACATCTTCTCTCCTTCACTTACTCAGCTCAGGGTGCTTCTGCTCCACTTCCTGACAATTTGGGAAAAATATCAGTCTGTACTTCTTTCTCCCTGTTTCAGGGGTGATCCTTGGGAGTGAGGAAAGACACAGGGCATTTTCTTAACAGTAGTAAACTTCTTGCTCAATACTTTAGCATCTGCTTAGAGTCAAGACTTCATGTCTGTAGCTGAAATAAATGCTGGTAAACACATAGGGCTGAAAATGTTTTCCATGAATGCCCAGTTTTCTCAGTTAACCTTTGGCTTGTTAGAAGCAGCTTTTCTAGCAAAGTATATTTGCTTATTATCATTTAACCATTGATCTTACGCTCAAATTTTCCTCCCAATTTGTAAACTGAGCAGAAATCCCATAATGTTTGTGCAGTTTGACTTGCTGCCACAAAGAAGACTACACTGTAGTTGTGCCACAGTGGTAACATAAGGTCTGCCCTCACACGTTTTTCTAGTGCTGCAATCCTGTAAAGACTTAATTTAGGAACAAGCCCCAAGAAGAACACAGTTGTACAGGATTGGACTGCAAAGCCCAAGTGGTTGAGTTTATTTCACAAGCCTAAATAGTTATATGAACATTATGTCCCTTTTCTAAATACTGATTTCAAATTAACTTCTTCCTTCTAAGCAATATATGTAGACTGGCCATTTTTCTTGGGATTTATTATTTTCAGCAGGGCTGAAAGCTGCAATGACTAATTGCTAATTAAGCAATTAAATCAGAACCACTCCCCATCAAAGGGAATTCCTGGCAGCTGAAGACTTTGATGTAAACCATCCATATGCCCTTCTTGACTTAAGAATGTCGTAATGATCACCCTAACAATAAATTAATAGTATGTAATATTTGGATAGGAGTATTATCTTGAAATACGTTCAAAAGTCCATCTGCCTGTAATATTTATTTACATACATTGCTCTGGGAATTAACTTTCTTGCTTATTTTCGAAAAACAGTAATTAGTTTTAATATTTCTATTCATCAAAGGTTTTAAGCCTCTCTTCTTGCCTAGACAGATGACCTGGTTGAAGCTTCTGCAACTTCCCAGATGTTTTGGGCTCTGTTTTCCTCACCGCTAGCCAGCAGATCCAGTGATAAGGGATTATGCTAGCTGCAATTCAGAATATCTGAAAGGCACCAGGCTGAGGAAGGCTGGTCTAGACTTCTGTTGCATAAGTACTGAGATTTGGTGTGTGGACATTTTGGCTCACACTCTTCATTGCTGTGATACACTGGCTTTCACTGTACAAGACGACATGCTAACTCTGGATTAATTAGTGAAGGGTAAATGCAATCTCTGGGTGTGAACTCACAGTTTATTAAAAATTGGAGGTATCGAGGGGACATATTGACATATTCAGGTTATAACTACTCAGTTTAAAGCCACAATCCTATGCAAATTTAGGAAATGTAAGAAGCTACCTTAGTTTACACCAGACCATTAGTCTACCTAACTTATAATTTCTGGTCCCCAACCTTTTTTGAGCTCTGGGGCACATTTGCAAAATCTAAGCAACTATTGCAGACACTGCAAAATGACTGTTTGACAGAAGAAGAACTGCAGATGCTTAGAACACACCCAACCCTGACCAAAAACCCGGCATAACACCTACATGCTCCAAAACAAAGAAGACAGACAAAAAAAAAAGCAGCTAAGCCCCACAAATACTGACAAGAAAAAGGCAAAAAACCAACCAAGCCAACTCTCAATTAAAAAACTACACAAATTAGAACCTTGGAGAGGCAGGGAAACCTTGGTGCATGCCCAAGTGAGTGTCTGAGGATGCCACGGTGCCCACAAGCACCTCATAGGGGACCCCAGAGCCACAACGATTAGCAGTGGCTCTGCATCATTTCAGGCAGGAATCTGTCCCAGCCCTATTTGGAGATGCTGGGGAATTTAACTCTTTTCCTTTCCCACTGAGCTATGGCCTCTTCCTTACATGGGAATAAGCTTCATTCAGTAAGAGTGGTATTTACTTCCAAGTAAACATCTACAGAAGGGATGGGACCCCTGTTTGAGCTCCACATTGGGCAAAAATATTCCTGCATTTCAGGAAGTTAGACAAGGTGACCCTTGTGGTCCCTTCTAGCTCTATGATTCTACTTTATAATGTGATCTTGAGACATCCAGAAAGTATAAAACAATGCAGCCACATAAGAACATGAATCATTCCCCAAATATAATATGGATTGTCCTTGAATCTTCCTGCCACATTTGCCATCCTCCCCTGCAACTCCAGTGTGGCCCGTCACACCCTTTGAGAGCTACTGCCTTACAGGAACAACATAATCCACACTTGCCGATTCTCAGTATAATCCAAAAAGTGCATCACTAGAATCTAAATTTAGAGATGCAAATGTATATAATTTTAAGTTCATGGACTTTTAGGATGAGTGTCCTTTTAACAGAGACTATGCAAGAGTTGGTTTGTCAACTGCACCTTCGGTATTAAGATGATAACCTCTGGTCTGGAGAAAAACAAATGAGGAATCAGACTTTAAATTCCAAAGGAAAGTAACAAGATCCACGTGCGTGCACACACACCCCTTTCAGCCTTTCTTTGGCTGCATGACCCAGGAGGCCGTTAGCTGAAGATTTTCCATAAGTCATTACTGAGGAAGCCAATTAATCCCAGACAGACCTCAGCGGGTAGGTCGGCAACAGAGAGGATGTCTCATAGAGATCTTGTCTGCCTGGACAAGAGGCTTCCAGCCTCAGTTTCTTTCTTTCCTCCTATGGCTTCTTTTTGATGCAGATACCTCAGTCGGAAGGGGTGATACAAACCTGAGATTCTCTTTGCAGGCACGGATAAAGTGCCCCCACCCCCTGCATCCTGCTTCACATATACGTACTTCTGCCTGCTCCCTCTCTCCTTCCCACCCAAACTTGCTTTGTTGAGGCCACTGCAGTTTAAAAGCTAAAGGAGAAAACTTCTCATTGGTAGCATAAAACTTCTCTGACCAAGAGCTGTGGTTGGTTCACACTAAACATTTGCAGAAATAAGTGTTCGCTCAGCCCAAAGGTCAATATTTCAACAAGTTGTGGTAGGGAACTTACACTTATTAAATGTCTTCGCCCAGGTTTCTTTGCTGTTGAGTGACTGCGGCCTTTTGTTTCTTCCATTTTTCCCTCCTGGCAATAAAGTTGAAATGTAGCAGCCCTTCAAAATGAAGTTTCTCATAGAAGTTGTAACCACAGGTCTTAACTTTTCATCACTTAAATGTGGAACAGAACCATTGCAAATGGGGGAAGGAGGGAGGGGACACATGTGGTGTGTATCAGAGATCAGTGTAAATCAGAAAGGTGTGGTGAGGGGGATTTCCTGCCCACAGGCCCAGTGTTCTTACTGGCTCCCCTGCACAGGCTCTTGGAATTGCAGACAGGACCTTCTTCCCACAGAGTGTTACAGAGAACCATTCTTTTTTGTGGGCGAGGGGAGGCAAAGATCCTTGCAACACCCTCAAGACAAATTGGCTGGCCATGGCATGGATGCATGTGATGAGGAGATCCATATTTGCAACAACATCTAACCTAATGTACAGACTGTGTTCTGCAAACATGGGTCTGTTGCTGGCTGCTCTGGAAATGCCTTCTGCTTCCCTTCAGATAACAGTGGGAATGTATGAAGGGGAACTGCACACCTTCCCTTCTGTACAATGCTTTGCCTTGTCCTGGCCACTATTGCAAATCCCGCTGCACCTTCAGATCAATCATTGTTAAACCATGTCAAGTACCACATTTTTCTTGAGTAGGAATAGTTTTGTTGGCTTGCTTTCTTGGAGCACTGCCTGCCATTATGGAACTAACTTTTGTTTCCCAGTTTTCAGGCAACAGGTGTAAAAATAGCAAAAAGCCTTGTGGCTCAATGTAGATGAACAAATGTCACGTTTAAGGTGCCAGAAGGCTCTTAGGGCTCTCTTAGATGAACTGTTTATTTAGCATTCATTCCAATCTGCTTGTGTGGAGGTTATATGATGCTGTGCCAAGGGATTGCACATGACGTGTGATGCTAATTATTTCCCCCCAAGAGTTAAATGATAACTAATCAGAGGCAGCTACAGAAGAGCTATGAGATTCAGGTGAGGGTCAGATGCCTTGTCAATCCCAGCAGGTATATAAGAGGAGACTGCCCAAGCCACAGAATGCATGTTCAGAGTGCTGGAGATCCAGAATGCATGTGCAGACTGCTGGAGATCCAGACACAGGAAAAGGAATGTCCAGCTTTTGTGGCCATTTATAATCTTGTCTTTTCCCCCAAACAACCATCTCATGCCCATTCTGCTAGTTCCTGAGGCTTGTTTGGTGGCAACATGGGGGAGAGACTTCTCAGTGGTGGTGCCCTGGTTTGGAACATCCTCCCTGCAGAGATATGACTGCCACTAATGCTGATCTTTTGGCGCCAGCTAAAGACTTGGCTGTTTGCCCAGGCCTTCATTGGAGTTAAATGTCAGACTGATGGTTGTGATTATTCTGATTATGATTTATTGGCCTGGGCAGGCCGTGTCGGCCTTTAATATACCTGCTGGGATTGACAAGGCATCTGACCCTCACCTGAATCTCATAGCTCTCCTGTAGCTGCCTCTGATTAGTTATCATTTAACTCTTGGGGGCAAATAATTAGCGTCACACGTCACGTGCATGGAAGTTGCCAAACCTGTTAACCAACTAGAAGGATTACTGTTAATAGCACCAGTTTTCCTATAACTTGATATCGCTAGATAGTTTTGATGAACTGCAAAAGCATTTTTAGCTTGCTTTCTGTTGCCTAATAACTTCTGCTACCTAATAACTTTTCTTTATTAGTGCCACTTGGTTTTGTACGATTCCTTGCAAATGAAGGAAAACAACTTTTCTACTTGTATATGTTGATAATATAATTTTGGTTACTGAGGACAAACAAGAATGTACAAAAACAAGATTGGGTGCAGGCCTGGCCAGGACATAGGTGTCCTGACTGTGACAAAGGTGACCTGTGTGCTTGCTTGTTTGATGAACAGCTGTTGGGAACTTCAAGGTCCTTTCTCTCCCTTCTTATGGTCTTTGTACTGGACCTGGAGACTCCAATAGAGAGCATTCCATGTCAAGAAGGAGGGCAAGTGGGCACTCTATCAAATGACAGGACAGGAGTTACACGGAGCCAGGGTCTTTTCACTGGCGGTGCCCATTGCATGCCTCGCTCTTCCCAGACCTGCTCTCTTTTGGCCTGTATTTTGGAGCTTTATAATTTAGGAAGCCTTTGGAAGAAGTGGTTGACAAGTCTTATCAGTTGCTGACGTATGAGCGGATTTTATTTGCTGCTATTCTGTGCTTCTGGTGCACCAGGGTTTACACCAGCGTAATAGAGTTGGCCAGGATGCCAGAAGGGATACAATTTACGAGCTTTCTCCATTATCTGCACAGCAGGGGGTGTTCAGTCAATAGTGCAAAGGCTGAGCTGAAGCATTCCCTGTTGGTTACCTGCTTTCAGCAGTAGGGATCGCTGTTTGGTAGTACCCAATTGGTTAGCTGTCAGATTCTAGAGCTCCCTATTGGTGGCTCTTAGGTAATTCACAAAATACAGAGTCCATTCATAAAACACAGTGTTCATTCATAAAGCAGTAACTTAAATCTCCATTGCTACATATTGGGTGTATATTTCAGCAGTTGAACATACAAGTTTATGGCCATGCTGTAGTGTAGTGCTTATGCGACTGTGAATAAAAGGTGGCTGGGGTCATTTTCTCGGGGTTTGGGGGGGGAAAGAGGTGACAAAACTGATTTCCAATAAGTGCCCCCCCTTTATTTCCATTATAAGTCCTTGAGTCTGTACTCTGAATGGTGACACCAGGGACCTAGAAGGTGCTGGGCTCATCAGTCCAACCCCTGCACAGTCTCATCAGTGCTGACAATTAGAGCAATTGAGCCAAACTGGGCCCCGCGGGCCAATCCTAAGGGGGCCCCTGCACCAGGGCAATCTAGATGGATTTTATTTATATCTATAAGATTTTGCAGACTTTGGCTGTGAACTGGGGCCCTACAAAAAAAAGATTCAAGTTGTGTCCCACTGCTTCAAATTGGGCCCCACTGGCTAGCCCTGAGTCTAATAGTTGCTGGGCATGTGTTGCCCTGCCCTTGTATGAAGTCTTGGGTTTACAATTTTGGGAGAGGGGAGACTGCACTGGGGAGCAGGAGGGCTGGTGAGGCCCCCTAGATTTAGAGACCCCAGGCTTCAGCCTACTTAAAGGTAAAGGTACCCCTGCCCGTACGGGCCAGTCTTGCCAGACTCTAGGGTTGTGCGCTCATCTCACTCTATCTCACTCAGTCTACTTAGCCTATACATAAATCTGGCACGGATAGGTACCTAGTTTGTCTAGCTTTTGCTGGACAGTTCTTACATTAGTGAACTTGTGCTACCTTCAGAAATTGAATAGTGCAACTAACTAGGCAACAAAGTACGGAGGAAAGACACAATAAATTGTAGTGTAAAAGGAAGGTCAAGTGCTGCCTTTCACATCAACTGCTTGTGACAATTCTTGGTTTTGCAATAAGCAAACTGTCTACTTTGGTTTCTTATATGTTGGTTATTTTTAGTTTAGCTTAAGTTGCCCTATTAGCATATCAGAAGAAATGGCTGAACTAATAAATCATTAAAGAATGAAGAAGCCCAACATTGTATGTGCTTTAAAGGCAATTTAGTGGTGAGTATAGTAGAGATTATAGTTTTAGGACCAAGATAAATTTGACTTAGTCTGGTCCAAAAAACCTTCTTGTCATTGCATGATTAATTCAACTTTCTGAGCCTTTGAGTCTGCTCAGGAACAGACACATTTACCAGAACAAATACATCCTCCCTGCCCCCATGGCTCCACCCAATTAACAGCTTTTCATTATGGTAGTTAGCATAAATCCCCTTGGGGTAAAATACTCACCTTATCTGATTTTATGCCAAGGCCCAGACACCCTAGTCACCGAATACTTCTAAAAACTTGGCCAGAGAGCTGAGAGAAATCACAGAAGCCATTTTAATGACCATGACCTTTTTAACTAGCTATTTTCAAAGCTTTACAGCTTTCAGTTTACTGGCTCTCTTGTCTGATGACCAAGAGACAGTGGGTTTGATCCCTACAGGATGTCTCACTCTCCAGTGTCGCCCTGCCTCACTTATTTCCATACGTGTTGGGGTTTGTTTGTTTTTTGTCAAACAGAAGGTACAATTAACGTTTCTTTTAAAATTCATTTGGGATTAGTCTGAAAAGTTTAAAGAAAGCCCCCCTCAATGTAATTTTTGGGCAATTGCTATGTGGTGGGCATTCTAGCTCTTGGGAAATATTCACTCAGGCCTTTAGGCATCCCAAAGGAATGCAGGGCTCCACCCACAGAGGAAAGCCTTTTCTGTGGACTCACACGCTCCCTCTGTCTCATACTGGCTGGATGTTCGCCTGTCCCTTGATACCAGTTTAGAGAAGGCTGATGGATGGGGTGTGAGATGTACCAATCTCTGCTGGAATTTCTCCTCCCACTGCAAAGGGGGTCTCCCTCTGGGAAATTATTTGGGATGCTTTGAACCCAGAGGGCAGAGTGCACTCTTCTGCCATGTCTGGAATGGGACAGAACTTCCAAACTCCCCTGGTCTGTGCCTTATTGTGAAGGCGGGAGCTTTCTAACCTACCCTGGGCTGATATGCCGAGATAACATAGAGTGGCTGGAGCATGCTGCCTACAGAAGGCCTCCTTGTGCCTCTGCACTATGGTGTGAGGAGCCCTTTACTTTGCTTTTCCAGTCCCCCAAACTCTGGATTTTGTGTCCTGCAGTAGGCCGCAGCTCACCCACCTGCCACACGGGTGTGCTCCCTTCATACTGCATCCATCTGCATCCGTCTGCTGTATCAAGGACTGCACACAGGATGGTTGCACATAGTCATGATTCAACATTCACAGCAAGGACCTGGTGATCCATAGCTGTATTGCAACCAAGTCCAAGAGCTCTAGGCAGAGCTCAACCCACCAACCCAACCCCCATCTTTCATATGAGATCTTGGGCTAATTCTTTGTCAGTATTTGCACACTTAGGTGGGAGTAAGTCCCATTGACAACAGTGAGACTTATTCCCAAGTAAACATGCACACATTTGGGCTAAAGGGCAAACCAGCTAAGAGTCTGGTTTCCTGGAAGAACGGGTGGGACGCGGGTGGCGCTGTGGGTAAAACCTCAGCGCCTAGGGCTTGCCGATCACATGGTCGGTGGTTCGAATCCCCGCAGCGGGGTGAGCTCCTGTCTTTCGGTCCCAGCTCCTGCCCACCTAGCAGTTCGAAAGCACCCCTAAGTGCAAGTAGATAAATAGGTACCGCTTTATAGCGGGAAGGTAAACGGCGTTTCCGTGTGCTGCGCTGGTGCTGGCTCGCCAGAGCAGCTTCGTCACACTGGCCACGTGACCCGGAAGTGTCTGCAGACAGCGCTGGCCCCCGGCCTCTTAAGTGAGATGGGCGCACAACCCTAGAGTCGGACACGACTGGCCCGTACGGGCAGGGGTACCTTTACCTATTTGCACACTTAGGTGGGAGTAAGTCCCATTGACAACAGTGAGACTTATTCCCAAGTAAACATGCACACATTTGGGCTAAAGGGCAAACCAGCTAAGAGTCTGGTTTCCTGGAAGAACAGTTAGGTAGTTTTAACTCGTTAAAATGATGGGATGAGAGCAGACAAAGTGGGTGGGGTTTTTATGTCCCTTTCCTTATCCAGCTTCATATTCTGTTCCCCCCTATATTTCTTGTTCCTAGTTCCTTCCTTCTACCGTCTCAGCTGGCTTTTACCCTCCTTGGGAGGAATTGTGAGCTATAAATCCAATAAATAAAAATAATAACTTTTTTCCTCTTTTTGCAGTCATAATTATAATTGCTCAGAATGGGGGGTGGGGTAAGGGTGGTGGAGAAGCCCCAACAATAATGAATTGGGATATCAAATGTTGGGAAATCAGGAAAGTTAACTTATTGGATTAAAGAAAGGAAAAAAACCTAGGAGGAGTTGGCAGGATGGATTATTTTGATAATAAAAAAAACTATTATAGGAACAATACAGTTTTATAGCATATTGGTGTTTATTTATGGATATGGAAAATTTCAGTAACATAAGCAGATTGCTGTATTCAGACTAATGATTAACTATTAATTTAAATAATTAAGAAATTTATATTATTTGGAATTTGTGAACATTGTATTTATATGGTTGAATAATTGAATTTTAAGTAAGTGAGTGAAATTGCTCCTGAAGGGATTTGGTGACAGCATCAGCACTGCTTGATTTGCTTGATGCCACCACCAATATATTGGGTAGTGGCACCTACAGAGGTCTCTGTAGGCTGGCTCCAGCCCATGGGCCACTGGTTCTTATCCCTGGCTTAAACAAACCACAGATCCTTGAATTCAAACATCATGGAAGATTGGGGTCAGTTTAAAACCAGAAGTGGATGTTTCCTGTCTCCTTCTCTGATGCATGAAAAGGTAAGGGGCACCAGCCTGAGACTTGTTGCAGCTTGTTCATATAATAGGAAACTGTGGCTTCCTGTTGTGTCTGAGCCAGCATGGTGTAGTGGTTAAGAGTGGTGGACTCCTCGTAATCTGGTGAACCGGGCTCGCTCCCCCCCCCACTCCACATGTTGGGTGACCTTGGGCTACTCACACTTCTCCGAAGTCTCTCAGCCTCACTCACCTCACAGAGTGTTTGTTGTGGAGGAGGAAGGGAAAGAAGAAGAGTTTGGATTTGATATCCCGCTTTATCACTACCCGAAGGAGTCTCAAAGCGGCTAACATTCTCCAAAGGAGATTGTTGGCCACTTTGAGATTCCTTAAGGGGAGTGAAAGGCAGAATATCTTATTCTGAACTTCTGAACTTGGCTACCAAATGAGCTGAGTTGAGATTTGAACCAAGGATTTCCTGGCTCCCTGGTTATATGCTTAGTTACTGCAGCATTCCAATTGTCTTCCCTGAAATGGGTCCACCATTAGAATTGAATATAACTTTTATTTTAAAAGAAAATATAGACTGGACTCAACTTAGTTAGGCACGCCTTTCTCAACCTTGGGTCCCCAGATATTGTTGGACTACAACTCCCATCATTCTTAGCTAGCAGGGCAAGTGGTGAGGGATGGTGGAAGTAGTAGTTCAACAACATCTGGGGACCCAAGGTTGAGAAAGACTGGGTCAGACAGTGCTCCTGAGTCCTAATTTTGTGAAATGGGAATGATAATCAGCCTATCTTACAGGTTTTCTACTGGGTATGCTGAAGGTAAACAAGGAACAGGAGCAGCCGCTTGAAATGGAGCAACAAATGGTGCCCTCTATAAGTCAATGAGCAGAGTACCAAAAGCTGGTCAAGTTATTTTGGCACCTGAGGCAGAAATTCTCACAGGTGTCTCTTCCCATCCCTGGCAGTAATGTGTTATCTATCTATCTATCTATCTAATCTCTCTCTCTCATCTATCTCAATTTGGTGGCCTTTCATGACACCCATAATCAGATACTTGAAGTGGATACTTCAGTCTGACTCAGCTACACATTTATCTTGCATGATTTATAGATACAGTGGTACCTCTGGTTACGAACTTAATTCGTTCTGGAGGTCCATTTGTAACCTGAAACCGTTCTTAACGAGAGGTGTGCTTTCGCTAACGGCGTCTTCCACTGCCACTGCACCGCTAGTGTGTGACTTCCGCTCACATCCCTGGGCAAAGTTTGCAATCAGGAACATCTACTTCCGGGTTAGTGGAGCTCGTAACCCGAAGCATTTGTAAGGAGGACGGTACATAACATGAGGTTCTGCTGTACACTAGAATATGTGTGCTGTTCTATATTCCCTGGTCATATCTGTTTATTTACATGAAACTTAAAGGATTAAATGATACTGGGTGAGGCAAGTAGGAAGGCAGAAAAATATCTCAGCTAGTTGCCTAGCAACTAGACCACATGATTTTTGTTCCCTCTCTTCTCTTAACTTCATGAGCAGATGAATAAGGAGTGTGTGCGTAAAAGTGATGCCCTTCATGCATAATGTGAATTGTGCTGGTTTTGGGTTCACGCACGCAGAATGAGGGCTGGCATAAAACATAATTTTAATCTGCAGAGTCAATCAACAAGTTTGTACAGCTGTTTCAGGGCCACCTCTATTTCAGCAGCCTGATGTCACCTTATGAAGGCATGCCCAGAAATTATCAATTTTTAAGAAAGGGCTGACCATGGTGCACCAAATAAGGGAATGTTTTTAAATCGCCATCTATCACTGCAGGGAGGAGGTCCTCTCACTCACTGGTGGTGGGTAGCCCCCTGCCTGCCATTAAATTCTCTTCCTGAGCAGGCTAGCTGGTAGCATTGAGAGGTTCATCAGCGACTGTTAATTATTCCGGGAAGAATGTAAAAATATGGCTGTTGGCAAAACCTTAGCTGCGCATAGAAACCTTGCCTTCAGATAGCCTCCAGTCTGTGACTTTTGTTCTGAGCATGGGACTGAGACAGCACTGATTGGCATTTGGTCATAAATTATTGCAGCTTCACAGGCACTCTTTTATTCCATTAATTTGTGGTCTTTTACAAGTATTGATCATGAAGTGTTTGTGACATGATGACTATATAACCTAATGGGAAGTTGTGAGACCACTCTTGAGTGATTCCACTTAGTCCTGCAAGGTCTCTGGAATGCTGATGGGAAGCTGCTCATCTATTCACTGATACCTTTCCTGTGATGTCCTGCAGGGGTCATCCTGTTCTATTTCCCATTTATAAGTCAAGGCAGGTAGCCATATTAGTCTACTGCAGCAGAACCAACAGAATCCTGTGGCACTCTGCAGCTTAAGAAATTATCATGGCCTAAGCTTTCAGGTAACTAGGGCCCACTTCCTCACTTGGTAGATACATACAAAAGACACACAGAGACCTGAACAGAGAGGGAAATATTTAAATACTAGAACCAAAACGCAAAAGGTATCACTAGGTCTTTTACATTTCTAGGCAGAGTCAAATGTATACACGCTAACAACAAATCGACCCATTTATAGCAGTACATCTCATGTTAACATGCTTTTCATTATTATGCCGATGGAACACCTAAATGCCCCATCTCAGCCCAAATTCGCTAATAAACTCTAGTTCAGTAGTTTTATGCTGCAGGCAGCCTTATTCTTCAGTTGTATCTGAAGTGCCTTGGAAAATCTCTCCCTCTCTCTCTCTCTCTCTCTCTCTCTCACACACACACACACACACACACACTGCCCTTCATCAAAATATCTCAGGGCGATTGAAATACTCTCCCACCAGTTTCTGTATTTTAAAATGTCAGATTTCTAGCCATTTATACTCTTACATAACTCTTACATTACTCTGGTTTTTGTTTAGCAGCAGCAGCAGCAGCAGCAGCAGCAGCAGCAGCAGCAGCAAGACTCTGTTGGCTGGCTATAGCATGAATCCCACTGGGAGATGTGTACATGACTAAGCCCCTCTTGGTATGACTGATGTTGTGAGGTTCTGCCATGGTGCAAAAACATGAGGTTGTCAATGGCCATGTGCTGCTGTGTTTGGCTTGGTGACTCAGAACCTGTGCAGGTTTGGTCCAAGCAAAACTTCTCATTAGAAAGAAGGCATGAATGGTGAATGAAAATGCTGGCCGTCAGGGGTCTGAAGCTGATAGAGACATGAGATGCTGAGGGAGATTGATTGGAAGGAAGCACGGACCTGCAAGGGTCAGGTGGGAATGCATTGCCCATCAGGCGAGTTTGTCTGGTTTCAACTTAAAGAGTAGAGACTTTTGCTAAGGACTGAAAGCTGTGAGTTTTTTGTTGAGCCTTTTGTTCTTTTATACCACAGACATCATTCGCAGTGATATTGCCTTGGATAAACAGAAAGGCTGCAAGATTGCCCAGCACCCAGACATCATGTTGGAGCTACAGAGGGAAAAGGCAGCTCAGATGCACCTGGTTCTCCTCAAGGAGCAGTTTTCCAACACTTACACCAATCTCACACTAACAGGTAAGGTTGCAAGGCCATCATGAGCCAAGGATCTGCCCTCATTGCTGAGACTCTGGTAGGACAAATTGCTGCTTGTTTCATGGTGAGAAGAGAAAGCAGGTGGCTCCTGAGCCATGGCAGCTCACAGTCGGCAGGAAATGTTACACAAATTAAAATGTAATCTAGAGTGTGTCTCCTCACTTTGCTGGCAACTTGGATGTTGCCAATTTCAGAATGCAAGAGAAAGCGACAATCTGACCGTGTTACACATAAACCAAAATCTGTGCCCAATAAGATAGAAGTCAGAGAAGGGGAATAAATACTAGGGAAACCCACAGTGTGTTCATTCTTCTATTTGATGGTCTCATGTAACAGCAATAATGGGTTGGGTTGCTTAACAGCTTCTTGGGACACAGACAGACTCCTGGATTTGATTTAAGCAGCAAGAGGTGATCTGTGACTTTGAGCAGCGTTTTGATGCAGCCAGAACAACAAGAAAAATGATTAGCACATGCCCTTTAAAATGAAGTGAAAAATAGCTGTTCCATGAGTATTTATTTATTTAGAAATATGTGTATATAGCCTACCCTTTATCAGAACTGATACCAGGGCAGCAGGGTATGACATTAAACAACTGAATTTATACATAAACAATAGATAAGCCCATAAAAATACATACACATGGGGCAACTATGAAAGGGCAGTATAGGCTAAAACAACCATTCCCTTACAAACATTTAAAATTCCTGAGTGAACAGGTAAGTTTTAATATGGTGCAGAAATGATATCAGTGTCTGTGCCAGTTGGGTATGTAATTCCACAAATGGGGCACCACCAAGGAGAGGCTTGCCTTCAGGTATTTGGGTTGCAAACCATTTAGGGCTTTAAAGGTTGGCACCAACAAATTGAATTGGACTTGGTAGTGAGTAGGAAGATATATCATTGTTAATCTGGCAGCACCTCTTTATATGTCATATTCCTGACTCATCTTAGGTTTCTGCTGGGACCGGAGTGCCTCAATTTAAATATCTCTTATTACACATCCTAGGCATAAACCAGGGGCAGTCATCTTCTCTGGAAGGGCCACTCTATTCTTCAGATAGTGATCCGGGGACCAGAAAGGTCTATGACTCAGATTTGACCTTTCCACATTCAAAGCCAAAGAGAGACATATCATTCAGAGAACAAACTATCACAACAAAAAACTAAAGGCAAGCTTTTTACCGCACACACATTGATTTTTTTTTTATAAATATTTTATTAAGGATTTTCTTGTTTTACAGAAGTAAGTGTAATGCCTCGTATTTTTTTTCCCCATGTAACATTTTTACAAATCCGTTTCATTTGTTGAGGCATTAGGGGGAGAAGCAAAAAAGGAAAAAAGAAAGGGGGGGTGAAGAGAGGGAAGATGGATGGGGTGGGGTCGGGTGGCGGTGTTTCTATTATGTTTAATGTATGTAGAGTTTGGTGTCAGCGTTGCTTGTGTTGTTCACTTGTGTTCCTTTGGTGGTGAGAGAGGTTGGGGTTGGCCTAGGGTGTGATTGTTTGCTTGTGATTGGCTGTGGTGATCTTTGTTTTCGTGTGTGAGTGAGGTGGGTGGGTGTTTTGGATCAGGTTAGCCATATTAATTGGTATGCTGTTGGTGGATTATTGTCATTGTCCTGTTGGGCTGTGTATGTGATAAAGGGGAGCCATACCGGGGTGAAGGCGTCTTCTTCTGTTTGTCCCCGTGTCCTCACACACACTGATTAAAATATGATCGAGTTACCAGTAGGGATGGAGAGAAATCTTAATGACAAGCTACCTAATTTGTACTTCCTTAAATAATACTTGAACTTATGAACCAACTGTCCATTGGAATTTTCGCTTTGCCAAATTTTGCAATGAAGTTCTCCATTCGTATAATGTGTATTAAAATATGCACATTAGGGAGAGGCATGTCTAAAAATGCATATGTCAGTGAAAATGTGAGCTTCTCATATGCACAGTTTTGTGTGTAATTTTGTGTAACAGACATAGTTTTGCAACCAATTTTCTCTAAAATGCTGCATTTTTATGTGTTAGAGAAAACTGGTTGCAAAAATATGTCTGTCATGCAAAATTACACACAAAATTGTGCATATGAGAAGCTCACATTAACATGTTGATCCTTTTTTTGTGAGAACCTTTTTTTTTTTAAACTGCAAGCTGATATGTAAATACCAAGAGGTGAACTTGAGACTGGAAAAACGAGAGACCAAAATTGACAGTTTTGCCCATCTCTAGGTGCCAGTAGCTAGCTACGTTGCTGGGTGCAGCCAGCCTTCAGACGAGCGTTTGGTGAAGTAAGCTCCCCTTTATTTGAAAATAAATAAATAAATCTGATGGGGGGCTGCAGTTTTTATGAGAGATGTAGCCCTGGGATGCTGTTCTTCAAGAGGCAACAGCTACTACTGCCTTCCTCTAAGATGCACTTGGTTGAGAGGAAGCGTTAGCAGGCCTAGCAGAAATTGTCTGACGACTTTCACCCTGGGCCTCTGCCCTAACAAGCAACACAAGTCTTTTTGTAGCTCTTTAGCACTCCTCAAAATAGCCGTGCAAGGATTTCAAGCTTTTTCCCCTCTCCCTGCCCTCACTTGCTTTAGTAGAAGGGATGCAGCAATTACTAAATTTGGTGTCCTTGAAACCAAAGCAGCACATGCACTTTGTGTGAACCCAGTAAATATTAAAGAGCAAATATAAAAGAGATAATGGTCCAGATGGAGCCGAGTGGCTGTTTCTATTACGGGTGTTGTTTGAATTATCCATGAAATGGGTCTGGAATGACTGACAGGCTGTGAGGTAGTGGGGAGAGCTGCAGGGCACTCGTAAATGTCCTGCCTGGCTAGTGGGAGGACAGAAGAGAAGGATCTAGTTCTCCCACCTCTGGCCAGTGGGTGGCAGCGGAAAGCCCCACCAAGAAGTGCCCAGGTTTTCACCAGAAACGAGGCCCAGGTTTAAAAAGAATCCCTAGTTCCCAAGGTTTTTGGATGGGTGCTGAGTTTGTGTGACATGAACATCTATGTCAGCCTTTTGAACATGACAGTGCCCCATGCTTTGTGGGGAGAAAACAGGAGGTATCCAGGGCTGGAGGTTTTCCCAGTCTCTTGAGAAGACACCTAGCTGTGACAGATCTCCAGACTTGTGCCTGCATGATGTTTGGGCAGGATCCCTTCAAGCCATTTATCATTTTGTGTAACATAATCCCCTCAGCTGTTTATTCCCACTTGAGCGCTTGGAATCTCCCCTGACAACTTGCTTACTCTCCAGTAAACAAACTTCCCCCAGAAGGGAGGGTCTTCCCCTCCTGTGCTAGTCTGCACGGCAGTTTCAAAGAGGCCTAGGGCATTGCTTGCATTTTTGCCTGGGACCTACCGCCCGAGGGGGCACCCAGTTATTGCAGTCTCTTGGCCTTTTAAAGTGTGTTTATGTTGGGAGGATAGAAAATTTCGGCTCCAGGTGCCTCTGTGAGGCAAAACGTCTTTCAAGTGGCAGGGCTGCATGCAGCCTCCTTGGGTGAAATCGATGTAGCCTGATAATGGTTAGGAGGTTTAATCTCTCATTTCATAAATGTAACTTAGCTCTGTGTTCTTAGTGGGTAGAACATAATATTTATATATAACTTGACAGAGCCATGTAAATATTTCTCTTTCCTATGATGGATTCTATCATTTTGGTTGTGTGTATGGGATGGGATGAGATGACTGGCTGAGGGGGCAATTGCACCTGCTCCTTCAGGATCAGAGGACAAATACTTGCAGGAGAAAAATGCATCAGGCAGGGGTTTTCTGGGGCGGAGTGAGGTGTAGGGAGTAAACTGTACAAGTGTCAAGGGGCCCCTCCAGCATGGTGTGTTCTTCTTCACACAAAAATATTGCCTTATTGGTGGGTTTATTCTGCTTTAGTATGTTCTGTGATTTCCCCTCAATGCTACCACATTATTGCTGCCCAGAGCGACTACAGTGCAACAAAAGTGGGACAAAAATAAACCAGAACACTTGTGGTATAAAAAGTTACAGGGTTTCGGCAGGAAATTACAGGATAGCCACTGACCAGGGGCGAACCGGTATCCCCTCTCCAAAACATTCGCAGGTGCAAACAGTATTGAAAGTGGGGCCATGTGTGGCCACCCCAAAAGCATCATGAGCACAAATAATCATGAATGCACAATTAAAAGGATGCCTGGAGGAGCCCCAGGACATTCACGGGGTCACCACTTTCTTTATCAAGCCTTGTTTTGCCACCAGATGAATGTAGACTACACAGCTGCCTCTGAGCATGAAGCTCAACCTCTTGCACAAATGGCATCTTCCTGCTATTCCAGGGAAAATAACAAGCTACGGTAGTTAAAATGTGTTTTGTTATCCTTTCCCACTACCCTGCCTTGCCATATGGCTAAACAGAAGAGCAAAGATAAGAGGTAGATATCTGTGAAATGGCTGCGTTTGTACCTATGCTAAAGGCTTTGGATCAGTTTCTGACAGAAAATCAGCCTTCAGCGTGCAGCTTTTATTTGACTGTTCCAGCCCTATGGCTTGATCACCTTTCAGCAGATGACAGACTGCTTTTCCCACACTCCATTTTCCTTATCATACACCAACAGCAAGAATGATATGGCCATGAAATAGAGTAATTTAGATTCTCATCTTGCTGTGTGGCCTAGTGTAATGTGTTTTGAACCTGCCACAGGCCTAGGAATGATTGTGGGCCATGTGAATTGGCCCTCACTTCTCTCCCAAGTTAGGTGTCCCAGTCCTGGTCCTCTGCCAATTTCTGAAACCTGGCTGTTTGGAGAGTGTCCTATTTGGAATGCAGCAGAGCCAGTTTTGCTTGTGAGTGAGTGTCTGAGAAAGCCATTCTGGGATGAAAACATCACCTCAACTGGGACCTAGCAGAGGCCACTTATATTTATTTTCAGTGCTTATATCCCCCACTTCAAACAAATTTTCAAGTGCACTAGTAACATATTTCAAGTTTATCAAATACTGTAAATTGAGTATGAGACTTGCCGCCACCAATGGCAGAACCATGTGTGCTTACCCTACAGTTGTGGCCAAGGGTGAGGAAGTGCAGGTGGAACAATGAAATATGGAACAATGAAATATGACTCAATGTGGCACCCCAGGGCAGGGAAATTTCCTTCTACTTCAAGGATGTAGAAGCTTTTTCAGCCTGAGGGCCGCATTCCTTTCATAGAGAAACTTCTGGGGGCCACCTGCCCTTGGTGTGTGAGGCAAAGGAGGCATGCAACAGTCAGAGGTTGTGCTAAAATGTACATCCTTTCTGTGGCTGGCTGTGGAAAGATTAGCATTGACCCTGCTTTTGCTTTCCATAGGGGGAGTTGCAATCACTTCCAGAACTATATTAATTGGGACTGCAAGGTTTCATCTGTAGATTAGTTACTGATTAATTGTGAATTAATTGGTGGTGGGGAATCTTGTGCCAGTTTTGGTTAAGTTTTGTTCATTTTTGAGGCTATTTTATTTCTGGTATGTTACCATAATAGGGAATGTACAAGAAAATATTAAAGGTGCCTGTTCTAACAAAGGATGGTAACATTTGCTTTTTATACTATGAGTTATGTCAACATACATCACTGTGTCAGAGAAGCAACAAAGAAGTGACATGCTTATTTATTTAGATTTAATCAATTAATGGATTAGTCAGCAAAAGCATATGAATAAGCAGCTCAAATTTGTTTTGTGGCCCCAGCATTTATCATGCTTGAAGGGACAAATTACTTCTTGGGGCTTAGACTGTGGATATGAAACACTCCCCCAGCACGTGACTCTTGGCCCCATGTGTGCAGACATCCGGCTCTGTGCCTGGATTGGAAGCCTCATGCTGATTTAACTAATCACTTCCTTGAGAAGGGCAAAATGAGCATTTCTCTGCTCGTCTTGAAGGCAAGAGCCTAGGAGACCCTGCAGGGCTGTCGGGGAACCACACAGGGCTTCTGTTGGGGCTGCCCGGAGGAGGAATTTACTGCCAGAAAGGACATGACCTGACTGCAGGCTCATTAATGGCAGCCAGATGTGGTGCTGCTGCTGCTACCATCCCAACATCCTGCAACTAGGAGTGCCTGCTGTGGTGAGTGAAAACACGGCTGACCTGTCAGGCCTCAGGCTGGCCATGTACTCTGCAAAGCCCTTGCCTAACACTAAGCATGGGAGAAGAATTCAGTGTGCATTTAAAGCCAGATTTATCAAAACATAGCTATCCTTGAAAATTTGTGCTTGACTGAATGCTGTGATGCAGTTCTCCAACTAACCAACTAAGTAGTGCTTACAGAAATGCATATATTAGGCAAAAATGTCAATGAAAATGAATATATGTGAAAATAATATACCAAAATGCATTGTTCTGGAAGTTGCTTGCATAAATTAGTCAAAATTGTGTACAAAAATGTGTTTGCTAGGAGAAATTTTGCACAAAAGTGCTGAAGAATTCTCATGTGGATTTTTTAAAAGAAAATTTTAAAATTGCTGCAGAAATGTGGAGAATTGAATTTAAGACTGAAAAAATGAGAAACTGAAGGAACCAACCGAGATCTTTCTATTACTACGTAACACTTGCTGTCACTGCAAATATCTCATAGTCTTACGGCTTTCCCTGTGAGAAAAAGCTTTTATATGGAATTATCCTCCATGCATGCAGTGTGGCCCAGCTCTTAAGTGCTGCTCTTCCATGGTTCATACTGGGAAGAGGATGGATGGGGAGCCAACACAAAGGACGTTATTCCTGTTCTACAGTGGAACCTCAGGTTGCAGACGTAATCCGTGACGGAGGCACGTCTGAAACCCAAAGCGTTCGCATCCTGAAGCGCCGGTGTGATTTGGCGCTTCTGCGCATGTGTGAGCCGCGAAACCTGGAAGTAACCTGTTCCGGTACTTCCGGGTTTCCCACAGTCCGCAACCTGAAAACATGTAACCTGAAGCAGCTGTAACATGAGGTATGACTGTATCTTCATTTACTGCAGCAGACTCTAGTGCCACTGTCTGTAAACATAGTCACGTTGACTAACAGACAAAGAGCTTGCCCCTGTTTATGTAAGTATACTTTGACCAAATGTCTTGCAAACATCATCATAGTTGCACATGCCAACCATGCCTAGCTCTGCTGAAGGGGAAAATAATATTGAAATGTCAAATGGAAATAAATCCAGTTTTGCCAAAGCTTCCATTCACAAGAGACCAGATTTTAATTAGTGCCTTCCAACTTCCTTTAGAAAGTTATTTGACTTCAATTAGCTGAACTGGCACATTGTTAGGGAGCAGGACAGACTGGATAGCTGAGCTTTGTGTCAGGCATAGCAGTGGCCTAAATTTTTCCAGTGTTCAGTAAAGCACTGTGCAATCTCTGTAGAAGCACTTCACTTATTTTAAAAAAGGCACCTTCAGCCATCTAACTTTAAAATGGGCTGAGATGAATAGGAATAATAGCCAGTGAGATATTCACATTCCTAATTTCTTATGTATCAGGGAACATCCCCTGGGTTAGAGGGTATATGGAGATTCTGTCCTGACATCAGCTTGACTTATATGTATACATCTTCTACACCATAAAATATTCTGTCTGCTCCACTTTGAAGAAGCTAATGATTGGCAGCATGTATCTAAAACCTGCCCCAGTATATTTCTTTCTCTAACCAATCTTTGATAGTGATGCATCCACTTAGATGTGACTTACACATGTACGTATATCACTTTATCATTAATGCTCAGTGACGCCGGGGGATGTGTGACCAGTCAACATTGAAAAGTATTGTGTTTGAGTTGACAATCAGGCAATATTATCCTCTTTGCAGTTATTAGTCTGGAATGGCTCAAATCATTAGCTGTATGTGCAAAGTGATAGGAGTGATAGCTTTTGTTTATTACACTGTGCATAGTACTGGACATATCTAAACAATAAATAAATAAATCATTTTCTTCAGTTAAAAATGGCTAAACTCTCCATCTATCAATTTCCCTCTTATATTGGAATGACGCAGAACCAACATGTTCACAGGTCATGATTGTTGTCTTCATCAATTTCATGTGAACAAGTCACAGGTATAGTGCCTCACAGGAACAACATTGAGAAAAGAATGTTCAAGCATATTTTGAAACCTCCACGGGTTCTCCCTCCTTTTCCGCTGACTGGTGTGCGCATGTACTCTCTCCCTTCGTCTCTGGTCCCTTTGCTTCCCATCTCTTTACCTCTCTTACCATTGGCTTATATGTACTGATATCATAGCAGGGCATTTCAGGAACAACTGCCAGAGCCCCTCTATCTGCTATTGGATCCTGCAGAATTCATAGTGGTGTGGGTGAATTGTATTTTGTATTGTCATGATCTGCCTTGAACATTTTTAATGGAAGGTGGTATATAAAATGTTTTTTTTAAAAATGAAGAAGAATTCTATTGCAGGCAACTTTTATTAAACTGTACAGGTAGGGCATCCAGATTCCAATGGCCAAGAATTTTGAGGGAGAAAGATCTCTCTTTTGGCCTCAGATAAAAATTCTGGCCAACTTTACAGGGCCATTAAAAGTGTCATTGAGATTATGCATGGAACTTCTTTAAGCATTACATAGCTGGTACCACTATCACATGTCCTTTTCCTTTGACATTTGTCTTTAAGACATTTGTCATCATTTGTCTGTCTGAATAAAGTATTCCTTTTCAACAGAGCTGCTGGGTCCAGATTCCAAAAGGGCCATGAGATCTTTCAGAGTTGATAAAAGGACTTATCTTGTCTCTGCTGCTGTGTGAGGGAAACACTGTGCCTGCCAGTATAATTTGAGAGGCTTCACTTCAAGCTGCTCTGTGGGCAAAATGTTTGGGTGACAAATACTAGACCCTCGTTTTGAGCTCATGTGCAGCACTTGTGCTTAAATATATGATCCAAAGCTCTGTGCATGCGGGATCATTACTTTTTTACTTGGGAAGGGATACACTTTGCGCTTGGATGCGATGCGCAAGCTCCTTAACTTGGACGGAGCATTTTCTTTTCTTAGATGAAAACAAGTAGCCCAAATGTATAAGAGATTCTGGATTACACTCCAGCTATGATAATTGTGTTGCTATCTCTATTTAAACTGAATCAATTTACTGATATACTTGGAATGTATTTTTCTTGAAGTCCCCCCCCCTTTCATGTAGGCTACTTATATTTGCATTTTAAAGTGTTTATTTTAGGCAGACAATGATTTAACCACCACTACCCTCATGTTCCTTGAGCTGAAAAACAAAGGGTATGATCACATGTTTTAATTATTGCCTGTAAGCAGCCCTGATTGATTCATGTTAGTAAAGTGGGTTGTACTCGTAAATAAACACACAAATAAAACAAAACTCTGCCTTCTATGCTGGACGTGGGAGTCTGGATCTAGGCATATGCCAGCTCTAATTTCTTCATGGCTGAAGGCATCTTTGCATACCCCATCCTGATTCTGCTCAACAACACAACACCCGCATAATAGTGATTATGAAATGGTTTTATTTTGCATTATGAAAACTCTCAAGATTTGCAGAACCTCCAGGAAATACAAGATGTGCCAGAACTGTTGGGCAGGTACTCAGAATACTTCCCTTTTTGCTTAGCCCTAGTAGGAATGCTCACTCAGAATAAATCCCACTGAGATCAGTAGACCATATTTCCTAGACAGCATGTCTGAAAAACCTTGTAGTTAAAACTTTACCCTCAAAGGGCTATCACCCACAGAGCTCTCTTAGCCAATTTTAAGGTAGGCTTTTGTTCAAGGGGTGAGATAGTTAACTGCTATACAACAGCTCTGTGCAACAGTATATGTAAGCTGCTGGAGTTCCTGTGAGGAAGGAGAGTGGGAAGGAATGCTGTGGTCATGGTGCTGATGGGGTCATTGCTCATTCTTTCATCCGGGTCTTGAGGGACATGTTTCTGATGACAGATCAATTCTTCATTGTCGGGATTCCTGCACAGTTTAGAAGGAAAAGCAAAGGAAGAAGGAACAGTGGGTGAGTTTGCATCTGGATTATCATTCAAGTGGCCACAGGGGTTACTATAACTGGTGGGGGCGCTACCTGCTGCTAGGAATACAGTCTGACTCCAGTGCTTTGCTTGACTCCAAACCACTTCCCCATCTGTCTAGCCATTCCTTGTCTACAGCTCCTCTTGCTCTCCTGTTTTGGCCAGTTCCAAATGAGATCCTGACTTAGTGGCTGCTAAGGGCTACAACCCATTTTATTTTATTTATGTTCCCCCACCCCTTTCTTCTCTGATGAACTCAAGATGGCGGGCGGTTGTGATCCAGAAGCCCTGGTTGCACAGTAAATTTCAAAAAAATAGACAACCATATGTAATTATAGCCTTGACATTTTTTAGAAATTCATCTTTTAGCCAGGACAAGACTCATAGTCCTGATGGTCTAACCTCCTATTGCATGTGCACCTATTTGTGTGCATTATTGTTCCAGTAATGTGCTGAGGAGCACAGGGGCTTTGCAATTATGGAAGCTTAAGTAGGTCACACTAATTGGGACAGATCAATACGACTTTTTATAGACTAGAGCTGTGGTTGGTATTTGGCATACTCAACATCTGATTGATCTCTATGGTAGGGACAAATTAATAATAATATATATATGGTTGTGATCTTGTAGGTAACATTTGCATGAATTCTGGATGCTACCACCACTGCTTTCATGCTATTTTAGCGCTGCATGAAATGCTTTTTCCTACCAATGAACTACAGGCTGTGACTGGCAATTCACACTGGACAGAAGAGTAGTTGAGTAACATTTAGGGAGAAATGGGCGTGAGAGGTAGGTCACCTTTGCTCCTTCCAGCGCAGCTGGGTCATCACGCCAGGAACTGCAGCTATTGAATTACCCAGAAGAAATAGAACGGGTGGGGAGGCTCCTTTTCGGAGTGAAATGCAAACTCATTGGCAAGGAAGCAAGAAGAGCAGCTTTGAAGGGAGAAGTTAAAGCAGATTCCAGCAATACTCCATTAAGTAATTAGGGGGCACGGGGGATGGATCCGTCTGAGATGCTCAGTTACCCCTTTTCTTCCTTCTGCTGGGCACTCCCTAAACCGGATCACCTGGGGAAGCTCTTTTAAGGAGCTCCAGATGGGCTGTGTGTGTGTGTAAAACGCTGCCTCCAGCTGTGGCCAATCACTCCTAGCCAGCCAATCTGCCTTTCTGCTGGAGCCCGCGGCAGCCACACTGCCCATTCGTCACGCTTCTCCGATTGCAGCGCTCTGGATAGCTTCTCCGGGCCTTGTCTGGCTCTTCCTCTCTTGTTTTATCATCCACCCCCTCCATGAGCTAATGTAGTAACATCTCTTCATTGGCTATAAATTCAGGGAAGAGCCATAGATAAAATATGGCTCTGCACAGGAAGATGGGGAAACATCTGGTTTTTAGCCCTTAGATTCAGTCTTCACTTGTCTCCTATGACAATGTCACTGTTTGTGCACGTGTGAAAAAGAGAGCTGATACATCTGAGCCAGCCCAACTGGATAATTTGGAAGAAACAAATGGCGGGTGGGGGAGCAGAGTAAAATGTTTTTATTTGGATATGCAAAGAATCATGTTGAGTCCAAAACTTTTCCTAACAAGGGAACTGTACAAGCTGCCTCCATGGCTAGTTTGAGAGGCTGGGTGGTCCAGGCCTCTTCCTTCTCCTTGAAGAGCTGCTGGATCTCTGAACATTCAGTGAGGAAACAGCTGATTAGATGCCTCAAAAGCAGCAATGATGCGAGAGCCCTGGGAGAATTCTAGAAGAACATCAATAGTTTATTTAATGGTAGACTCTTCAGGCAGTGTTCCACTGTGTTTCAGTGTGACAATGAGGCACTGGGTTTAAAAAGAATGAGGGTGCATATGAGAGAGAGTGATTAGCTTAATGAGCAGAGAGTGGCTGAGTAGGTATCTGGAAAACTATTGAGCTTCCACAGTTTTTCTGATCGGAAGGAGGAGAATCCTTGTGGAAATTCTATGCTTTTTCAGATTCACCTCTTTCTGATTTGAGCCCTAATACCCTGAATCCAAATTTGGCTGCATTTTGTGCTATATCTACTTGCCCGATAATTTGGGGAGTGGAAGGAGGAAAAGAGTTTTTCCGCTGGGTGAACTGTTCTTATTGTGTCTAAAGGGCTAAGTAGTACAGATGCTCAGTCTGCATATTCTTTGTTATTCAAAACAAGTGTCAAAGTTCTTTGGCCTTAAATAGCAAAGGCAGAAGCAAGAGACCTTTCTAAGTCTGTTTTAAAACAAAATTCACATGTGGGTTGGAACAAGAGCTCACCCTTTCCAGATGGGTGACAAGGAAATCATCCTCCCTCTATAAGCTATAGGTAATGAAAGAACCCTATCAGCGCTTTCCTGCAGGATCATAACCAGTTGCCAAGGGAAGGCAGCTTCCAATACCAGGCCTTACTCTGTTTTATGTATATGGAGATAAGTGGAAAATGAAAAGTTGGAGAGAAGCAAAAGCAATTGGGGTGATCAATGAAGCACAAAAGACCCATATCTGATCCACCTTTTATGGCAGTAACATGCCAGATCAGACTGGGTTTCTGCAACTCGCCTTGGAATGTATTGTTGGAATATACTACAAGGAAGTGTCTTCCCAAAAAAGGCAGCAAGTTGAAGTTCACCAACCTATCACCCTTGATTTGGCACCCCTGCAGCCTTGTGTTGCCTTCCCAAAGGCAGGTAGGGAGGCGGACAGCTTTGGGAAGGAGGCATGAAGGCTCTGGCAGAGTTCTGGAGCCCTCCCACTTCCTTCTCAGATCTGGGAAAGCGCTAACTAGGTTTTGGAGAAGATGAAGGAGCACTCCAGGACCCTTGCTTATCGGGCTTGGAGATAGTACCCCTTTGGCTAAGGGCCCAGTGCATGTGCACTGCTCGCACAGCCCTAAATCCACCCTTGCAGATTCATGCTGCCCAGGACTTAACAAATCTATCTGCTTTCCTCTTGACAGTCATAGAAACTGTAGAGACTTGAGTACACTTGCTCTTGAATCCTAGTAAACAGAATATCAATGTATATTCGGTGGCTTCTATTGTTATAGCTGTCTACCTGTTCCTATCAGAAATTATCAGTTGATGAGAGTTATCTGAATTATCCAAGGAGGCTCAAGTCTTCATAGCAAAGCTCTTCTGGATTAAGAAATCTCTTCCTTTGCCAACTGAAGCACGATCTGCCTTTATCTGTTGTCTCCAGATACTCTGAGATATTCCAAATATTTAAATAGCCCAAGACCATCTGCTGAGTACAGCGGCCCATAAGGTTGTAGCACACGTCAAAATGCTCTTAAGAGCCACTGTGCTAATAAAAGGCTGGATAATCTTGATCCCTAAGTATACATGCATGGCCGCTTGCCTCACTTTTTACCTCTGTTGGTGAACTTGCTTGCTCTGCTGGGGGGCAGGGTGGGAGAAAGAAAGGAAAGATTTGGCTGTGTAAGGGTTAGATTAAATATTGTGGCCTTCAGTGTTCTGACACCTTACCTAACAAAGATCGAGTTGTGGGATGAACCCCCCCCCCCACCTAACTGCAACCTGGCTTGCATTCAAGGATTGCTGAGGAAAGGCTGCAGCTGACATCATGAGCACATTTTACTTCCTTTTAAGAGCTTCTTTCTCCAATTGTCAGCCATTGTAGATGGAATTGCTCGATGATTTAATTGCATGATCACATCTAGGAGTGTTTGGTCTTGGTGTCCAACAGTTCATTTATGTTTGTCCCAACTCTGAATTCCCAGCCCTAGAAGTATTGCAGAGAAAAGAGTCTCCATTTGATGGAATGCCATGGACACAAACTTTAGAAAACGAGCCTCCTGAGCCATCTTGAAGGTGTCTGGCACCAGGACAAGTCATTAGTCAATCCTGAAATAATCATCAAGCAGAGGAACAGCTTATTTTATATACTGTTTCTTAGAGTTAAACACTTCCCCATATTCCAGCACTGATTGGAGCCTTGAATTCTTTCCAAGTGTTCAACCTGTAAAGATATTTGAGAACCCCGGGACCTAGTAGTAGCTTTCCAAAAAATGATAGATTTCACTTGAATTTTCACAAATGGAAAACCACAACTCCCCCATAGCTGCAAAGAAGCAGCTGTCACACCAGGTACACTGTATGAGAAAACACTTTTTGAAAGCTTCAGGGATTTCCTATTATCTGGAAGTCTGTAGTGCTCTTAAAATTTGTGAAGAAAATGTTCTCCCCCCTCCTTTTACAGGCACATTTGCCTGGGATAATCAGCTGCACCTGTTTGGAAGCTGCTCTTCATGTTTTCCCCCTCATTTACAAGTTGCACGTGTTTTTGTTAATTTTTCCCAGTAACTCGTAAGTGTCAACAAGCTTACGTTGCAATTCTGGAGCAAGCTGGACATTGTTTTGCTCATGCCATCGTGTTGTGAAACATTGTGAAAGTGTTGGATAAGGCTGAAGTCGTCTGCAGAGACTACAGATTTCTGGGAGGTTTTCTCCCAGCTCTACCCGAGTCCAGGGTCCAGGAGGCAATGGGGTTAAATTCTATTGCAGTGGAGTTAACTGCTCTGTATTTAAAATGATGGTAATAGGATAATCTTCATCTGCTTTTATTGGCCAATTCACTGCCAAAAAAAATGTGAGAGTTGCTCTCTACTGGAAAATGGTTCCTATTTATAGGAGAAGAAGCTTGTGATGTCCTAGGCTCAGTATGTTCCATTCTCCCAGATCCTGTTTCTGATCTGGGTTTAATAGTGTGTGACATGGCCAGATAGGAACCGTATGGTGCAAGGCCCTGGCTTGGCCTGGGGCCTGTGTGTTTAATTCACCCCTACTGCCTAGTGTGGGAGCAAGGGGAGTTTGGCTGTGCATCTTCTCAAATGTTTCTGTCATATCACCTCTCCTTTTCCAAGGCAGGCTTGACAGTGGGCCTTTTGCACATGTTGGGAGGTTTCTACCCCCTTCCTGTTGGTATAGGCCCCCACAGTCCTGGAAACACAGCTTCTATGGAGTTTCTCTGATCCCATCTGTGGTTGGACTAAAAGATAATCTGTAAACTCAAACCTGTACCAAAGGTTCTCCAAGTTGACCTTGTATCCGGAACTGTTGCCATCCATGTAAGGAGTTTGCCTATTCTGCTGTGTCTTTGGCCTCAGGCAGTTCCCCAGCCTACATTCTTTTCCCTTCTCCTTGGCCTCTCAGATTTTTTTTCTTTTAATTTTATGGCTGTTGCCTATCTGGGGACCACACAGCCCGCATTGTCCAGCTTTGGTACACAGCCAAATAGTTGACTGGCAGCAAGTTCGCTACACTACATCTGGTGGTTTCCCAGCAATGGAATCTTCTCCCAGGGCTGCTTCATATATTACTTTTATCAACACAGATGCTAATCCCAGTCGAGGGCAGGTTTCAGGCAGCATGAATGCTTTGCCCACTAGCTGGCCCTTCCTAGTCTCAGAAAGGAAATCTACATTTCATTTCCCTTCTCAGTTTGCCCAAGCACACACTGTTCTTAGAAAAGGAGCAGGGCCTCTTACAGGCCCCTGGATGCAAGGCTGCAGAAAAGACAGTCCTTTGGGTGAACAGGGCCAGCCCTACCTTTAAGCAGAGTGAGGCAACTGCCTTGGGTGGCAGATGCTCAGGGGCAGCAGTAGCAGCTCCTGGTTGTTCCAAGCCCCAGCCATTCCCCTCTGTGGTTACATGGCCTCTCCTGCCTCCCCAAATCTGTTCTAGTACCTCAGGTGTGGTGGAGCATACTATCCCATCACCAGGGTTGAAGTAAGATCCAACTGCCAGTCTAGTCATACTCTGTACATGAAATTGGGAGGGGGTCCAATCTTGTAATTTACCTCAGGCCACATAATATCTTGGGCCAGTCCTGACTGTGGGCTCACTATGGCTCTAAAAGCCTCAGCACAGTTTCACCATTTTTTTGAGGGGAGGCACTTACAAGAAAGCTAGCGATGATAACCACACAGTGGCTTTGTCCAGAAATGTGAGATCCATTAGTAGTGAGGGCTGTGGGGTTCGTAATTTCTCTATCTGTTAGGACTCTTCTCCACCCCTGCTTCATTTCCAAAGCCTAGCGGTTGGAGTTGTAGTCAAATGCACAAGAGAACTGGGAAGGTGTATGTTGTGCCACTAAGTCCAAGTCCTGACCTAAGGCAAGGGGCCCTCAAACCAAAGCACCCCAAATACAGCCTGTGCTTTCCCCAAAAACATATATGCAGGGCCAGCAATTCTACAACTTGTTCATCTGACAAATTGTTCTCATGAATTATAAGTTTTCCGGAGGCTTATTCTCTATCTTTTATTGTTCAAACCTACAAAGCTCAGTCATCTTTTATGAGGACACAGAAAAGTTTGGAGTAAATGGAGAGATTCTGAGTTGCCCCTAGTCTCCCTTTGATGAAATCCCAGTGTAGGAAACGCCCCCCCCCCACTTAAGTATGGAGAGCAGTATATTTCCCTATACTATGAATACATGAATTGAACTGCCTCTATAAACATAAGCATCAATGTACTCTCAGCACGAAAACCCCAGCACTTCATACATTACAACATATATACATGGTTTGCTACATAGAGATGAATCTCTGTGTAGGAAATTGTAACATATGAAGCAGCCTTCAGCATATGGCAAAAATGGCACAACTCCAAAGATATCCATTTCTGCTTCCATATTCCTTCCTCCAGAATAACCCTCTCCCCTTGTAGACTTAACCATTTACTTTCCATGTAAATTATGGAAACAGTTTGAGGAGATTGGTGTTGATGCAAGGATGTTGAGCAGGAGAAATTTTGCCTGTTCAAGTGTTTCTTTCTTTTCCCCACATCTTTCCTGCTAAGGCAAAGCTTGCTTTCCCTGCTTAGCTGAACTCTGTCCCACTGAAGAGTATTGCCCCATTGCTAGAGTCAGCTCTACTCTGCAGGAAGTCCAGGGCACTCTTCTTGCCCCTGCTATTTGCTCAGATATGCAACTCTAATGCCCTTATCACCTATCTGAAAAGGATTAACTTCTTTCTTTGCACATTGAAAGCACATTTATGTCTGTTCTTAGTGCAGGTCTCTATGAAACTCTCATGAAATTCAAGGTCAAAGAAAAGCACCTGCACTTTGCACTGCAACCTCTGCTCTCTTTGCTTACGGTAATTATTCTATGTCTGTCCCAGGATTGATGCCACTGCCCTGGGCAGATCATGAATGCCTTTATCTTTCCATGTTTTTCATCTAGCTCTCCTTACTGCATTAATGTTTTATAAATTCTTCTGCATTCCAAATGTCTCACATGCTCATGCGTCCCTATTCTGATCTCTCTCTCTCTCTCTCTCTCTCTCTCTCTCAATATAGACAGCAGCAGCACTAAGACCGTAGAATTTGAAGAAAGCATGATCTAGGATCTTAGACATTTTCCAAACATTACACTTCATGGAAATATTTTTTTCTGTGAGAAGCAGAAATGAAACAGCTGTCTCCTGCTCCTGCTGGGCTTGTTCCTGTGCAGGCTCCCTCTGAATTTATGCTGCAATCCTGTTGGGCAAGGGACCAGTGGCCACCTTCATGGTTGTAAGACTATGTGCCAAGCCCTGGTGTTTACATGCTTAAGTGAGATCTGGGTGGGCTTGATCAATACAGCCATTGAGCTAAAGAGGCAGCCACCACATTCAGACCCTTCATTCCAAAGCTCACAACTGACAGCTCTCAGACTAAAATGCATTCTCAGTGTCATTTGTAAAACCAACAAATCTCAAACCCAGAAGCCTTAAGTCTGATTGTGGGGAGAAGTCTCTTCTTTTGACTTGGAAAATGCCTCCATGTTAACACCAGCTCTAACTTTGAAGCATTCTTGCTTCTGCTTTATTGAACGCCAAAGGCCTTGACCCTTTCTGTATTGCTTCTCTGTAAGCCTTATAGGCTAGTGAGTACAAGATGAGATACGTACTTAGGCAACAGCTAAAATTAATGAACAGGTCTATTTATATGAGTGTCCATCAGAACCCTCTGTTTCCATTCTCTTACAAGTTCATTTCTAAACTTGCCCAGTAAATGTCATCCTGTAACTGTCCTCCTGCAACTGCTAACCTTTCATGAGTATTTTGTTTCACATAGGTGTGATATTTTATCACCCCAGTTATGGAAAATTGTGATTCCTTTTTTCTCCAGTGCAGTGTCTCGGGGCCCCTAGCAGGTACTCCTGCTTCTATGATATTTTTTTTCATGGTTTGGCCATTATTCTCAATGCCATAGTTCTTCATTAACCACCCAACATAAAGCTGGGACCAAATTAATCTGTAACTTTTTAATGAGGCATCCAAAAACTATCTTTCTGAAGAAAGAAGACTGAACGCAATCTTACCAGCACATCTGGAAGCTTTGATCCTAGCTACTGCGTAAAGCTGGTTGCATCATAGATCTGAAAGCTTTGCTGCCCGTGCAGATACTTTCTGTAGTGACACAGTGTGATGATAACCGACATGACATACTATGTCATCAGAAACTGAGGAGCCAAACAAACCCACCAGATTCTAATAAGTTTCTTTCTGGAACTGTGGCATTTGGAATTTCAAATGGATTCAGGAAGGATGGGTGAGAGAGCATGGAGGGCAAAATTTCAGAAGATACCTGGATAAAAAACCAGTGACTCCCATAATGTTTCCAGAGAAAACTGGGGGGATTCTATCGACTTCAAGACTGTCTCTTTTGGCATTGCCCCCAAATATACAAACTTATCTTTACATCAATAGGGACTAGAAAATTTCATTTAAAAAGCAATCAAAAGAAAGTGATTTCCAACACCAGATTCTGCATTCCTGTGGCACTGTAATTTGTTAATGAGTTCATGCTGAGCTAGTTGTGTGACCGCCAACTGCTGTTTCCTGTTCACATTTTGACCTGAGCAAACATGCCTACATGCTAAATTGAGCCAAATGGAATTTTGGTGCTTTGTCACAACCATAATTTTGCAGGTGGGTTTCACTGCAAAAAAAGAGGGGGGGGGCAATCTGACTTGAAGTCAGCTTAGCACATGTTGGGTAGCCACATTCATCTGGCAGATATGTGCACCTATAGCATTCCCACTTCATTTCCCCAAATCTTATGGAAAATAGGTTTATCTGTATACACGTATTAGAACTTGTACCATGGGGAATAGCAAAGTAGGATGTAAGACTAGATTATGTCCAGGGTCAAATGAAATCTACAACTATGCTAACTTTAGCTCCCATAGTTAGTAACTACAGCCCACTTTAAAGAGGTGCCTTGTGAATCATTTGCATTCTTAGGGCAGATGTGGCTGGTAAGTTGCATGTTAAATTTAACACCAGCTTAGCAGTAATCAACTGGGCAGTTCACAATTAATGTAGCACCCTTGCAGTTCCCAGCAGGGCTTTTTTTCAGGTAGACGCCTTTGCCATTCTAAGAGAACAAGGGAGAAGTTCATGGTGAGCTCCAGCACCACTTTTTCTAGAAAAATAGCACTAGTTCCCAGTATCTTCCTTCTCAACAGACGGTTGTATAATGTTGTGCAGAAAACATTAGGCTACCATAATAGCAAAAAAATGTTATGCATAAATATCTGTCTGTTTGAAATCTTACTCTTGGTTAAAAAAACTATTTCAGACATCTAATTAATATCAAGAGCATGAATTTTGTTTTGGCTGTTTTTGCATAAAGAAAGAGGCATGTGCAAAATTGGACTGGGAGCAAAATTGCAGTATCTGTCTTTCCTGAAGGGTCTTGTTTGTCTTGGAGTCTACACAAAGTTGGAGTATGCTCTGTCATGGTGCCAAACAATTTGGCAAAGACTATGAACAGAGTTTCATTCAGTATGGATTCTTCCAATGTCCGGTGTTGTATGTCCTATCCCTGCATGCTCTCACAGACACGCACACACACATGTTGCATTCCTGATATATGCACCACTTATCTCTTGGACTTATGATAGTTTTGTGGCTTGTATAATTATATAGGGCCATGTGTATGTGGTTGGCTCACCTACTCCAAAGGCCCCGTGGTAACAATTAATAACGGAAGGGCGAACACGGTAAAACATAAATCTTCTCTTAACTACTAAGAACATTTAACCTTTTATTGAAAAAGAAGAAAAAAACCCAGAAAGCCAAACCTTGGCCTGTCATTTCCATAAGTGTGTGGCTAGGGAAGGATAATAATTCCCAATTCAATAGTTAGCAGTGATTTATTTAGGCCTAAAAAGAATACAAGAGCTGCTACACTGTGTTTAGACTATATTTCCACACATCTCAATGGAGGGGGGGGTAGAGAAAGAAAAGAAAAGAAGAGGAGAGGAGAGGAGCTTGTACGTTAAAAGCCAGAACTAGCTGGGACTCCATATATTTACAGATCTTGTATCTCTGTGCAGACCAGCTTACTGAATTTCATTTTCCTCCTTTCCTTCCTCCTTGTCTTTCTGGAAAAAAGATTGTGGCTCTGAGCACTGTAGTGTGGAGTGTTTCTTCTTCCTGTAAGGAAATTCTGCAGGCTGTACCACACATTGTCAGCAATGGAAGAAGGGGAAGCCATTGCCAAACAGTGCAGGAGATCCATGGTCAAATGTCTGATCTTCTTTTCCCCTTAAAAGCAACATCATAGATCTGAATCTGACTACTACCCCACTCCAGTGTAATAAGAAGCACTGGAGAAAAATGCAGCAATTAGCAGATGTGTGTATATGATGTGAGGTTTATGTCAGATCAAGAAATAGCATAGGTACTGGGACTCCAAATTTGGCAGCCTGGAATCTTACTCTTTTTTTGGATAAAGAGGGGCAGCTAGATCATCAGATCAATGGCACCAGATGCAGAGGTGCTGGAACTGATATAGACCAGGCCCAAGACAGAGCCGAAGTCTGTTGGATTGGGGCATTTGAGCCAGGAAATCCCTGACTTGGGCTCTTTGGATTCTATCCTCTTAAAGCTTGTACCCTCTGACAAATTAACACATACACCAAGGACTCACAATGCCGGGTTATCCCCTCAGCAGAGACTACAAGCCTGGAAGGAATTGTCAGAGAGAAGGAGGAGGGCTAGGCTCCAAGCCAGATGTTTTAAAACATTCCAATCCTCAAGCAAGGCGCTGAGCCTGGGAAGGGTGATCTGGCTGTGGATTCCCAAAAAGCTTCAGTACAGTCCTTCCCCCAAAGAATCCTGGGAACTGTAGCTTTCCTCTCACAGAGCTACCATTTTCAGCATCCTTAACAAATGACAGTCCCCAGGATTCTTTGCTTTAAAGTTTTTGCTTTAGAGTCATGTGCTTTAAATTTGTGCCGAATATGCTTTAAATGTAGAGTGTAGATCTTGGTCACTTGGAGCTTTCCATGGTGCTGCAGCCACTGACCCACCTTGCTGCCTTGCCCCATTGTGTCCTGTAGGCCTCTTGTCCAGCTCTGGACAGCACAGTAGGGGGTTAGGGCTGAATGTGTTATCTGCCACAATCACTGCTCTGATCTAATTTGGACCCTTTGCCAGAGCCAGCTTTCAAGTCGAAACCAGTATGTCATGAGATCCAGTTATGGATCTTCAATATAACATACAGATTGGCTTTTCTTGAGGAGGAAACTCTTTCTTTCTCTAGTTTTCTCCATCTCTACCCCTATAACTGGTCAGCCTCCTGTCCGTCCTCCAGCAGCAGGAAAAAGCTTTCATGCCAATGGCCATAGGTATATACACCACACCTTGTTTTCCTCCAACAGTTGCTGTAAGTTGTCAGTCTTGTCTAGACTGCCACTGCCTTTGTCAGGATATTCTCACTTGTGGTGTATGTATGCATATATGAATAAGGAGGGGTAAGGCATTCAGTGCATAGGGCCACCACAGAGGCCAGACTTCTGATGGTCACATAAGTAAGGTTCGTTGCAGGACATGGGAATTCTGTACCAGGGATGAGGAACCTGTGGTCTTCCAGATGTTGCTAGACTGCAACTCCCATCATCCCACACCACTGATTGAGCTGGCTGGGGCCGATGGGAATTGAATTACAACAACATCTCAGAGGGCTACAGGTTCCCTACCACTTTTTCTACATGTGTGATGTGGAGCAATGTATTAATTTTCCTTTCCAGCTTCCTTAAGAAAAGACAAAGTAGGAAAGGGAGAGCTGGCTCTGCATTATGCTCACAATGTGAAAAGTTACATTGGATACATAGGAGCAAGCATCTTCACCACACTGCCTGACAACAGCTCTCCAGGGTTTCAGGCAGGGGTCTCTCCCAGCTGTACTTGGAGATGGCAGGGATTGAACCTGGGACCTTCTGAATGGAAGGCAGATGCTCTAACACAAAGCCTTCCCTCACATTGCCACATCAAGTATGTTGGCTGTTGACAATTCTGCAGGTGGAGATAGGCAGAGAAAGCAAGATGTAATCATGCACAAACACACAAGGAACAAAGGATGGCTCTTCTTCCATTGTTCCTCTCGTAGCATCTAAATTTCTCTAGGAGTTGGGGGTAGGGAAATTAACAGCTGTGCGAAGATATAAAAGGGGAGAAAAAGGGCGGGAGGGAGAATAGCTGCCAGTGGCTCTTGTGTTAATCTACAATCTGCTCCCCACTCCCTCTTGGGAGCTTTCAGAACTCTCAACATACTCTTTGTGGTGAGTGTAATGTGTAGCCAGTCTCTGAGCTCAGTTCTGTGTATTGGACTGAAGGCTTTTCTTCCAGCCGTTCTAGAATTCTAAAACTCCCAATAGGTGAAACAGTCTCCTTTCTATGAATTACTTGAATGGCCCCCACTGCTGGTGGAGACACATCTTGAAGTAATATGCATCTCTTGATGACACCTCCTCAGCACTTAGTAAATCTGACCTCCCCTTTCATCTGTCATTACACCGGAGCACATGGCTCAGCAAGCGGTTAACACATTGCCTCCAAACTTTACATTTCTGAGAGAGGAACATGTGCTCCTTGAAAGTGACTGGTGGTATTAAGTGTTTAAACCCATTTCCTGTTACCTTAAGGTCAGGAGGTCAGACAACAGGAAGTCTTCTTCTACTTCCATCCTGCCAGGCTGCCATTCCACTGCCTTGCAGAAGTCTCTGTGCTACTGGCACTATCTTGTTTGGAAGTAAGCCTTCATTCATCTTTGCATATTACAATCACTGCATTAGAATGTGTTTTGGAAAGAAGTTCTCAGATTTCCTTCTACTTAATAGAACAGACATTTCCATTATGCATTTAAGTATCCAAATGTTTTAATACATATTAGCCAAAAGAATAGATTTTCTGCATGTTTAGAGAAACAGTTTTATTAATTTCTGGATTCAGAGAACAGCTTTCAGAGGACATGCTGAAGCTGGAAATTTAACAATGAAATGAATTTCCTACTATAGATTTTACTTAGAATCCTAGAGGAATTATTTGTCGACCATTTTCCCTGACCATTTTTAGCTTCTCCGGGTCCTCATTTAAACCAGACTAGTAATTTGGTCCTTAATTTGGCACCTGTAGCTCATTGAAAGTTGTGGGCTGCATTTGGAAGCTTTATTGCTGGGTAACACAATATGCTTTTAGGATCTAAATAGCACCATTAACAGAAAATTGGCTTCTGCTCAGAGTAAAAGTATTTATTAGATTTATTTGCTTAATGTTTATTGGAAAAACGGTTGCCCAACAGCCACAGGGAATGCATTTCCTCTGAGGTCCCAAGACAGGGTTTGGAAATTCTTCCTTACTATTTCCAGGAAGAGTTGAAGGGGTTGGTTAAGAGTAGTTCTCTTCAGGTTATGAGTGGACATAGCCCAAGGAGATAGCTGTGGGGAGTATGAGTATATTTTGTGGAGGATTCTGCCTCTCTGGACCTCATGAGACATTTGTGGTGTATATGTGTACCTGCTGCTGACCCAGATCATCCCATTCTTATGCCTCCTCAGTAATGCTTGGTAAAAGAGAGCTGACAACCAGTGTTCCAGCGGAGATGGTTTCTTCTTCCCCTAAGTGCCACCACAAAGCTACTCAGGAACTGCCTTGCTCTGTAGTTTTCAAAAAGATTCCCCCGCCCCTCATAGCTTGTCTTGACTGTTTTCTTATATTGCTTTCATGCTTATTGTTTTAATATTTTCATGTAATCTTTTTAAATATTTGTCTAGCAAGTGGTATGTAATTAACATGCGTACATTAAAAAATAAATAAAAATTGTACCAGTCCTTGCTACAATTTATTGGCTAGGCTCTAGCTTGCAGGAGTTAGGAAGGCACTGAATGGGATGACATTCCAGCAACCCAGTTTATTGGGTTATGGTCTGAGCAATCCCAGTTTTACTCTGAGTAGTAGCCAATTTGCTGCTAATGGTGGTATTCAGATCCTAAAAGCATATTGTGTTACAGAGCAATAAAGGCAACCTACTACTGTCAGAGAGCCAGAGGTGCCAGAACTGATGCAGCCACACCTTCACATTTATGAAGACTATAGCACTGGTCTTCACCCCTACATATGTCCATTGTCCCCTGTCATATTGTGCAATCACCTTATGTAGCCAAAATAGCACCATCAGTGCAGAAGAGGCAGGCATCAGCAGGTTTGCGGAACTCTAAGGTTTGCAGAAAAATGTGTGTGTGTGTGCATGCACGCACACCCACCCACCCACACCCTTCTGAAAGTACTCTTAAGGGGAAGGACCCCAAAACAGTCCAATGAGAACTGAGCATACTAAGTAGGTACAGAATATTGTTGTTCAGGGGAGGAATGGAATCAAATGGAGTCGCTGGAACTTTGAGCAGTCCACACTTCAAGAGCTTCTTGCAAGTTCCATTATTTTGTCTTGGCAAAGTGAGAGTGCTTTCCAGTTAATTATTTTAGTGATTTTTTGTGATAAGCAGTTGCATAAGAGTGTCACAGGCCTCTACAGGATTTTGTTTCTACTGTGATTATGTGAAGCAACACAAAGCTCCCAGCCTCCATGCCTATACTCTTTTTGCAAATCTTGGATATTAAAAGAAATATTTGGAGTGAATACACATGAGAGTGTAGAGCAGCTGCAAAGCTGTTCCTTTGTTCTTCCCTAATATTTGCTTATCACTTTATGAACCTTCCTTCCTAATTTCATTTAATTTCTTCTTAAAAAATATATTTAGGGGCTGTGATCTGAATCTTTCCTGCACTGAATGGAGGCAGGTTTATTTTTTTAAAAGGAGATAAAATGCAGGATGTCTATTTGTTACATTTGGGTGTCTGCCAAGACACCCAAAGTGGTTTACAATTTAAAATGTATTTAGATCCAAGAAGATCAATACATAGTGGAAAATGAAGGGGACCTCAGCTCCAGATATATATCTTCCACTGCACACTTAGGACTGGTCTAATACTTAATAAGCATTGAATTCAGGAGGACCACCCTTGATTTGACCAAAACCTTTTAGCAAATTTCTCGAGTCCAAAATACAGCAAAAGTTGCCTTTGTCACCAGTATGATTCTGCATGACTTTACTGCAATTCCTTTTATACTAGATGACTGTACATTCATAGAATTGTGCATGGAACCTCAAGAGAGATTGCTATATTTAGCCATTTATGGGAGTACAGTATACATGACACACACACAATTCTGGGGAAGATGGGCTTTCTGCCCAAGTGGCCAAATGTGATTGGGAAAGGCTCAAGTTCCCTACAAATGACAGTGGGTTGGAAAGAAGACAAAGAAAGACGCTCTATCTTTTATTGAGCTGGCAAAGTACTAGGGATGCTTTATCAAAGACTTAAGTGCTGCGATATCCCCTATCACTAATGCATGAAAAAAGGATTCGCATGACAGGTTCTTTGGGGCTGAAAAGTGCCAGATGGGATTTGGAGCCATTAAGCAAATACTGTCCCAAGTTCAAGTGCTTGCAAACTCTGATTTTGATAAACCTCTTGTGGCGAGGACATATAATTCAGATGCAAGCTTCGAACCTATTCTTCTGCCTCAAGTGGTAGTTGGCTACAGACATCCTTATCTAAGCAATAACCAGCTGTCTTGAGAGTGTAGCCTTGCCTTGCAATTATACAAGAATGTACGTTTGGGCTGTTAAAGACCATGGAACTTTACTTGCCCAGTAAGAATCTGAGAGTTTGTTTGGACTGTTTCTCTGTTTGTTGTGACTAATCTTTCTGGAAAATGTGTGAATTTGCCCACCAGTAGAGATGGGATAAAAATTCGCTTTTAAAGGTGAACCTACCTAGCAGATTTGCACTTTCTGAAAAAAATACATGAACCAAAACAGCCATCCTTTGACAGGTGCACTTCTCCAAATTTTGCAATGCAGTCAAATAATGTCTACAGAAATGCGTAAACTGGAGGGAAAGTGTGCATAAAGATAGATATATTTGTGAAAATAACATACAGCAGTGTATTGCATGGGAGTAGGCAGGATTTTTGTTGGGGGTTAGGCCTTTTGTTGGTGGGGCAGAACCTCAGTTAGCTATGTATTTATATTGATTTTTGTTAATTTAGGAGAACAGCTGCCCCTCCCTGCCCCCCCATGGCTATGCCCATGGTGTATTATATTAGGGAAACTGCTCTGCAAAAATGTGTATATTAGGGAAAACTGCATGCAAATACGTGTATATTAGGAGAAAACCATACTGAAATGCTGATGAATTTTCATGAGAACTTTAAATAAACACAAAAAACCCAAGCAAAGTGATGTGGAACTGTGCAGGCCTAAATTTAAGATTGGAAAAATGAGAAAATTAAGAGAAAATCCTGCAGTGAAGGAGTGTGGTGCCGTAAGGGAGGATTCAATTCCCCTCACTTGAAATACTTTTTCTTTTTATATATATAAAAACAGAATCTCTCATCCACATCCCCTGGTTTATAACTGAACAGGTGTCCTGGCCCTCCACAGCCAAGGAAGGCACACTTCTGATAGCTAACTCCTTATTGACAGGAGGAACACTTGCAGCAGCTTCCAGAGTGCTCCAGATACACATGCACACATTCTTCTGAGCCTCTAGGCAGCTGTACATAGGTCTAGGCTGTGTGGAGCAGTTGCAGCAACAGGGAGACCCTGAACCTCTGCCAGCTTATATCCCCTCCCATGACGGGGTGTGCACCTATAATCTGAGACTTCTCCTGCATGTTGTTTAATTATCATTTGGAAATTTTATGGTAGTCAACACCATACATGATTGGGGATGTGTTTAATAATGTTATTACTCATTTTTATTTGCTGCCCTTTATATCCCTGCAGCTCAGGTCTGGTAGCAGTTTTCTAGCAAGGTATAAGATAGTTGCATAGATATAGCAACACTTTCAGTTGTACAGTGGTACCTCGGGTTAAGTACTTAATTCGTTCCAGAGGTCCGTTCTGAACCTGAAACTGTTCTTAACCTGAAGCACCACTTTAGCTAATGGGGCCTCCTGCTGCTGCCGCACCTCCAGAGCCCAATTTCTGTTCTTATCCTGAAGCAAAGTTATTAACCTGAAGCACTATTTCTGGCTTAGTGGAGTGTGTAACCTGAAGCATATGTAACCTGAAGCATATGTAACCTGAGGTACCACTGTAATGATTTGAAGACACCAGGATGGTGCAGGTGGTCACTAATAGGCCTCTACTGCGCTTATAAATAATTATCATCTTTCCCTCGTGTATAGAAGTGGAAGATTCAAGTATTAGAACAAGAATCACATGTCTTGTTTTGACACTTTTTCAGATATGCACACTATGACTTTAAAAAGTCATTGAAAAGAGCCAAGAAATATAGGACAGCAATCTGATAATGGAATAGTGAGCAGGATCTACCTTCTTTTAGAGAGGATGGTGGTAGCTCTGGCCTATAAATAAGCTTGTCCTCTGTTTTGCACCAGATTGTTTAGGTGAAATGGAAGCAGATTTTAATGCATTTTTTGTCACCATACATATGTGGGTCACAGATTTGACAGGCTTCTCTAGAACTGAGTGTATACAAGAGAGAAGGCATGCCCATGTTTCCTGAGATGAGAAAGAAGCTCAGGAATCTCTGTTAAAATATATTTAGCCATGTTAAGTCTTGTAAGAGACACCCCTTTCACCCATCACATCTTCTTGCTACTAGTATGCAGTCCATCTGCCCTGAACATGCTGCATGCTTGTTTAGCTCATTGACCTGTTGGTAAGCTTTCTGGCTCTGGTGACTGCATGCTGGGCACTGTGCCAAGAGGTAGGCAACTTCATTTTGCAAGTGAAGTTACCTGCCTTACATAAGGTCATTTGTGCTAGAGCAATTGTGACTAACCAGTCCGTTTGGCCATGCGGCACCTGAAAACAAAGGGACCAAAACAATGTGCCTGTCTGTGCTGCCTGCAACCATTAGATTTTTTTTCTGCAGACCCTTTAATTCCTGACCCTAAGCTGTCTGCACTTAATACGATTTCTAACTATTAGTTCTCAAAAATGCAGCATTCCCACACTGTTCCTTATAGCAGAAAGGAAGAAATTGCATTACCAGAAGGAGGAATGTAACTGATAGACCTTTGCAAGAGAGCTATCCATTTACCATCTGAGCGGATTCAACAAGGCAACTCTCAAATCCAAATATGATGCCAAGGCCTAGGAGAAGAATCTCATGTTCCTCACACTCACAGACTGTTCTGGCACTTCTAGTCTGTTCAGTATTACTTCTCTTGCTGTGTTCTTTTAAGTGCAGCATAAAAACACACCAATTTTTCTCATATGCACATGGGATGGAGGAGAGAAGAGGGTCTCCTCTTGGGCTTTTCTCAGATCTTTCCCCTCTGTAACTGTTTACAGGTCCATGCACAAGACTGTCTGTTTTAATGTTTTAACATTCTAGTTTTAAGGGCTCTCTGTGTCCAATTATACAGTAGCATATCTCTGGAATATTAACACATTAAAAGCAATATACTTCCAGCAAGGAAATCTGATCTTAATTGGCCCCGGAATATTGTATTTTCCAAACTGAACTGTGAACCGTTCAGTGTGGAGTTTCCCCCCCTCAAGACTAAGGAAAACATTAGATTCTCTGTGAATAAACTGCTCAGAGGAACAAGGATTTGACTCTTGGCATTTACCTGTCAATCTTCCATTTTCCAGCCTTTTACCCAGAAATGAGCACAGGAACTAATTGACTCCTGTCCCTTTCTGTCTCCTTTTCCCCTCCTATTTAACATGGTGACTCAAGTTAAAGCAAAGATAAAATTCCTGGGGAAGCTGGCATTAATCAAAGCTTGGGTTAAATTAAATTAAAGGCTTTTTATTGAACTCAGCAGTATTAGTTATTAAAACCAGAAGGCCCTTCCCAGCCAATGTAAAAAAAGCAAACAATGACTCACACTGTGGCACAGAGTTTATTGGGGAATTAAAAGGCTCGTTTTCTCTTATTCTGCTGAACGAGACTTCAGACAGTTCCATGTAAACAACAGCAGAGATGGAAAACCTGGCAGCCAATTTCCCTCTGGCGCCCTTTCACCATTCCTGGGTAGTGGGATTGGCACTGGTGGAGAGGGCAAGGTGGCGGAGATAAGCTAGTTTTGGTTTTGGTAGTCTTCTTTCTCTGCCTGAAGTTATTATTGCTATGGTAGTTCAGGAAACTATTTTGTTGAACAAGCAAAGTTTGAGGAGGGATTGTTTTTCTCTTGTGGTTTCAAAACCATTAGGACTGCTCTCTCCCTCATGTTTTCCCAGGCCGCCTCTGCAGGCAGGTGAATGAAAAGCATTCGTTTTGTTTCCAGTGAAAGACAGGGCTCTCACCATTTATCATGAACCTTATACATTAGACCAGAGTAAACCCGAGAGAATTAAAGTGTATTGGATAGCCCTGCTGGTGGTCCCAGAAGTTTGGGTAGCTTGACCCCAGGCTACAAACTCAGGGTGTAACTATAGCTAGCAAAAAAAGAAAGAAAATAACCAGCTCATTTCTGATTACAGGCAGAATTTAGAGCTGATCTAACTGGAAAAGGTGGAAACCTGGTTGTACTTGAGTAAAACAATTAATTGTGCTGCCAAAGAGCCCTGCAGAACACCAAGCATATGTCTCCTTATGAATTGGGGGTACAGTTTTGAGGATCAAATCAGCCACTCACCTGCTACTTCATAGCACTAATTTCCGGCACCGGCAGGTGTATCGTATTTTATTCCCAGGGCAGAACTTGTATGTTAAGAGGCAACCCAGGATTTTCAATCTGAGTTTGTCTGAGAACACTTTAATTCTGGGTTTGGTGGAGGGCATAAGCAGGAGAGAACATCAGCAGGTGAGAAATGCCTGTGAATTCTACCCTGTGGCTCACCCAAGACTTTTTAAACTGACTTTTCCTCAACTGGACTCAGACTGGAAGTTTCCAAGCACAATTCAAAGTGCTGTTTTGAACTAAATGGCTTGGTAGCTGGGGATCTAGAGGCCTCTCTTCTCCCATATGAATCTGCTTCAACATTAAGATCCTCCTCAGAGGCCTTCTGTAGGTCCCCTTGCCACTGGAATTAGGGCAGATGATGACTGGAGAAATAAGGCCTTTTCAGTTGTGGTGCCCCATCTCAGAACTTCCTATTGAGAGAGATTTGCCTGGTGCTATCTGATTTCTTTTCAACTGAGACATTTTTTGTTTGTCTAGACTTTTTGATTTCTCTGTTTTGTCATGATCTCCTATCCCCTCCCTTCATGTGCTGTTTTAGATCATTTTTGTTTTGTTTTAATGAAGCTTAAGTTGAGGACACTTTGAGGGTTAGCATTTCCCCCTGCTTTGACTGGTCCCTGAGGTGCACTTCTTGCCTGGTCTCCTTTTGTATTCTTAATCCTTTTCCTTTCTCCCTCTTCCCTGCTGCTCCCACTCCACTTGGCCTGCTAGTCTTCTCCTGTACTTGAGCCTGGAAAAGGAAGAGCCATTGAAATAATGAGATATAGCACATTATTTATCTCTCTTTGCAATTCTTTCCAGACCATGTGCTGGATTTGCAAGCACTGATAGCCATTAATTGTTTTCTTGGGTTTTGCCAGATGGTGAAGGGGTGCAGAATGAACTGATACCATTTTCACAAATCCTATGTGATGGGCTCGTCAAGTTGGGAGAGCAGCATGTCTATCAGGACGGTGGATTGTCTGTACAGGAGAGTACAGCAGCTGTAGGAGTTGCTCCTCTGGCTACTGTTAGCACTTTCTATTCTGCATGCGGTCTTTGGGCTCCCCTCAGGCTTGCAGCCTGTGCTGCTGGTTTTGTGATCAAACACTTTTGCCACACTGTATGGCCTTCCCTTTGATTTGCCTGTCAAACAACTGGAGTGCACTTTTGAACTAGCAATGGGGACCCATGCCTTTCTTGCAACAACAAGCAATCAATTTCCTGTGAGTTTTCAACCCTTGTGGCAGTTTCATTTCTCTCTTTCCCACCTGTTGACTTGTAAACACACCCATCACTCAGTCCTGAGTCGTTCTGGAGTTTCCAGGAAAGCAAACATTTAATGAAATGGCAAAGGCATGGAATATATCCAATGCTCTGTTGCACCAAAGGCATTGAAGGCCTGGAACACAGTTGCAGTTTGAAGAGAAAGGCCGTCATAGTTCAGTTCTACACTGAACATTGCAGAGAATTGCCACAATTGCCTACAACTTGCCAATCAACCAATAAAATAAAAATAAAATTTAAAAATGGAATGTTATTCTTAGCAGTAACATAACACTGCCCTGGATCCAAAGGTAAGTCTAACCTTTTAAAAATATTTGAGAGGGTATTCAAGTAGATGTGGTATACAAGAAGTTTCAAAAAGCTTTTCATAAATCTCCTTGCTAAAAACTCCCGAGTTATCCATATGATAAAAGGGAGACATCCTTTTATGGATTACTCTTATGGTAAATGGCTAAAGAACAGGGAAAAGAGAGTAGGAAGAAATGAACAGTACTCACAATGGGCAGTTATAAACAGTGGGTTCTCCCAAGGATTGGCACTGAGACCAGTGCTTTTAAACTTAAGTTTAAGTTTAAGTTTTGGAGTGGTCATACTGCTTGATTTCTCAGTGCTTATGTAACTTCCTTATGAAATCCTGCAACTTTTCATAACACAAATGTTCTGAGGGGTTCTGTTTTTTTGCATTATAGCCCCTACAGACAGTAGCAGCAGTGGGCAAGCATTGCAGAACAACTCATAAAGCAGAATAAATATACAACTGATGTGTTGTATTGTGTCAAGAACATTGTGCAGAACACACCCACAATAAAACACCAGGCTGGAGGGGCTCATATGTGTTGAAGGAGTTTGACCTAGTGGTTACTGACCAAGAAAGAGTTATTGTAGTCATGGTGGACAGCTCAAAGAAAATGTCAACCCAGTGTGAGGCAGCTGTGAAAAAGGCAATATCTGTGTTGGGGATCGTTGGGAAGGCAATAGAAAGTAAAATTTTCAATATTGAAATGTCTTTATAGTTCCATATAGTTTTGGTCAATGCATCTCAAAAAGGATGCTGTAGAACCTGAAAAGTTTCAGAAAAGGGGAACCAAAATTATCAGGGGCCATGTGTAACTCTCCTATAAGAAAAAACACATTTAGGGCATTTTAGTTCAGGAAAAGTAAGCAGGGGCATGAAAAAGTTGGCGTGGAGAAAGTGGATAGAGAGAAGTTTTTTTCCTGTTCTCTCATAATGCTAGAACCCAGCATCGTCTAGTGAAGCTGAGTGGTGGAAGAATAAGGACATACAATAGGAAAGACATCTTCATAGAGTGCATAGTTAAACAATGGCAATCATTACCATAAAATGCAGCGATGGCCACCAACTTAGGCAAACTGGTGCAATTCACATCCCATGGAAGTCAATGACAAAGGTCCTATTCATTTTAGTGGACCTGGAATCTACTTACAAACCTGGTAAAAAACTGTATCATGCACTGCAAGGAGCATCTGTAGAAAAAGAAGTAACTGTAGTCAAGCATGCACTGTTTTATCTGACACAGTGGGAAAAAAGAAAAATCTGTAGGGTCACTAGTCACTCTGACTGAGGAGATGGCAATCTATCCCTGAACCATGAAGATAAAATGTTTTTTATTTATTTATTTAAAATAAAATATTTGTATACAATCTCTCATTTAAATGATACCAAGGTGGTATACAGTAAGTAAGAAAACCACCACAATAAAAACAACAAAGTTATAAAATCCAGTAAAAGCAACATATAGAAATTGCAGTAGCCAGCAGAATAAGAAATCAGGAAGATAAAATATACAAAGAGGATTGGAAAATATTTATAGATTATATAAGAAACCAGTATACATAGATGAAAAGTTTAGCAGGTTTTATGTAAAGTTCATCTGCTTAAGCTAAAACAAGAGGTTAAGAGAGGTAACAAGATGGGTTTGGAAATCTCAGAAGATCCAGATAGGAAGGCTAACAAAAAGAACCCTGAAAAGAGAGGAAAGGAAGTCCATTCACATTTTCTTCTTTGGTTTTTACACACACACACACAACCAAAGTTTTCGTAAATGTTAAAATGTATACTTTTTTCTTTAATCTTGTATATGTTTAAATATGTAATAAGTTCAAATAAATAACAGAATGCAATAAAAATGATTGTCAAACCAAAGTACAGTGGTACCTCGGGTTAAGTACTTAATTCATTCTGGAGGTCTGTTCTTAACCTGAAACTGTTCTTAACCTGAAGAACCACTTTAGCTAATGGGGCCTCCTGCTGCCGCCACACCGCCAGAGCACGATTTCTGTTCTCATCCTGAAGCAAAGTTCTTAACCTGAGGTAATATTTCTGGATTAGCGGAGTCTGTAACCTGAAGCGTATGTAACCTGAAGCATATGTAACCTGAGGTACCACTGTAATAACAATAACAATAACAATAATATGCAGTAGCCAGGAATTGTTAAATTGGTGTGTGAGGGCCCGGGAAGTGACTGTCTATATATAGTGGAACCTCGGTTGTCGAATGCTTCGGAAGTCAAATGTTTCAACTTTTGAACGCCAACAACCCGGAGTGAATGCTTCCGTTTTCGACTTCCGAGGCACATTTCTCCATTTTTTCAATGGATTTTGCCAACCAGCAATTGCACCTCCGTTGTTGAAAATTTTGGAAGTCAAACAGTTTTCCGGAACGGATTACGTTCGACAACCGAGGTTCCACTGTATCAGTTTTTAACCCTCTTTTCCACCATGGCCATCCTATCTGATGTCACAGTTCCCTGTGAGACTATTTCTAATGCTTCAGAGTTATACTTTTATAGCACTCTTGCCACCTTGCACTTAAACATTTCAATTTGCATTTCACAAGACACTCTCTTCTACGGCTATTGGTGCCATTTGTGAATGTAAGTACTAAATGTAACAGTGGATAAGAACTACAATCAGGCTTGACCCCCAAAGTGAGCAAGGTAGCAATAAAACTGTAGATATATGTGGATCTGCTCCCTTAATATTGGAGTAGAAAACAGAATGTAGTGAGTCAACAGATAGAATGTGGTGCCTATATAATTTATTCTTACAGAATGAGGAGATAGTCATAATGTGTCAGAAGGATCAGAGCATTTTTTTATATATAAATACAGCACCAGATGAGTTGGTTAACCATCTGGGAAGCATTAAAAATGATACGGGTTTTTGTCAGATGTTTTTTGGTTGCACAGAGGTTCAAAACTAGGATGTCAACTTTCTCCATTTTTCTATTTTATCAACAGGAGCCTTTTAACCATTGCTATTGGAGACAACATTAATACTGAACAGACAAAAGTGGGCAGGGGTGACTTTAATAATCTAAATCTAAACTAAATCTGCTGATGATATTACTTTATTTGAGAAATAGAAATTCTTTCTTTCTTGATGTTCCTTATGCCTGGAATCCTTCCTTCACTGAACACGTACATGAAGGATGACGGGAGCTGTAATAATCTGAGGGACCACAGTATGAGCAGAAGTAGTAAGGATGACATTTCAAAAATCTGCTTTGTCTCCTGGAGAGAGGCAATAGTTAGATATTAGGATTAAACAAGAACTAGATAAGCATATTCAGGAAAACCACAATACTGAGAATATGGAAGATTAAAGTAGATTTGTTCAGGTGACTTATGAATTGAACTGAATTTTGCACTGTCAAAATGAGCAAAATACCTGAATACTCAGATTTTGATATCATGGCAAAAAAGTGGAATTAAATTATAGCACAACTCTATGAATATCTACTCAGAACTGCATTTCAACTGAATTCAGTGCAGGACTTACTCCTAGGTTTGTGTATATAGGGACTGCAGGTGATTTACCTGACAGTAAGCTCCACTGAACTTAATTCTGAGTAGACATGTATAGGATTATGCTGTTTTGTTTGGGCAAGAAAACGTTCCAGGATAATAGTTAGCACTCTTTAAAATAAAAACGAATGTGCGTACCATTAAAATATACAATATGGGGTGTGTGTGTGTGTTATATATATATATATATATATATATATATATATATATATATTCAGATCTGATTCATGTATTTAAGTCATATAGCATCGTAAGTTTATGCTATTGTTTTAGGAAATATTCAGACATGGGCAGAATATTACATCCCATTAGACCTGCTAGTACAGGTCAATAGTATTAAACTGTACACTAAATTGAACAGCTTTTTAGGTTAGTATTTAACTAGTTAATGGAAAGCACAGGAAAGGGAGAGTGCTTTTGTACTCAGGGTCTGCTTTCTTGCAGGCATCTTGTTTTGCCGCTGGCCTTTAGCCTGATCCAATAGGCTCTTACTATATTTTAGTTGTAATTAGAATATACTCATGGAAATTCATGGACAAGTTATTCATGACTAACCTCTGTTCTAATCTATCATGAAGTTTGATAAAACCCATAGATTACTTATGTTTCTGTATATTATTAAGAAACATTCATTTCTAGTAGTAACTCCACAGGTATGCAAAGTATAATTACTACAGATGACTTTTGGATCTGATTATTGCAACATATACCTTGATTAGTATTGTGTATGAACATGGGGGGAAGGTTTTAAATATAAAATCTAGTACTGATAGCACTTTACTCTGTTCAGATTATGCAGATTATATACACTAAGGGTACCACATTTTATGGAGATGGAGATGGCTGTGAGCTAATCTTGCTCATATTTTATGGAACTATCAAAATATTTTTCCCCATATTGGAAACCAGTCTTAGAACATGTTATTTATTTTAAGCAATTCTTATCGTAGCCTTCAATCCAAGAATCCCCAGAGCATTTTGCAGTAAAAACCTGAAAACGATAACCAAAAAAGTTAACACGGCTTAGGAATTAAAAGAGTTTCACCAGGTGTGTCCAAAAGATAGCAGAATAGATGTCAGGTGAATTTTCATAAGGAGGGAATTCCAAAGCTGGGGTAGACCCTATCTCCCCACTCAGCAGTTATCAGAAGACCATTGAAACTAATCTTAATACATGGGTAGGCTTGCGGGAGAGAACACAATCTTCATGTTACCTGGTTTCTGCTCATTCAAGGTTACTAGAGTAATAATCAGATATTACATACGATTAAACTTGCTTCCAGTGTCATTTGGATATGTAAAACACATATTGTTTTGGATGATTGGAGAAAACTGTACAGTTTTTGACATTAGGCAGAATGTTAGTCATTTGGATATGAGGGGTAAGGGGACAACATAGTTCTACCATCTACAGTAGAGTGTGGGTGAGAGATCCATGATCAGTAGAAATATTACTAATTTTTTAAACTGGCAACATATGAAATAGTATGCAACCATAACTATAGTCATCTGATGATTATGGAGTTAAATATGTTATTATGGGGTTGAACAAGACTCCATCCTTAAACTTTTCTACGTGGTTCCTTTCCAATTCTGTCCTGTGCTATTCCAGCAATAAACAACCTGTTTTGTTAGACTGTAAATAAAGTGAGTAGAAGTTTTATTTTTATACAGAAAAGGTGTTCCTATATAAAAGTAGTAGTAAGAAATCCTAGCAATCTTATTGGAAAGTTGAAGAATTTGATCCAGAGAATGAGAATTTGGCAGCAATACGTTGAAAGATTAGGCCACTGTTTTAATGATCGGGACAAACAGAAGTCAGTCTTCTTCTGCAAAACACGCTCTCTCTTGAGAAGTTTGTTGCAATCTCAGACGCCAGAAGACAAAATCTGGCAGATCTGCAGAAGATTGTAACAGAACATTATACCCCACAGTCTAACATTACTGTAGAATGTTTTAAATTCCATTATAGGATAAGAAGGGAAGGGAAGCATATATCTGAATATGTGGCTGAACTCAAAAAGTTAGCTGCACGCTGCTCACTTGGCAATGTCCTGGAGGATATGTTGAGAGAGGGGTTTGTTTGTGGAGTGAATAACGATAAAATTCAAAGGCAGTTTGCTGGCAAAAGGAAACCTGACTTGGTCCAAATTGGCAACAGCGGTGAGGAACTTAAAGGATTTACACCTACATTCTAAAAAAACCCCAGATGGAATACATGAACAGTGTACAAACCTCACAATAGCTGTAACCCCTTCTAGACAAAACAGCTTTGTCATGCTTATCCATGGTCTGGTAACCTCAAAATTAGACTACTGTAATGAGGTGTGCATGGGGCTGCCTTTGAAGATTATCCAAACTAGTGAAGGTCATTCAGAATATAACTGCAAGGTTGCTAATGGGGATTGGACACTGGGAATGTATCCCTTCAGTTTACTTTGATCATTGCCAGAAGCTCTTCTTAGGTTGCCCCACTGAATGAGGTTGTGGTGGATGGTGACTAGGTGACTAGGATGAGGGCCTTCTTGGTGGCAGGACCCCATCTATGGAATGGTCTCCTCAGAGAGGCTTGCCTGAAATCAAGATATATACAATGTCCATAGCGTTCCCCTGATCCACCAAGCTTTGTAACTCTATAAAAAAAGAAAGAAACCAGAAATGAGATTTGTCTGGCATGACTTGTTTTTCAGAAACCAATGCTAGCTCTTAGTAATCACATCACCCTTTTCTAAGTGCTCGCAGACCAGCTGTGGAATTATCTTTTCTAAGACCTTTCTTGGTATCAATGTCCAGCTCACCAGTCAGTAGTTACCTGAGTCTTCTTTTTACTCCTTTTTGAGGATGGAGACATTTGCCCGCCTCCAGTCCACAGGGACTTCACCTATTCTCCAATAATTCTCAAAGATTATAGACAGAGGCTCTGAGATTAAATCTGCAAGATTCTTTAGTACCCTTGGGTGCAGCTCACCAGGCCCTGGAGATTTGAATTCATTTAAAGTAGCTAGGTGTTTCCTTGCCACCTACCGTATTTTTCGCCCTATAGGATGCACTTTTCCCCCTCCAAAAATGAAGGGGAAATCTGGGTGCGTCCTATGGGGTGAATGCAGGCTTTCGCTGAAGCTTGGAGAGCGAGAGGGTCGGTGTGCACCGACCCTCTCGCTCTCCGGGCTTCAGGAAGACATCCGCAGCCTAGGCAGCCCTGCGGGAGGTCCCGCAGGGATGTCTAGGCTGCGGATAGCAGCCTGCTTCCCGGAGCGTCGGGCGCCCTGAAAGCAGAGCGCCCGGCGCTTCGGGAACACATCCGCAGCGTGGGGAGCCCTGCAGGAGTTCCCCGCAGGGCTCCCCACGCTGCGGATAGCAGCCTGCTGCCCGGCGAGCGGGGCGCCCTGAAGCAGAGCGCCCCTCGCGCTGGGCAGACATCGGCCAGCCCCACAAGCTCGGGGGACAGCAGGGAGGCGCAGCGCCGCCATCCTGCTGTTCCTCGACCTTGTTCGGTTTCCCCGACCTGCTTTGGGGGGGGGGGAATAAAGGACATTTTTTTCCCTTTATTTCCCCCCCAAAAAACTAGGTGCGTCCTAGGGGACGGAGCGTCCTATGGGACGAAAAATACGGTATTTTCCTATCTTGGGCTTCAGCTCCCTCCTTGTATCATTTTTTATCACCAGTTGGGCATTGTTTTCCTTTTGGAAGAAAAACAGAGCCAAAGTAGGTGTTTAGTGGTTCCACTTTCTCTCTGCCACCCAATAGCATTTCTCCATCTTCTCCATGCATATGACTTATTACTTGCTTGTTTCTCCTCTTGCTTCAAACATAGCTGAAGAAACCTTTATTATTATAGTGCAGTAACACTGAAACATTGGCTGTCCCTGTTTTGGAAATGATAACAAGAAGAGGCACTGGGACAAGTGAAAATAAGAAGCATTCCAAATATCAAAGTTGTTAACTCAGATCCTCAGAGCTCTTGGTGCATTTTAATCCCATAAAGAAGCAATCATTTCCTATATATTTTATCATGAAATAGGATCAGTGTTGCTCATTGAACAATAAGGTGGAATGTCCCTTTAGATATGACCCATTAAGTATAAATAAAAAGTGCCGTGATCTGTAGCTTGAAGAAGAGAGCCTCACATTAAAGAATTCCATCAATCTATGTACTGGAAACTTTTCACTATTGTAACAAACTGTGAAGTGTGCTGGGCTATGGTAAGCACAAACTATATTAATAGATGTGAATTGGGAGAGCAGAGCCAGTTGTTTCTGATAATCATCACCTGATCCTGATCTCCGTGGTGGATGGGTAGAGGAAAGGGAGGGCCGCCTTTGTCACTAGATGGGCGATGCTAAAAAGGCCAAATATATATAAATTTTCTTTCTTCACTTACGAAATATTGGTGTGTATTTGTGTGTATGTAAGTGTGTTTGGGATTATATTATGTTCAGACTTTCCAAAGCTGGAGCAGGACTTAAAGCCAATAGCACAACTGAAGCAGATGCTTTTCTTTCTGAGAATGGGGAAAAAATCCAGTCCATGGAAAAGTAGCATATTCCAGGAAAATAACCTCTTGCAGGGGATGGCACTGCAGGGAGCCTGGCTTCTCCCTTTCAAAGAAAATGCAAATAAAAAAAAGGAATCAGAAGTGGTCAGGCAGCTGGGGAAGGTGGCAACTGGCCAATGAGGTTTCAATATTTACTTCTTTTCTTACTGTTTTCCTTTCTGTTGTTCTGTTTTTAGCACCCCATCATGAATTCAAAATGTTAGCTCGGGTGCCTGTATCGGGTGCCTAAGACTCTTTGCCACCTTTATTAGGCCAACTCCATCCACTCCAGTCCAGAAATAAACTGAGACTCCCTGATTATTTAGTCCGTAGACTGTTCACTGTTTTTACTACACCTCAGCAAAAGTATTGATGAACCAATGCAGATTGATACACTGAGGTTGAATCCTGACAAGACAGAAGTACTGTTTTTGGGGTACAGGAGGCGGGCAGGTGTGGAGGATTCCCTGGTCCTGAATGGGGTACCTGTGCCCCTGAAGGACCAGGTGTGTAGCCTGGGAGTCATTTTGGACTCACAGCTGTCCATGGAGGCACAGGTCAAATCTGTGTCCAGGGCAGCTGTTTACCAGCTCCATCTGGTACGTAGGCTGAGACCCTATCTGCTTGCGGACTGCCTCGCCAGAGTGGTGCATGCTCTGGTTATCTCCCGCTTGGACTACTGCAATGCGCTCTACGTGGGGCTACCTTTGAAGGTGACCCGGAAACTACAACTAATCCAGAATGCGGCAGCTAGACTGGTGACTGGGAGCGGCCGCCGAGACCATATAACACTGGTCTTGAAAGACTACATTGGCTCCCAGTACGTTTCCGAGCACAATTCAAAGTGTTGGTGCTGACCTTTAAAGCCCTAAACGGCCTCGGTCCAGTATATCTGAAGGAGCGTCTCCACCCCCATCGTTCTACCCGGACACTGAGGTCCAGCTCCGAGGGCCTTCTGGCGGTTCCCTCACTGCGAGAGGCCAGGTTACAGGGAACCAGGCAGAGGGCCTTCTCGGTAGTGGCGCCCTCCCTGTGGAATGCCCTCCCACCAGATGTCAAAGAGAACAACAACTACCAGACAGGCGGCCCTGTTTAGGGAGGCTTTTAATGTTTGATGTAGTACAGTATTTTAATATTTTTTTGGGAAGCCGCCCAGAGTGGCTGGGGAAGCCCAGCCAGATGGGCGGGGTATAAATAATAAATTATTATTATTATTATTATTTATTATTATATACTTGATTTACATTTCCATTCCAAACCATTGCCCCCAGAGTTGAGGTTTGTGCTGCTTTCATGAGGGTGGCAGCAGCAACAGGGTGGTACTTATTTGCGGAATATTTCTGGATCCCAGATTGTTCCTCTTTAGAGTGCAGACTGTCAGTTGCCATAACAGCTGTATAACAACATGAAATAATACTTGTAGCCTTCTAGCCTACAAGTACAACAGCCTGTGGAGAAGACGGCTGCTGATTTAGCAACTGGGCTACCCACCCAGTACCTATTCAAAATGAAATACGTTGTGTTCCTTTCTAGGTTTTCCTGCTAAAAACAATTTTTTAAGACTCGTCTGGGTTCAACAAAAACATGTTGTTTTTTCTCTTCCTGAAATAGCACTATTTAGCTTTGCCTTTGGATGTGCATATAAATGATGCCATGGACATTTGAATTTTTTCTCCAATGAAGGAGCTGAAGGCCTTTCCTCCCTCATTTTCTTGGTGATTATTGTTTTAGAAATTATGTTCTTAGTGCTTATGCTTTGAGAATGACCAAGGCCTGTGTGGAGAGCCTAAAGTTGAAACGGTGTTAGAAAAGGATAAAAGCAAATTCCCCAACTTCCTGTTTCATATGATCCCATCCACAAGGCCAGAATGATCAAAAATAAAAGTTGCCTAGAGAGCTTTTCTCCATTTGCACCAGGTGTGCTGGATCACTTCCTTTTGTACCCAGGAAGCCCAAGGGCAAAATGTGTACATTATCTCAGCAAGCACATGTTTTCAACCCCGTGTCGACTGAGATAATGGTAATACTGTAGTTGGATCAATGGACAGATAGGTGTTCTTAATTCACCCTGTCCTGTGCCCACTGATTCTCCACTACATATCCCCCCAAACAATTTTACCCTAGTTGGCTTTCATCCAGTTTTGAAGCCTGGCTGTGGGAAAATGATTAAAATTTCCTGGAATGTCTTCTTTGCAGAAGGATAAGCACCCTATTTACTTCAAGTTTTGCCTGTAAATGCTCATGTTAGCACACTAGCCTTCTTAGAGCATACTTACCTTGGTTCCTTGTCCCGGTTCCTTACTGGCCTGTTAGCTGCTACTCTGTTGCTTTGCTTCATGAAGTACCCTTTTTGCAAACCATTAGCCTAAATTAGCCACCAGGTTCTCTAACACAGTGTGGACACCTGCAGCCCACTGTATCTCTCTAACTTTATTCTCTCACATTGTATTCTTCCTAACTTTGCTTGTATCCTTTGACTTGGTATTTTGAAACATCTGTCCTGGCCCAGATCTGCGTCTGGACCCTGTTTGGAATTGTTAGCCATAGTCTGGGAATCATCCTTTCAGTAATGGCATCATGAGATGAAGAAGTATTTAAGCATTTCTATTAATTATGAGGCACAAATTGCTATGTCAATGTTTGCTGAACATTCCCTGGTTATACAGGCAATTGGTTAATTGATATTAATAGTCACATGCTTGTGTTAATTACTGTAGTAATATTTAATGTCCATATTATCCAAACATTTCAAATCTCCAGGCATTATGAGAGCACTTTTTTCTTGAATTGTGTGTGCTGGATTTGGCAGAAGATTAGCAACAAAGTAGGCCCATTGGCATGTGCTTCATCCTTGTGGTCTAGGAGAACTGATCGTACTCACATAAAATTCTCTCTCGCACAACTGCTGTCTGTAACAATGCTGAGGCCTCCATCTTGAGTATTCATGGGACTGAAATCCAATATGCATCAATGTTCTTTGTGCAAAAGCTTTTAAAAAAGCTTAGCTTTGTGCAAAAGCTAAAAATGCTAAATTAAACAAAAGCAGAAGGGAGAAGAGGCATACAAAGAACAGCAGAGAGCTCTTTCTGCTAAGATTGGCAGTGAAATGGTGTCCATGAAGCACAAACTCTTAATGGATGGAATCCTTGTTGCTTTGATAAGTTGAGGCGAGTGGAGGGACCAAGGCAAGGTTTTCATGCCAGCATAATTATATAAAGCGAACATAAGAGCCTGTGGTGAGTAAGATGGACTTTATGATGTCAGCTCTCCGCTAATGAGTTCCCTCCATTTTGTGGGACAGAGTGTCTTTTTGAAAACATTTGCTCTCTAACCAGCACAAAGATAATCCTGTGAAAATATGTTCTGAAGATCCCATTAAAAGGGAATGTGTGACCTGGCTTCCACAGTCAACTGCCCAGACTTATCCTGTGTTATTGTTTCCAAATGGGGACACTTGGTATTCTTATTTTTCTGAACAAGCCAGGCTAAGAGTGAATAATAGCCCCATGCAAGTAAAGGAAAACTTCAACAACATGGGTTCATCGGGGAGTATAAAATCTTTTTACAGCCTTGGCAAATAATGAAGAACCCCTCTGAGCTATTTTGCCAGCCTTATGCCAAACACCCAGAACATCTTGAGCCATTACAGATAGGCTTTCTGGAGACCTTCTCTTGGTCTTGGCTTTTTCTATAGGCGGGGAGAGGGGAATGAGCTGATCCCTCTGGCACCCGCAGAACAGCATTTCTACTGGGTCTCACCCTGTGTGAGGATATTGCATGCTGTGCTATGAGGGTCATAGAGTATTATTTTACACACATGCACTCCACCCTTTTAAGATGCCTCCAGAACCAGAGTAAGACAACAGTTCATGGCGCTGTTGATTTGGGTATTTCATGTCCAAATACTGGTCAAAGCCTTTCCAGACTATGATATTGCTGCTAATTTCACCATCTGCCAAATATTACTGCTTGAGGGTTTGGCACTTTCAAGAGTAGTGTTCTTTCTGATGATAAAACTAGCTTGGAAAGCTCTGGTTGCTTTGTATAATATTTGTATAACACTGAGTCCTGACCTGCTGGCACAAACAGTCTCCTTCTGGCCCATTGTGTCAGTCACAAGATGGATAATTTAGTCGTCATAGAGCTATGTACCAATTTATTAAAATCTGTATATTTTGCCTTTTGGCTGCATTATGTATATGCTTGCAGCCCTATAAGCAGCACCTCTTCCAGCAGGAGGTAACAGAGCACTGACTGCAGAGGAGCAGCTGGAATACTAGCTATGGGCTGTGGGTAATCAGAAGAAAAGCTGCAACTATCTTCCAGAATGTAAACACCCTTATAGCTTAATGGACCTATTTACATTGAAGGAGACCAGGAAACGAAATTTGTTATGTTGTTCCAAATAAGCCTGTGCAGATGGTAAGCAGAACCAGACGAGCCAGTGATCTTGAGTGCAATGGATTTTCCTTTGGAAAGTGCTTGATTTTATCAGGTTGTTTACTAAACTGTCACAACAAGGCATGAAACCAAGGAACCCTTGTACATGCCGATACTGGCAATGTGTTCCTGAGAGTGGGCAGTGATGGAAACATGCCTTAGTTGGCTTCCCACTCTGAATTAAATGAGTTAAAGTGAGTCAGGTTTTTCTCATACCTCTTGAGAATGTCCTGGCACATTTGGGTAGGTGTGTGCATGGTGGGAATCAGTCTTGACCAAAACAAATGGCTCCACTGGATACCTGCTGCATGTCTTCTACAGGCAAGTCAGGTGGGATTTTCCTATTGTCTCTAGGGGAAATAGTCCCTTATTTTATTTTATTTTATTTTGCCCAGGGCATATTGTAAGGGAGCAACATCTGTCCCAGGTTGGGAGGGGAGCTCTTGCTCAGGAAACTGGGAAGTTTACTACAGCAGAATTGAAAGCAGTTAAGTTGCACTCTTGTCTCCCAACTGGGAGCTAAGAACCATTGCAAAATATTCCATCCACCCCCAATCCCGTAGGCTCTGCGTGTAGATTTACAATTAAATTGGTTCTGGTTAGCAAACGAGAACAGGACAGTTAAATTGAATTTTCAGAAGAATGTTGTGAATCCTATGTGAAAAAAATAACCTCCCTCCTTGCTTTTCCTGCTCATCTTATTGCTGCAGTTCACTCTTATCCATCTCTCTCACTAAGAATCCTTTCTACTGGTGAAGGCACTGGTTCGCATGAATGAACCTTTCCTCTTACTTGTCCCTCTTGCTCATTAAAACATTAGAAGAACAGTGCTGACTAAACCCTAGGACCCATCTAGTCTCACAGAGGCCAGTGAGATAGATGCTCATAGGAAGCCCATACGCAAGGCATATCACTCTCCCTCTTATGATTCTCAGCAACTGGTATTAAAGGCATACTCATACCCATGAGAATGATTACCAACCTTGCAATCCTAAGGTTCCCAGATGTTGCACTTTTGAGATCTTGCTCTGGAGACGAGTGTGGTCTGAATGTCAGATGCCTTGAGGATACATCCTCTTTGAAGCACTCCAAGAAACCTCCCTAGTTCTGTTTTGTGTTGGAGGCTGGTTTAAAGCTTTTGGTGGCAGCAGGAGAAGAGAACTAGGACTTCTTGCTTGATGGCCTTTGGAATGGGTATCACTTAGTTGTTTACGGCTCTTGCTATGCAGTGAAATGCTGCAAGTTACAGGAACTGACCCCAAACCCTCCCATTGCTTAGCACATGCAGAATGATCTGATGCAATATAAATTTTAAGCATGTCAACTACTAATCCCTTCTTCTCCAAAGTGTCAGGTTATAGAGCTGCAAGCATATACATAATGCAGCCAAAAGTGGGTTCTGGATCACGGGCTCTACTGGTCAAAACGGGAATATTTTATTTATGTTATTTTCACTTTGACCCCCTTGGAATATTTTGCTGCCGCCCCCCAAACCATATGGCCCCCGGTTGGGAAACACGTATATAAAGTCTTTAAAAGGCTGTCAGCACTTGACTTCCAGTGGCTCTCCCTCTCCCGCAGGAGAGCTGTTGGCAACATTTAAAGGGCCTATAGCCTATTCTGCAGTCATGTGCTCCAGCATGGTGGAGAAGCAAAAGCAGCTGCAGCTGCTTTCTCAGAAAACACTTGCTGATTGGATGGGTCCAATATTTAGCATCAAATCTATGTAATTTATTTTCTTTAGAATTGCTGAGTGCCATGCATATATGCTCGCTGACCAGTGTTGTTCGGCTGATGCTTTATTTATTTATTTATTTATTATTTTATTAAATTTAAATCCCACTCTACTTCCCAGAGGACCCCCAAATTTGGTGATTCAGTTCTTCAACCAACCAACCAACCAACCAACCAGCCAGCCAGCCAGCCAACCAACGCCTTACAAAATGCATATAATTTAGGGCAGGCTTCCGCAACTTCTTTTTTTTTTTATAAGATATTTATTAAGATTTTCAAAATATTACAAAATAAAAAGAAAAAAGAAAAAAATACAAAATAAAAATGGTTAAAAACAACTCAATCTTTCCATTACTTATTTTTCGTTAGCTTGTTTCCCGGACCTCCTCACGCCTCCCTTTTTTGTATTCCAGTTCGGTTTGTTGGTTCAGCAAATCCTTACCCTCTTTGTTTATCCTAGTCTTTAATCTTAAAATATTGTAACGTTAAATTTTTACCTATTAATAATCCATTTTTCATATTCCCTTATAGTATTACAGCTGAAAGCCACTTAATTTCTATCCAACATCATTCTAACATTCATTAATTTTACAATATTTCTGTAGATAGTCTTTAAATTTCTTCCAATCTTCTTCCACTGACTCTTCTCCCTGGTCTCGGATTCTGCCAGTCATTTCCGCCAGTTCCATATAGTCCATCACCTTCATCTGCCATTCTTCCAGAGTGGGTAGGTCTTGTGTCTTCCAATACTTCGCGATGAGTATTCTTGCTGCTGTTGTTGCATACATAAAAAAAGTTCTATCCTTCTTTGGCACCAATTGGCCGACTATGCCCAGGAGAAAGGCCTCTGGTTTCTTCAAGAAGGTATATTTAAATACCGTTTTTAATTCATTATAGATCATCTCCCAGAAAGCCTTAATCCTTGGGCACGTCCACCAAAGGTGAAAGAATGTACCTTCAGTTTCTTTACATTTCCAACATTTATTATCGGGCAAATGATAGATTTTTGCAAGCTTGACTGGGGTCATGTACCACCTGTATATCATTTTCATAATATTCTCTCTTAAGGCATTACATGCCGTAAACTTTATACCTGTGGTCCATAACTGTTCCCAGTCAGCCATCATTATGTTATGTCCAACATCTTGTGCCCATTTAATCATAGCAGATTTCACCGTTTCATCCTGAGTATTCCATTTCAACAGCAAGTTATACATTCTTGACAAATTCTTAGTTTTGGGTTCTAACAGTTCTGTTTCCAATTTTGATTTTTCCACCTGGAAGCCAATTTTCTTGTCCAAATTATATGCCTCCATTATCTGATAATAATGAAGCCAGTCTCACACTTTATTTTTTAATTTTTCAAAACTCTGTAATTTCAGTCTATCTCCATCTTGTTCCAAAATTTCCCAATATTTCGGCCATTTGGCCTCCATATTGAGCCTTTTCAGAGCTTTCGCTTCCATCGGTGACAGCCACCTTGGGGTTTTATTTTCCAATAAATCCTTGTATCTTATCCATACATTAAACAATGCTTTCCTGACAATATGATTCTTGAATGCTTTATGTGCTTTGACCTTATCATACCACAGATATGCATGCCATCCAAATACATTGTTAAAACCTTCTAAATCCAAAATGTCTGTGTTTTCAAGAAGCAGCCATTCTTTCAACCAGCAAAAAGTTGCTGATTCATAGTAAAGTTTAAAGTCTGGCAGGGCAAATCCACCCCTTTCCTTTACATCAGTTAATATCTTAAATTTTATTCTGGGCTTCTTGCCCTGCCAGACAAATCTAGAAATGTCTCTCTGCCACTTCTTGAAGCAATCCATTTTGTCCACAATTTGCAATGTTTGAAACAAAAACAACATTCTAGGCATTACATTCACAGGCTTCCGCAACCTCGGCCATCCAGATGTTTTTGGCCTACAACTCCCATGATCCCTAGCTAGCAGGACCAGTGGTCAGGGATGATGGGAATTGTAGTCTCAAAACATCTGGAGGGCTGAGTTTGAGGAAGCCTGATTTAGGGGAAATGCATTACATGAATATTTGGGGGGGAAGGAGGACACACACATACATATGCACTAGTTTGGAAGACTGAGCAACATAATTTCTACCAGTGCTCCTCCTTCCACCCTGAGATTTTCAGTGCAAATTAGATATTTTTTTAAAAAAGAATTTTTATTAAAGATTTTCTTGGTTTACAAAAGTACTCTTTTTTCAGGTTGTAGAGTCTTTTCTACAGATCAATTAAATTTGATGTGGGGTAGTAAAATTTATATTCATTTACTTAGTTTATATGTGGAGGTTTTGTGTCTGCGTCATTTGGGTAGGTTCTCTTTCTAGTCATTTATTATTTTTCCTTGGCAGTGAGATAAATTAGATATCTCAACATTAATGATAAGAGCCGATTTCCTACAGAATCACACGTACAACAGGATTACAATTCTATTGGGAAATTCTTGGTAGCAGGTTTTATTACACATCAAAGCAAGTTCTGTATCTTGTGGTCAATTAATTAAGCAAATGGGACTCTTCTGGCTAAGTACAGAGCTATCAGAAAAAAAACTTGGAAACTGATAGCTCTGCCATTAAAATTGGAAGATTCAAGGACAATAACTATACAGGCTTCTTTTGATATACAGGGGAGTCGAACCAGACACCTTAATGCTACTGTACACACCACAAGCTCTCACCTTTTTTCATGCCTGCTTCTTCAAACGCTGCCCATGTGCTCTGCATTTAAGGAGCCTACAAGTCCCTGCCCCCCTGCCTCTATTACATGCCATGTGTGGATTAGATGGAAGGTTTGGGGAGTTATTTAGTTAGAAACTGCTGTTCAGTTTTGGAATATTTGTTTGACTAAGGCGATGCTCATATTTGTATTACTTGATTTTAAAATGTGGCTTTAAGGAATACTGTAGTAGATAAAGCTCAAGATGTGTTCAGTTAAACCTGAAAATGCTTTACTCCGGGATGTTGACCTTTTGCTCCCCTCTCCGCCAAGGGCTGTCTCTCCTTGCAAGTTGCTCTGGCAGGAATCAAATTCCTTTGGGGGCTTTAGTAGCAGCTCGTTCTTTCATCTAATCAGGTTTAAACTCTGACAAGATATTTGTACAATCCCTGTCTCAAAGGGCAGGCCAATGACACCATTAACCTAATCCTCCCTTCTTGTTTTCCACTTTAATGGTACTCATAAGCTCGAAACAGGGAAAATATTTGGGCAGTAATATTTGTACAAAAGACAACAGTAATAAGAATGGCGTGTTGATAGAATCTGTGCTGCGTTTCTGTTGGAGTTGGGGAAGCCATCTCATTCCTCTTCCTGTGTATTAAGAATTGCTTTGAATGTGTTTGCCACCTCTCTGGAGCAAAGGCACCATGGCCCATCACTTATCATCCACTGTCTAACATAGAGGCTAAACTTTAGAAAGTCGTCCTGTTTAAAAATAGGCCAGGAAGCGGAAAAGACAAATGGAGAGATATCAGAGGATAAAGGTATATTGTAGGAACTGGGTTAGGCAAGGATGTCCACTATTGCATCGGCCATTGCTATAGCTTCTAGTATATTGGGTACCATCTGTGGGGGGTTGCAGATCTGAGGTTATCCATTTCTGTTGGACAAGTGGAAACATGTAGTGGGTCAGTTGTCTTTCTTTAGAAGGGTTAACACAAGTGAGCTGATGCCAACAATGTAGTACTTGAGAAATAAGGGTTTTCTCGGCACACTGTACGCACACAAAGCACACTGATTAGATTGGGATGCTGAGCCAACTTATCACTGTAATATTGTGGCTAGGGAACTGAATTGCAAAATTTGGAGAAGTGCAAATTTCAAAGGATGTCTGTGTTTCAGTCCATGCACTGTATAGGATAATGTGGATTAGGTAAATTCTCATTTAAATGTGAACTGAATACAAATTCACCGCCACCTCCAGTGCCTTGTTCTAGACTTCAGATACAGCCGATATCCTACTCTACTGCAGTTATACTAAATCATAGGGCTGTTGGATAATGTCAACAGAGTTGCATTGAGCTGTAATATTATAGAATATAGTCCAAATATGTTTTGTTGATATTTGGTAATAACAGTCCAAAACAGTACAAAAATGGGCGGACGCATTTGATCCAGCCTCTGGGATTTGCTTTTATGACCATTTAAGTTCAATCAGATTTGAGAAGAATTATACAATCACTGGGTTGAATCATTAGGGGGGTAGATAGTATGGATATGTGTCATTTCCCAAATTATAAGACCTTTGGTGCTGGTGATCAGGTACATAACACAAGTCTTTAGGGGCTGCTTTCATGTAGCCAGAGGCCATGACTTCAGCTCTAGGTGAGCATTTTCCTGCCATGACTGGGTTTATTCAAATGCTGCCTTGGATGTATGTGCAAAGCAACATTTCTTCTTTAACTTCCTTCTTTAAAGGCTAAGTCAGCATTTGGAGCATGGTTTTAATTAGGGATTTCAGATTGAAACATTTCCGGTTTCGTGTGTGTGTGTGTGTGTGTGTGTGTGTGTGTTTTCCTTAGGACAGTTTTCAGTTAAAATGTTTTAGAGTTTTGAAAAATACCAGATGCCCAACTCTCAGTGTGCAAAAGAAATGTAAAAAATCCACCAGTCCCTCTTGGTTCTTGGGCAGATCCACGTGTGTGATGTTGGCAGAACCACAAGAGTTGGGGGTGACAGAAAGGAGGACAACAGGATCAGGCAAGCCACAATAAGGTTTGTTTGTAATGGCATTCAGCTGCAGAGCAAGGCTAAAGAGAAAAGAAAAGCACCCCAAACTATCCAGGTACAAGCTAGAATGTATTCTCATGTTGTTTTCTCAATATCAAGAACTTAAGGTGCAATTACTACTAGACCACAGCCATCAGGATCTCAAGCAAAGCTTCTTTGTGCAGCTCTACAGGGCTTCTCAAAGCTGGAAGGATGCAGATAGCCATATTATCCAGAACACATAGATTCAAATGTAATAAAATGTCCTGGAAACAGAGGTGGTTAAAAACTAAAAACAAACTCAGTTTGCAAATCACTTTCACACATTGTTGCAGCATGCAATAGTAAATGACCGCAGACTTAACCTGCAGTGATCCTCTTTGCCGGTGATACCATTACCATCTGCCAAGCCTCCTCTAGCAGGAAGGAGAGAACACTTTCAGTGTCAGGCTGGATGGAGTTAGGGCTACTACCCATCACCAACCTGGGCTCCCATCCAGTACTACTGCATGCTGCTACCACCATGCAGTAGCACCAGTCACCCATACAGGTGGCAATGGCGGCCTCTGCCAGCACTTTTGAATGGAACTGATTTGTCATATTGGTTTATATAGAGCCCAGATTGGGTCTACAGTTGGATCCCAAAGATGGAACCCAGCCATTGTGGGTAGGTATTGTTAAGTTGTGGGTTGACATAGCAGACGACACAGCGATTTCTCCAAAGCAGCTCTTTATTTTGTAAGCTGGAACAGAACTAAGCTGAGGAGCTCAGTCAGCCTGCTTATATAGAGCTACAGAACAATTGTAACTGTTGCAATGTTCTAAAACTATCCAATCACTGAACGTCACTTTTCGATCCTTCATTTGCATAACTATCTACAGTATCCCCCTGCTGGCCCAGGGTGAGAACTTCAGTACATAACAGGTATGAAAGAGAGGCCAGCAAAAAACCTGTGCACTCACCTGGTAACTGATCCCAAACAAAACACCCAGCTAGACCAGTGCCTTTTTATTTATAGATTGATCATTTGGCAACTCTGCCTGCAGCTTAGAATAATCATTCTGATAGTGATGAGTGGCTAAAATGATGGTGCGCGTGTTGCTGTGACTGGTCTGTGTGGAGGGAAAGGTTTTCTCAACAGTCTACATGTTCATGTGCGTGGACCAAGTGGAGGCTGAGTCCTGTGGAAATAATACATCCATTAGATTCTTGTGGTGTCTGGAAATGCAGCTGAAAGACTAGCAGCCTCTTGCCCTCACTTGAAAAAGTGCACTGCTATGCGAGGACCAAGGAGCAGCCTTTGTTGCAGGGATAATTTTGTGGGCTCTGCCCCTTTTGTGCCTGTGTGGGCTCTTCCTGAGAGAGCTCTGTCGGGCCTTTCAGTAGTGATCTGCTCATTCAGTAATTGTTTTCCCAGTGGGCTGCAGGACTGAAGGGGAAATGGCTGATTGGATGTGCTAATTTATTGTGGCTGGTAAGCATTTTATTATGATTAAGCAAACACGCCGAAAATGTGCTCAGCATTTGTATGATTGGTATCATTCCGAAGGCATTTCGTATTTTCGCCACAGGCTGTGAGTTACAGGTCCTTCTTCAACCATGCCATTGAAGCAGCTGTCTTCTGCAGTGAATGAGCTAGGATGGGGGATCTGCAGCATTTCCACTCAATTCAGATTTCAGGGTTTGCATATAGGGGTGCAAATTCCTCTCAATGGGTAGAATCATCATGTAAACCAGAGAGATCAAATGTTTCTGAGACAGGGAAACAGCTTTGCTCACCTTATCTAAATGGTATATTTGGACTGGTGATTCTTGTGCCTTCGGATCATAAGGGAAGAGTTAATGCAAATAACTTTTGCTGCTACTGCACATCCCATTGTCAACATGCAGTTTTCTCAGTAATAGTGCTTCTTTGGATTGTATGCAACATTAGTGCTAATCAGAGTAGAAATTAATGGGGAGTTTTTTTCAGTCGGTCTACTTTGTATGAGTAGCGTGCAACCCTTAAAATTTAGACACAGGAATCTTCTTTATATAGTTTGACATTTAGCTCATTGAAGAAGGTATTTATCATCCACTGTTTCCAGACTTCACCATTATTCCACATTTCCCAGGACATTTCCCCATCACCTTCTTTACCACAAAAGACAATGTTTTCTTTTAGGAGGGGAAGTTGGTCTATTGCCCAAGAGCACCAAATCCATTTTCATCACACAACCTAGATTTGTCATTATGTGATTGAATCATACCCACAAAATAGTCACATTTTGTAAGCTGCTCAGGACCTAGCATACTTGACAGTGCTGCCATGCTGTTTCCTTTTCTCCACAAGTGAGCTGCAACTACCTGCCAAATCTGATTTGAGAATGCTATGTGTGAGGAGTCTTCCTTATATTCTGGAGCCCAGCACAGCAGGACCATAATACTGAGTGCCTCTAGGAATGCCAAAATACATGTAAGCTAAATATAGCAGACTACTTACATTAGTGACATGCATTCTGCTTCTCCGCTTGCCCTTTCTTGCCTTTATTTGGCAGAGCACTGCTCACATGACACATGCAATATTGGGAACCTTGTCAGGATTTATTAATATTCTTGCTACAGCCAAGCAGAATTCTTCGTATTGTGTCTCAGTGACTTCCTTTGTGATGCTAGTTACCATCCAACAACTCAATAACTGTTCAGAGATAAATCCCCATTTTTGTTCCTGGAATATCTAATAGCTTTTCTTGGAGGCTTTGAGTGGAGTGATCTAGCTTTAGCCTTTTAGTTTGGCACAGGGATTTAGGCTGAATGGTTGAACTGTGGCAAAGCACAGCTATTCATTTGTGTTCTCAGCACTGCATTTTGCTTCTCTGCCCCCGATCATATTTACTGTAGCAATAGCCTTCTGATGAGCATTAAACTAACAGTTTGACGACAGACCCTGACGAGATGTGGGCAATGGGGGTCACAGGCAAGAAAATTGCAAGAGTGAAACATTTTGATAAAAATTGCTATCCTGTGTATCCACAGGAACATATCCACTTCTCCCATTGATGAACTGATATCAATGAAGCCTGCAGTTCCTTGTAAAAATAATTCACATAATGCCTGCCTGGAAGCAGGTATGCTTTTCCTACCCAGAACTTCTCATGACCGCAGGACACCAGCAAACATCGTGCTTGTTGAGTACCTCATACCAATTTGGCTGTGTACGTCACTAAAATTGTCCACAGCAGAGTCCTGCTTTCTCTGTGGCATAATTAACAACTATGGATGAATGGTGCACAGGATGGGAAGAAGGCTGCATAGACCCTGATCTCTCACTGTTTGCAAACTCTATTCTGGCTATCTCTCTCACTGGTGTCAGTGTTCCAGTGTACCTTGGGGGTTCACTTTTGTCTATGAGGACTTCTCCTTTCAGGTGTCTCCTCTGCTTCTCTATCTCTGCATGCCTTGGCTGATTATAAATCTGGAGCCTTTTCAGAAAGCAGCCACTTCTTGCCTACTTGGGAATGCTTTTAAACCATTCCAGAAACCATGTTTGTTGATAGATCAGGGTGCTCAGAGAAGAGCGGCTGATCTAAGCTGTATGAGAGCCGGCATAAACTCCAGCACGGCAGTACCAGCTGTCACTGCTTAGAAACACATAATAGATTCTGCTGCTTTTCAGACAGCAGATCTTACAGCCACATAAACCAGTCATTCTGTCATCAAAAGCCCTGGCAGCAGAGAAGTGTTCTCTCTGCAACTGCATTCCTGGGGCAGTTACAAGTGCGGAGCCAGAGGGAGGCAAGCTTTGCAATGTATTATTTCCTGAACTGGCCTCAGTAGCAGGAGGGAAAGAAAGGGGTAATTACAAGAGCTGTGGACTGCATCCCTCTGTCAGTTGTTTCATGGCCTGTCGTGGCTGGCATTCAGTTAAGATATTGGATGCCGAAAGCAGAATCAGAAACTAAGTTGTCAAATTTCAAATAGAGTTCTGGTTCATGGCAAGATCAGCATTGAGGTGCTGGCACAAAGTGAGTGCCATGGTGTTATGGCAGATAGTCCATTTTTTTTCAGTAGGCCTTTCCTATTATACCCTTATATATAGGAGTAGTTAATAACATTGAGAATTGATATCAAGCAACTGGAATTGCAGGTGGTAGGATGTGAGCAGTTAGTATATTGCCTTGGAGCACTTCCAGCCACTAATTTCAGCTGGTTTGGAGCTCTTGTGCAACAAACCTACTTCCTCCAAAGTCATCTTTATTGGACTTCCAAGCCACCTCCTGTTCCTGTAGCCCACTTCAGAGCTGATGTCACCCTCTTGGCTCCTTCCTGGTGATTCAGAGAATTGCCATTGTTAATGTTAAATTCTGTGGCAACGGCATAATTCTTAAAGCCGAGGAAAACAAATGGAAAAAGGGAAATTATCGTATTTAGTGTCTCAGTCAATAGCGTCAACAATGTGCTTCAGAACTGCTTTTTTAACATTTAATTTAATAACACCCCTGGAAAATGTTCTCTTTCCAGAAGTTCCCAGATGCAAGTTAACCCTGGCAGAGTCGCAAGGCAGGCAGGAGTGTGTCACTGCCATCGGTGTGGAGCATGCTGACTGCATCTTCAGGGCATATAGCTTTTGGGATGAAGCCCAACAGTATTTAGCTGCATTGGCATGGATAGCAGTAGGTAGCTTACCACACTAAGAGTCAGAGAGTGTTAAAAGTATGGCAATAGATTATTGCCCATCTTTGAAGAAAATGCATCAAGAGGTTCTAGTCTCATGCACACAGACAGGCAGCTAGGACTATGTCACAACCCCATGCTTCCACTTGGCAGCAGTTCTCCAGGGTTTCAGACAGAGGACTTTTCCCAGCTTTGCTGCAGGAAATACCAGAGCTGAACATGGACCTTCTGCATGCATAGTCACAGATCTTTGGCCTGTCAACCAAGTTAACTTGTTGCAACCCTGATTTAAAGCAATGTTTCTAGCCCTTGCAGTTTCAGAGAAAAACATGATCACATCATGTACTCTAAGCAACAATCGCCAAAGTAAAGAATAAATGAATATTTATTTATTTTGCAGTCCATTTATAGTGTAACACCATGTTTCCTAGCAGCAACCCCTTCAAATAGTAGTGGGATGGTTGAGGAGGAAACAAAATGCCTGCTCCCCAACATAATGCACATTGCCCCCATCCCACCAGCCCACCACATTTCCTAACAGAAGGTGTGGAGAAAACCATTGGGCTGCTTAAAAGAACAAAACAAATATGTATGTAACAGGGAGGAGAAAAGAGGGTCGGGAGAGCAAACACAACAACCCCAAGTGGGCATACAATTCAAGGTAAGTCTCTAAGTCACAACGTAGGAGGGGATGGAGGCCTGTGGCTTCAGTGATCCACAGGTCAGTGACAGGTTTCTTAGACCTCTGTCTAGCATCAGATTGTTGGTTGGTTCAGTAACAATAGGTTGTATTCAACATAGTGCTAAGCAAATTGTTCCATAAGTGCAAGGATTTCTACTTAAACAGCGGAACGCTCCTCCCATCTCCCCCGCATGCCTCCCCCAAATCTGTTCTGGGTTTCCCCACAACCCTCTGGTATGTGTGATGGGAGTAAAGGGTGTGGGGAGTCCCATTGTGCTAGCACTTATGGAAATAAAATTATTTTGTTGAATACTGCTCATTATGTCTAGCTCTTCTGGATTTGCGCTTGAGGTTTCCAAGCCCCTCATGGCTTGACAAGCAAAGCTCTTCTGGAGCTGTTTTCTTACCAGGAGCAGGTGACTGTACAGTTCCAGTGACTTCAACAGCTGCATGACAGGCAGAAATACAGGAGGGGCAGCTTTCCCCAGCATGCTAAAGCTTTAGCTGTTATTAAACATTAAAGGTACAAGAGGCTTTCAGAAAAAAACTCTTAAGTGAACCCCATTATCTCTTTGCACTGGAGAGAAAAATGTTTTTTGTCTCTGTTTTCAGTGCCTGCCATTTCTGTTATGGCTTTCATTAGATTGTTCTTGGGTTTTATTTTTGTTTTCATTCACTTTTATAGATCTGATGGCATCCTGGCATGTGAACACAATGTGTGGGCAGCTGGCTGGCTGGCTGGCTGCATAAATTAAATTACAGTGTATTAAGTCTTGTTGTTCTTTTACAATGTGAATTATCTCCTGCACTCAAACCAAATGAATTGTTTCTGGCTTGGAAGAATAAATAGTACTTTTTAAGGGTTGGCAATCTTCTTCTTTTTAACTGTCCCTTTCCCTGTGCACTTAAAAACAACCTGACAAGCAGGAATTATCACTATATTTTCATTCCACAAATGCTTCATTTTGCATTTTCTTTTGTATGGCAGACAGCTCTTAACAACACGCTGGAGTAGGACTAGCGTGGCCAGATACAAAAGGGGAAAGGCCTTCTGCACATTGAATAGTTGTGTAGAACGGGGAGTTTGAGCAGATGCACCTAGCATTTGAAAATTTCCTCTGGAATTCCATCTTCACAACTCTTGAAGGTACAGGAGCCCTGGGCAGTTTTGAATCAGGCTGTTCTAGGCATGAGCTGTAAAAAGGTCGGTGGCTTTATGAGGATGGATGAAAAACCCTAGAAATGGGCAGGTACCTTCATCCAGGTCTTCCCATTCTGTAAGTGTGTGAAATCTCATGACGCATCACTCATGTCTTTAACAAGTGGCAATAAGTGGCTTCTCTCTTAAATTTCCACGGACAACATGTTTCTTCAGTTGAAAGACTGGAAAAAAACAGTGTCTTGAACTTTTGCAAAATAGCCCCATCCTGAGCGAGATGGAAAAAAACAATTTAGCAGTTTAATTTAAGCCCTGGTAATTGAGAACATAGTGTTTCCTCTATTTCTGCTGGTACTTTGCCCACTTTTCTGCATTCATTATGGTATATCAAAAATAGTAGTCATGAGTAAAATCCATATCCTGGAGCTAGATGCAAGCTCTAAGCAACCAACAACGGCCATTAGGGTTGCTGGGCCCAGGTCCTGGCATCCTGTTTCCTATCACTGCATGACATGGACAGGAGAAGCCCTCTGGCAGGTGCAATATTTTTTCTCTTTTATGCCGTGCTGCTTTTAATACTACTGGGCTGCAAGCTGTGCCTGAAACCTAACCAAAGAGAAACTGGTGCTTGATATTAACAGGGTTGCCAACTGTTGAACCAGCTTTTAAGAGCAGCTTGCTATGCAGGAACTGGCAGGAGATAAACATGATCAGTTGCTCATTTCTGCAGGTCAAGTTGGTGTAAAGAGTGCCCAAACAAGCAATAATGTTTTCTTTTGATCAGTTGACAGCTCAAGGTATAAAGTTGCTGAGTATTCCCTGAAGACCGTAGCTGTACCTTCTAAATGTTTTGAAGCCCTAAGACAAGGTGCAGCTACTGAAGACCTGGCAAACATCCAGGCCCAAACCCCAGAGACAGAAGAAAAAAGAGGGGCAGTTCTGTCAGACCCTCTAGCGAGCAACTGTTTTCTAGCAAGCGCTGGTCCCTGCCTTCAGGAAAGAAATTCATTACATTCAAGGGCAAAGAATGGCCCTGCAGCTTGCACTGAGCCAGATAAATTTGTTGTATTACATCAGCAGCAGCACAGGAAAGGAGGAGTGGGAGGAGGCGAGCAGCTCTCTGTGCTGGAAACTTGCGGCTTCTCTCTGCATCTCCCTCCTGCTTTCCTTCACTACTTCTTACTTAAGAAACACAATAGTGATCGCCATGGCAACACGTGCTCCCCTGGCACCTGCGCACTCACAGGTGGGATCCTCTGAGCCCTGAACGTGGTTCCCGGCCCCAAGCAGGTGGGACTTGGCCCTAGTTGCTGCTAGGATGTTAAGCACTCTGGGTGACATCTGGGTCCCACCTTTTTTGTCTCAAAAACATTGCTTCATCCTTACGCCTGCTGCTGCCAGTGGGTGCCAGCTTCCCAGAACGCGGCTGGTCTATCTGACGTAGCCATGGACCTCCGTTCCAAGGACAAAGGGCAGGATGCAGGATTCCGAGAGGAAGGAGGCTGTTCTGTGTGGGAAGTGCTGGGCTCATCTGCCAGTACCTGTTACTCCAAGGACTCTGACATTTACCAGACTTCCCTGCAGGGAAACAACACCTGATTCCACTTAAAGCTTGCAGCATCTCTCCTCCCTACTCCCACACCTCACCACAGAAAACATGGAGCTCTCCGAAAACAATAATGTAATTGGCTGGGAAAAATCTCCTCAGGATTTTCCATCAAAACCTGGAGCTGGCTCAGACAGCGCTAACACACAAACACATGCACGCTGCAGGCCCCAAGATACTCGTGAAAGCACGGGTTCCCCTAGAAAATGCGTGACCTGGACAGAATGGAGCCCAATGTAACAAGGAGTGACTGAGACCTGAGAGACAGCAGATTCCCCCAGGGGAGTGACCCAGCCTTTGGCCCCATAAAGAACAAACCGCCAGCCGTATGGGCCTATTTAGCATCCCCGACCTTTCACCTCAGAGATTCCCACCTCCTTGCCTGCTGTGCGCAGGCCTCATTTACAGCATGCAAGGACATCTTGGAGCTGTTTCTAATGCTAATTCCCTCCTCCCCTCCCTCCAGAGGTGCACATTTAAGTTCTGTTCTTCAGCTATCTGCAAATGTCACCCAAGAATGGTTTATATGCACATCTATTTCCTTGCTCAAATAAATAGTTTGGAGGGGGAAGGAGAATTACTGGTGTAGATTGGCTGAATGAAGGCCTCTTCCATATTCGTTTATGTTCCAGTGGCTCTAGCACTGAATTTACGTCTAGTAGGCCCTTGTCTGCCATCACGAGGCAATAGGGGAGTCACCATCTTTTAGCCTCAGCTCTTCACCAGTAACATGGGAATAATAGTGACTTATCCCCTAGAATTGTTATGAGAAGAAACAAGTAAATGATTGTTAACATGCTTTGGAAGTTGAACCATAGAGCAAAGCTCCCAAGAGGTCGCAACAGTGCCTTGCTTCCTGTAGGCCTGCCTGCAGCTTGGAGCCCATTCCTGATAGTAAAAGCCATCCAATTCCAAGGCCGAAAGCTATTTCTTTCACCCAATTGCTTTTTAGTTTAATACAAAACTATTCCTTTTTAACTGTTCTCCTTCTTCAAGAAGATAGTCCAGGCTGTAAAAATGAATAATAAGGTATAACTGCTCTTCGGAGACCTGTCTGTAAAAAAAATGATTCTCAGAAGCGGCTGCAGATGTATAACCTCATTAAACTGGGTCAGAGCTTCCAAGGAAAGCAGACTGCACAGAAAGGAGCCACTTGGAGATGTCTGGTGTCATTCTGTAAACCACAAGCCACCTTGGAGACAGCCTCCAGGAAGCCACAGAAAGCGATAAAGGGCTTTCTCACACAGCCAAATCCCCACACACATCTAATATCTAGTATGATACTCCTTGTAACTAGACAAGTTTGGGCATGTTAGTGAGATGGGGGTAATTTGAATGCTGGGGGGGGGAGTGATATCCTCACAATAGGAGAACTAACCTGGGAAAGGATGGAGTGGATCCTCTTTTGCTACTGGGTAATAAAATAAAATTTATAAATAAATAGCAGCTGCTGGCCATTTATAGCACACTGTAGCCTTCCCCAACCTGGGGTCTTCCAGATGTTTTAGATGAGAGGTCTCATCATCCCTGACGATTGGCCAGATAGGCTGGGACTGAAGGGAATTGGGTGTCCAAAACATCTGGAGGGAATCGGGTTGGGGAAGACTGGCATAATGAACCCATCATCTGGACCATTTTGTTACCACCCTTTTCTGAGTTCCCTAGGACAAAGAACTTCAGCAACTATGGGGGTTACTCTCTGGACCTTGGAGTTCTTTGCACTTGAGTTTCAGGCTGGTTTTGTTTCTTCCCAGCCAGGTCTCTAGACAAACTCTATAATTTTGCTGACTGTTCTGGCCTCCACCTCATCTTTGCATTGAACGCACTGCGCCGGAACCCCAACAATTCCTGGAACAGCTCCAATGCCCTCAGCTTGCTCAAGTACAGTGCCAGCAAGAAGTACAACATCTCCTGGGAGTTGGGCAATGGTGAGTGAGGTTTGGAGAGGGGGATTTGGAGAAGGAGGTGGACGGGGAGGAGGATTGGAGAGAAAATAAGCACTGGGGTCACCTTCTAGGTTAGGAAGAATTCTTAAGAGCAGCCCAATGGATCAGCCCAATGGCCCATCTAATCTAGCATCCTACTCTCACAGTAGCCAACCAGATGCCTGTGGGAGGCCTGCAAGCTGGAAACGAAGGCAACAGCAGCGTGCCCACTTGCTGTTCCCAGCAACAGGTATTCAGCGCCATAATGTCTCCAACAGTAGAGATAGAACATAGCCATCATAGCTAGTAGTTGTTGAATGACAGAAGTGGAACACTGCTACTGGGGGTGCTCACTGCAATTGATAGCCATAGGAATTTGCAGGCAAAAAAGAGATTGATATCTTGATGGTACAGGGAAGGAAGGAGCTTGTGTGAGAAAGACGATTTGAAAGTGCTCAGTAAAAACAGGGGACAAATAGTGCAATCTTAAAATGTCTCTCCAGGAGTCCAACTGTGTTGAATATCACTTATTCTGAGGTAAGTGTGCATATGTTTGCACTGTAATGAGCTATCTTCACCAGTCCTTTCTGCATAGGGTCTCCACGCAGGGAGAGGGGAGAGGCGGCAGGGAGGTCAACACCATGTAGGTGCATCAGTGAGATCACTGGGTTTTCTCTGCCAATGTACCCGCACAGTGCCAACCTCCCCTCCCTCTTTAAGTGGCAGTGACTCCACCTTCTCATGGCCTTCTCCACGGCTTTTACGGGGCACCATCTTCAGAGCAGTCGGGTCAGAGTTGGTGAATGCTTGTTTCTGTTTGCTTCCAGAACCAAATAACTACCGCACCCTGACAGGGCGAGCAGTAAATGGTACTCAGTTGGGCAAAGACTACATGCAGCTGAAGAGCCTGTTGCAGCTGATCCGCACCTACTCCAGAGCCAGCCTGTATGGGCCCAACATTGGGAGGCCTAGGAAGAACGTTGTGGCTCTTCTGGATGGGTGAGTGATTTGATTCATGGCCAACAATGCAGGGACCTATGAAATCTTTCTCATACCAGAGACATCAAACCCATCTCTCAGGTTCAATCACTGCACAACAATGAAAAGCTCTGCAGAGGTGGCTTCTTTGCCCATGATGGTGCAGTAATAGAAAAGTCCATGCTTACCCCAGGCATACATCTATGAAAGGCACAGTAGCTGCTCTTTATGTCATATGAAGCAGTGTACTAGCTAAACTGACTGTATGTGCCCTGATTTCTAGCTGTATGATGTCCAGAGTGCCAGGGTGCTAGGCAGACCAGGTTCTGGCATTTGAAAGTCCCTGGAGTATTCCATAACGTTTTAGACTTAAGTTGGTAAAATTGTCAGGACAATCAAAGCAAAGTGTCCATGCCTCATTGTTGACCCTCCTATAAGATCTCCTTTGCCACTTCCCTTCCCTATGTTCCAGTACTATTTCACCACTTTCCTGTCAAATTCTTAAGGCATTGGCGGAAGTTTTCATTGGCTGTCCCTTTCAAACACCCAAACCTTTCCTTATTAACAGTTGCTATATAGACTCTTATTCCATCTAAAGAGGAAGAAGCCTTGAGCAACCACGACTTGTATGAGAAAGAGGACATTGCACAGATTGGCCATTGCTCCTGCACCAGCCTTTGATACAAAACTGGGACAACTGGCAAACACCCCAGAAACAATCTTAATAAACCTCAGAGCTTAGCACACAGCAACATGGTGAAAATTGACCAAGTAAAATGCAAACAAAGAAGACTCAAGTGTGCAAATATCATATCCCTGTCACTGGAGCCCCAGGTAACCTCAGTGGCTAGAAGCACTTTTTACCAGCTGTGACTGGCGACACAGCTACAATCATTTCTGGACCAGCAGAGTTTGATCACATTAGTTCAGCCATTGATGGCTTCAATATTGGATTGCTGCAATGCACTCTTTGTTGGGCTTCCCTTTCTACAGAAGCTACAGTTAGTGCAGAATGCTGCAGCACAGTTGCTGAAAGGAGTGATACCCTGTCAATATATAACACCTCTGCTCAGATATCTGCACAGGTTGCCCATTTGCTATTGGTCCAAGTTCAAGGTGTTACCATTAGCATATAATAGTATATCATTAGTAAAGGTAAAGGGACCCCTGACCATTAAGTCCAGTCGTGACTGACTCTGGGGTTGCGACGCTAATCTCGTTTTATTGGCCGAGGGAGCCAATACAGCTTCCTGGTCATGTGGCCGGCATGACTAAGCCACTTCTGGCGAACCAGAGCAGTGCACGGAACTGCCGTTTACCTTCCCACCGGAGTGGTACCTATTTATCTACTTGCACTTTGACGTGCTTTTGAACTGCTAGGTTGGCAGGAGCAGGGACCAAGCAATGGGAGCTCACCCTGTCGCGGGGATTCGAACTGCCGACCTTCTGATCGGCAAGTCCTAGGCTCTGTGGTTTAACCCACAGTGCCACCCACGTCCCTAGTATATCATTAGTATATTGTTAATATATAAAACCATTAGCAGCTTGGGACCAGTTTACTTAAGGGTCTTCCTTACCCCATATATGCCCTTTTGACCAGTTTGATCTGCAGAACTAGCACTGTTGCAGATGCCACATAAGACTCATTCCACACAAGTCAGCATACATTTTGGAATTCCCTGTCTATTGACACCAGGCAGCCATCTTTGCTGTACTATTTTCTGCTTTTGTTTTAAACATTTTTGTTTAGGCGGGCCTAAAGTTACACATGCTTGATTTCATTTTAGCTACTGTTGATTTAAATCATTTTAAAAATATTATTAAATACCTGGCTTAAATTGTTTTTATTGATAATATATATAATGCTATATTTTCTGTTTTTCTAAACTGCTGAGGTTTTTTTTAAAAAAACAACAACAGTCAAGCAGTATATAAATTTTGTTAAATACATAAAAATAGAAAGGGGGCATATGTGGAGTTGCAGCAAAATAATGTAATATTGGCAGCAGCATTAGCTGTAATTCTGAGGAAGAAAGCATGCTGCCACATCTTCTAGGTAGCAAAGCTGATGAACAAATTGGAAACATTTCTGGGGCAACCTACAAAGATGGCAAATAGGCTAGAAGGCAAATTCCACAAGGAAAGGCCAAAAGAACTGGGTTTATTTAGCTTTAAAGACATGTATGTGGAGAGGGTATGGTGAAAATTTTAAAATTGGTTACCGTGTGATCCTATTCATGCTTAGTTTGAGGCAGGGGTAAAGGAGAAATTTGTTGCAGTTTTCATTTAAAAGTGAATTTGTCAAATTTGAACTTTATGAAACAACATGCAAATGGAAACAACACTCATCTGAATTTTTTGATGCAAGTTCTCCAACTATATACTGCATACATTAGGGGAAAGTGTGCATAAACATGAAATTATTAGCAAAAACAATGTACAGAAATTCATTACAGTGGGGAAGATTGCAAAATGTGTGCATTAGTCAAAACTGAATATAAAAATGTATTAGGAGAAATTTGCACTAAAATGCTGATGAATTTTCATGAGAAGTTTAAAAAAAAAAGAATTCACAACGTGGAGAACTGAATTTAAGATTGGAAAAATGAAAACTGATGTTGACAGATCCTTCCATCCCTATTTTGAACCTGGGACACTCTCCATATAAGGCACATGTTCTGCCACTGAGCTATGGCCATTCCACACAGTAGCCGTTTTCTCTGGATCTGACATAATTTATGCATTCACTCATTTATTATGGAGAATACAGGCGATGCCATTGCTGAATTGTGACACTCAAGCCCTTTCATCACTTTAAAGACTTGGTGTTGATTTCTCTAACTTTGTGTGGAATTGTGCCACTGTCCTCTCTACTGTGGAGCAGGAAAGTACTATTTATTCCTATGGCCTGCCCTTTCCCTCAGAGTGTTATCACATCCAATTGCTCTTCCCAGGTAACTATGGGCAATTATAGCTCTGTGAGAGGATTAGTGGTCTCCTAATGGTTCTCAGCACCCTAAACCAACTACAGCCCCCAGAATTCTCTGGTGGAAACCATGTCTGTTTCAAGTGGTATCATAGTGCTTTAAACGTCCAATGTGAATGTGGTCTTGGACTGTCGACCCTTGGGTTTTTCTTTTTCTTTAAAAGACCGACTATCTACATGTTCAAAGCAAACTGATTCCCTGTGTCTGCCCAGCCAGAATTGTGAATCAGGTTTCCCTGAAATGAATACTAACACAATATTGTACCTGAAATCTTGCTGCGTTTGGGGAAGGAGAGATGCTTTGGGAACTTGGGGTATTTCATTCCTTTAGTACTGCTGAGCTAGTTGGCTGCAGGGCAGAGAGAAGAATCAGAGACGGACATGTGGTCAGGTGCAAGGGAATTTCCACAGATGGGACAGCCAGCCCCACTTGATGAAGTGTTAATTAGGCTATTCAGGGAACCAGAGCTGCTCAATACAGTCTGTATCTGTTCCCTACTTTGTGGGGTGGAGGGTCAGGAGTTGTAGCATTTCTCAGAGTTCCCAAAGAATCAGCGGAGTTGTTAGCAGGGAGACTGAGATGACCTCAGCCTCGGTTCAGCCCCTGTGTGGAACTTGGTTCCTAAACGATGGATGATATTTGGTGAGTAGAATGTGATGTTATATTTGCCTCTCCAGAAATATGAGATAAAAAATTATTTCCCTTCTCAGAAGTGCAATGGTTGCCTTCTGGCGTCCTTGTATATAGGAAACTGGTGTCACTCTTTCACTGTGTGCAGCTTTCCTAGGTGTGAATCCAAGATAGAGGATACTAGTTTTCTCTGAAACTATTGCTTTTAAGCTTTGTTGTTTAGTCATTTAGTCGTGTCCGACTCTT